TGTGACAAACAATCATACAAAGCCCCAGAAATACACACCATCACACGCACCATCCTTCAAAAGCCCTCCTTTATCTAATTTTCTCTTGAACGCACTGTTTTTGCTCAGTGCTGTCCTCGTAAGCGTGCACATATAACGCTGATATTTCCACTTTATTCTGCGAGGAGAAAACATCTTCAGAACCTCACAGAAACACATTATTTTCTGCAGATTAATACAAAAACAACAACTTACAAAACCTCAGTCTGCACTGAAAATAGAATATGTAGTAATGAATGTCAGTTTACGCCTGGAGTTTACATCTCCTTATTCAGAAAAGACCAGACTCAGCTTTAAATGAGGCAGATTGTGAATCCAGATATTTCAGAGAAATGACTCAAACATCCCTCATGAACTGAAGCTCAGAGACTCCAAAACATCAACCCTGCAGGTCTGAGAGCGTCTGCCAAATCTCTGCTTCCCCTGCAGAAATGTATAAAATAAATAGTCTCTGCATATGTACGCTATAGGAGTTTTACCATTCGCAGAGCAGCGTGATGCACACATACACACTCGCTCACATCTCCCTTCACCCTGTCCTGACCTACATGCTGCTTCCATAAAGTAGGACTTTACTGTCTTTTCATCACCTCCCTGCTTCAGCGCTCAACATTCAGCTGGCCTTTATGACAGTGGTATTACAGCAGCAACACCATGAGATAGATATTAATGTAATTTCCCCATAACCATCATTCAAATACAACAACTCTTCGACTCGTCTCGTCTGTGTTTGTTTCACTCACCAGTAACCGTACACCGCTTTTTAACACATCAGTCCATTTCAACACATTAAAGTGATAAAAGCCTCACGCAGTAAATAATACTAACAATTATGTTGAGAGGAGCAGCATTAGCCATGCTTTTACATCGTCTAGTTATCAAGCTCGTCCTCCCTCTCTGCTCTAAAACAGGGGAAGCCATTAGACTGTAGCCGAGGGAAACCCAGGCTTCTCCAGAGAGCTCAGTAACCTACATCAGTCCTCCATCTCCTGATACGGTGAGGAACAGAGGATGGAGGAGATCACGAAGGAGTGAGGAGATCGCCATGGAGAAGTTTGCAAGGAGCTGCGTTTACAGCCAATCCGATCCAGTTTAGCTCAATTGGAAAGAAATTGTATTCCGACCGAGAAGGCTGGTTCATGCCGATCGTTATCCTGAATCGCGTCCATGTAAACACTCAGTCCGATCATGACTCTCTAACCTGACTTGATCTTCGCTCTTTAGCCTTTAGCTTATTTATTGAGGTCGGTACAGGAGGTTTCATTGTTGACACTCTGGCATAAAACACAACCTGTTTCTCCGATAACATACGAGGCCGTACATACAGCGTAATGATGTCACATCTGCACACACAGCGCAACCCTTTGACGGAAAAAGTAAAATAAGTAAGCATGGGCGCCATCTAGTGACAACATTTGAGCCATGTCGCTGCCAGATCCATCCCAGAATCCTGATTTGTACTGCACATGTGCGAAACGTACATCACTTCCTCTGTTCGTATTTCAAAGCATTTTACGGCAGTGAGTCGTTACAATTGCTCCATACCTGATCCGTACTGCACAGGTGCAAATTTACTTAACCTTAATAAACTACCGATCGATTTCAGAAAACAGCTAGTCTTCTGCTAGGCTAGCTAGAGGGAGGCTCCGGGACTCATTCTGAGGGATTCGTCAGAGCTCCTGCCCAGCACTGTGAGACCTTTTGGGCCAAAGAGAGCGCCGCCACCCGGTCAAAATTATGGTTCTCTGAAGTATCAAGGGGGATTTATCGGCTCGACGTTTCACAGCCAATCAGAGGCGAAGGAAGCAGGACATTTCCCTACCATACTACGAAAAAAGATATCGCTTCTGGGACGGATCAGGGAGCAACAAGCCACAACTGCCTCTGTTGGTTTTTTGACAGCACAGGCGTCAATACAACTCTTCTTCTTCTGTGGTTGTTTTGGCAAAGTTAGACAACTCTGCGCATGTCCAAATACTTCTAATCTGAATAAAACTTGGCGCATGTATACGCACGTCATTATTATTTGATTATTTGATTATTTGATTTTGCGCCCATATAAACAGTGGATTCAGATTTTCCTGTCCCTCAAATTTTTAATCGGAGAAGAAATTTCGCCCATAATTAAGAAAAATAAACGACTCAAGTTGAGGCTCCACTGCCTAACTGTTACACAATTGAGATTTTTTTATATAATGAAAACATTTGCGTGACATTTCCTAGATCTCATATGGGACAAAGAAAAGACAAACAAGCTCCTCATCGTGTGCCGACAACAATCATCCGAAAAGAATCTGAAGAACGGCAATAAACACTTGAAGTGGTGCAAGACGACACCTCTAAAGCATTCTGTGGATGTTTTCCAAGTATTAATACAAGCCTCTACGCCCTGTTTATGCTCTATTAGTGTGACACTCCTGGGCCTGGGTATTACACAGAAGAGGAAGAGTGTGTTCCCCTTTAATCAAAGCCAGAAGGAAACCCAGAGATGAAACAGGAGTGTCCGAGAGGTGTCAGCGTGCAGATAAGAAAGAAGGGGACACATCCTGCAGCTGTGCCTCTGTGCAGAAAACAACTTCATATAAAAGGACAGCGAAGATAAGAGGGAGTAAGGACATCAAACTGACACCAAAACCTCCTTACCAATCAGCCAGGCTGCAGCTGAGGTTAGAAAGAGGCTAGAAACTGAGGTACTGTCATGATATATGTTCTGGTCTTTAGTTTTCCCCTGGTTTTAGTCTTTTGGGTGTGTGTTTTCAGTGTTTCCTGTTTTATTTTGTAGTAGTTCATTCTCTGTGTTTCTCGTCTTGTTTTACTTCCTCAGTTTTCCCTCCTCAGTGATTATCTGCACCTTTATCTCGTGTCTCACCTGCCACTCGTTGCTTGTTTCCCTGTGTATTTAAAGTCCTCGTCTTCTCCTGTTTCTTTGTCAGTTTATTGTTGTATGTCTCTGTCGATGTCTCCAGAGTCTCCAGAGCCTTCTGTTGATTTTTTGCCATTTGTGTTTCTTGGATTTTTGAGTTGGACATTAAAAGTAGTTTTTGTTTTTGTTGCTTTTTGAATAAATCATTTTTGTTGTCCTGCATTCGGGTCCTTCCCTTTTTGTTTAACTTCTAAACCTCGACAGGTACAGTTTAGTGTTTCACCTGTGAATGTCACAGACACCTTATGGTGGGACCGAGTCTTGCTACCAGAGAAAGAGCACGAAGGAAATGCTGACTGCAGGCTGATACAGGATGTTTTTTTTTTTCTGGGACCAAAACTTAAAAAACTTAAAACCAGGGGAGATCAGCCGTGTGCAGTTTCTGTCCCAACATGTGGAAAAACTAACCTTTCCAAATGCAATCCAGCCCCACTAATGAATGTTTAAAATCATCATGGTAAAGCCTCTCCAAGGTGACGTGGGAAAAACAGGTGCCTGCTTACAACCCCAAAGATCTCTTGGCTCTCATGGCCAATCTTATCATGAATCTTATCAGTGGAGGGCTTATCAATAAAAGCACAATCCAGGAACCCATCGGCACTTTTCCAACAATAGTTGATATGAATTGAATTTCTTCAGTCTGCTTTAAGATGTCATCTCTTTGTTCTTCTCACAGCGCCGGTCCAACAGTAAACAAAGACAGACCCTCTTCCTCACTCTCCCAGATTCATCATCATCAGCCCCGAAAGATCGTGGACTCTCTCCGATGTTTTATTGTCGCTTCATAAAATCTAAAAGGTCCTGAGACTGATCGTAAACTATACTCTCTGTGAAGCACTTTTTTGTTTTTGCCTCCTGATCCTTTGAATCTTTAATTCTCCACCCGAGTTTACGTTTCATCTTCGTCTGTAAATCACCGTTAGAACTCCCTCTTTGATTGGAGTCCATTAACACTTCTAACACTCAGTTTACAGCCATTGAAAAGAGGTCGCTCAGACTTTTAAAGGACGACTTCAACAGATTTTTCATGCTTTTATCGCCTCTAAATGAGTTTTGCAACGGCTTCGATCCACTAGACACTCTCACTTTTATTTAAAGCTTCCAAAACAACCATAAATTTCAAACAGACGCAGGGACTGTGGGTTTATTTCTTACCTGCTACTCGGACTACCGCCCTCTCCGCCGGGTCCAGCACTGAGTCCTGACTCTTCCTCTTCCTCCTCTCGTGTTTGGACAGGTTCCAGGGTAAAGTGTCTCCAGGTAGCCCCACAGGTCCCGACGGGCACGGGGACAACGACCCCCCTGAACGCTCGCTACGGAAGGACGGCTCGCTGACGCAGGAGCGCTCGCTTAGAGTATCATCATCTGAGGACTCCATGTTACTTTGAGAGCTGCGGGAGGGAGAGGAGGAGAGGATGGAGGGAGGAGAGAGAGATGTAGAGCAGAGGGGGAAGGGAGAGAAAGAGGGTCAGAAGAATGTAGGGAAAGAGAGAGAGAGAGAGAGAGGGGGACTCTGTATAATTCATTGCTTCAGTCAGACGGATCACACAGGGACATGAATGATGCAAAGTTTCAAAGAGAAAGCACAGCAGCCATAATTTCATAATCTGGGTTAGTCATCAGGTTCAGACAGCTGTAGAAGAGTTTAGAGAGGCCGAGACTGAACAGAAAGAATCCCAGGAAATGATGAAAGAGGAGGAAAACACATGACGGCAGAGATGAGGAGGAAGATTATTGCAGCCTGAGAGAAGAAGAAGAAGAAGAAGAAGAAGAAGAAGAAGAAGAAGAAGAAGAAGAAGGAAGGGAGGTGACTAAAAGTTTAAGAAAAGTTAAAGATATTCATTCACAGAGAAGTCGAGCTGATGATAAATGACAACATATGGATCTGGCTTTTCACTCAGGAGGTATTTTCACATCACTTCCACATAAATGAACGGGCACATGTCCTACAGCTCTGAAACCTGTAAATACAGGAGCGATGGGATCTTCCAGATGTGCTAAACTGCTGCAGCATGGGCACCTGTGCATATACATACAGTAGGGCTGGGCGATATGGCCTCAAACCAATATCATGATTTATTGATCAGTTCAACTCGATAACGATAAATGGACGATAACTACTCCACAAGCTGCTCACCCCCTCCCACATTAACTTCGTCTACTTCAGCCGCTACAACTTTTGAACCGTCCTCCATCTCCTCACCTGTCTTTCCCTCTTTGTTATGGACTGGATGGGGTGGAGTCACGTCTCTGACGTAGGATAGCGTCTTAAAGGGACATGAGACCATAGCCTACCCTCACACACCCAAAACCAACTTTGATTTATTTATCTATTTTGACACAAAATATATTGACATGGGCAAAGTGACGTCAGTTATTGCTGTAAATTTAAGTATCAGTAAATTTTTGTTTTATCGCCCAGCCCTAACATACATCCTCCTTCTTCTTCTTCTTCTTTTTCTCTTGGTATGGTACAGTTTTACACCCCGATTCTACATTTGTGAAAACACAGAAAAGCTTCGTTTACAGACACTAGGATATCAATGTGGTGATTTTCACTATTACAGAGTCATGTCTGTTTTTAGTCTTTGTCTATTCAGTGCAAAGGTTTCTCCAGATTCTTTGATTCTTTAAAAACATAATAAATCCTCAAATTATTTGTAATTTTACAGCTCTATAACCATAGAATGTATATCTATGGAGAACATGGCTCTGCCTTCCACCAGTATATGAATTTAAAGCCGAATTGCTCTCTGGATTTCCATGTTTTTTCCACTTCTTGGAACCACCGCTGGCACGGTAGCATTCGGCTCAGACAGGGTATCCCCTGGGTGAGCTACACCATATTTGTCCATAGGCTGTATCAGGTGTCAATCATAGAAAACATGAACCCTCTAATAACTTTTAAAAATGGAGCTGTACAGAAAATAGAGGACTTGAGCACAAACCAGTCTGACAGTAACTACATGTCAACATCACAACCAGGGGGAGAAACATTTATATTCTGTGTAATAAATTTATGAAGTTTGTCCACAGCTCCATAGGGATTACTGGAGGAGGCGGGATTTATGACCTATACTGCAGCCTGTCACCAGATGGTGCTGTTCTCGCGGTGTCTCCTCCCAGTGAGGAGGCAGACGTGTCCATTCTATATACAGTCTATGAGCATAATCCAGAAAATGTTGAGCTACTAATTAGTTTGAAAATGTTCCCACAGGATTATTTCAAGCATCACACAACTTTTCCAATAATTCATTGTAAACAAATATATGCAAACAAGCACAACAAGAACGAAAAGTCAAAGTAAGTTCAAGTCTGCACAGATTACGTCATGTTTCAGGAGAAATTATTGATGATATCGATGAAGTCAGAGAGGATGACTCCATGCTTGGATTAAAAGATGGAAAAGAACAAGAGTTTTTTTTTTTTTTCGCTGAGATGATTCAAGAGACTTAACTGAGCCGAGAAGCACCGGCTGAAGGGAGAGAAAGAGGGGGGATGAGGTTTCAAAGCTCGCCTCGTGTTGCTATTTTTAAAGAAGAGTCAATACAGAGGGAAGACAGACAGACGGAGGGGAGCTGCACTCGACTCGTTACAAGTCTTTGTCTTTAACTCTTCCTCTCAATTATCTCCTTCTTTCATATCAAACCCTTTATTAACACTGAGTTAAAATCCCGTCCCTATTTTTTCATGATGAAGAAAATAAAACACACTAAATACTTGCTGTGTAAGCATGAACAAAAGCATGTGTGAGTGTGTTTGAACCCTGGGGACCTGATGCTCTGATCTGTCCATCATGTAATCAATACAGAATGAAAAGGCTGTTACTGGCTCTTCAGCAGGGCAGGGATCGTCTTTAACGAGCTTCACTCAAGCTGACAGGACTGATGAATTCGCTCTCTACTTTTGATTGTTCAATAAATTCTTCAGAGGGCTGCGTTCGTGTCTTTAAAAGTAAATCCTTCATGATCTTTATCCGTACCTAACAGAGTGAAAAAGTTAACTCGAGTCAGTGACAGACGAGTCCTTCAAAAGTGACCCTCTCCTATATATTTTAGGATATGGACGTCACTCGTTTACTCAGAGGAGGTGTTATGGAACCCAAAGACGGTGGAAATACTGACTGCTTTCCTTAGCACACTTCCAACAACTACAACTGTCAGTCAAATCAGCTTTTCCCACAATTACGCCTAAATACACATCAGGGCCTGTGTCCACTTAGGAAGTTGTTTGCATTGGCAGTCCCTCTCACTCAGGCTCACCTATGCCCGGTTATGGCAGTTATCCCGCAACACTTCAGCTTCCTTTACTTGAGGACATTAGGTCTTTTTTTTATTCTCTAAAAACTTCAAATTTGCTTCATTTAGAAGGATTTTGCTGAGATATGTTAAGAAATGGACAGAAATGCTGTTGTCTTATTAGCATCTCTAAACTAGACAGTTACAAGTGCAGTTTCTCTGCATTCAGAGCTCAGCAATCACTGTTTTTGTAAAAGCTGATGTCATAAAAATTTCTTGTATTCGATCAACCCTGACAACTAGAGCTGTCAAAATGATGTTCAAATATTTGTTCTAAAAATAACACATAGGTTTGAATATATTCGAACATCTAGCGTACACAGCTTGCGTATAACTTAATCTCGCTCAGCATTTTTCCGTCTGGCGTGTCTGCCCAAAATCCGAAGAATTACCAAACAGAGCCTCAAAAGTTTGTTGGAGTCCAGACCACTCTCTCCGAACATCCCTCCATCTCTCTCTGCAGGTGCCACAGTCATTTTTTGTCGAGTCTCACAGCAGGTGCAGCTCCTGTGACCTGTCCCTGACCCGTCGTTTACACTTGCAAAGCAGCCGCTGTTTTTTTTTTTCTTAGTTTTTCTCCCTCCAAATTTTACGGCAGTCTATTTAATGTTCGAATTATTCGCATTAGAATGTCATTTTTCTAAGTATTTGAATATATATTTGAATTAAGAATATTCATTGACAGCCCTGATTGGCAGTACCTCTCACTAAAGATCACCTATGCTCGGTTATGGCAGTTGTCCCACAGCGCTTCTACTTCCTTTCCCACTGCCCAATGTGACGTCAAAATGACATCTATTCAACGTATTTTTTCGATGAGGTACAAATGTGGACGTCATTTCAACGTATAAAAGAGGTCCAATAATGGCGTCTAAATCTTGGATTTATTTTGCACGTTGTGTGGACGTCTGAAGATTTGGTCTTCAGATGACGTCCAAATTCTAAACGTCAGAGCGACGTCTAAAAAAGGAAGTTGCATGTCGCACTGACGTCTCCATGTGGTCTTTGACGGACCGACCCGATTCTGACTTGATCTGCATGTCTCTTCGACATCTGATGTTTGGTGGGTTACTGGAGGACGTTAGTTCTTTTTTTTTTATTCTCTAAAAACTTCAGCTGACAGAAGTGGTGTTGTCTTATTAGCAGCTCTAGACTAAGACAGTTAACTAAAAGAAAAACACCACTGTTCAAAAGTTGAACTCTTTTCAGTTGAGAGCAGAAGTAGGTGAGAACAGCTTGAGGTGTTTTTGCACCTTTTGTTTAATGTTGTGTGAGGAACAGGGACTGCCAGTAGTGGACACAGGCCCTAACTCTTCGACCATGAAAGTTTTTCCACACACAGTCAGAAATAAAAACGGTCACTCTGGCGTTTCAGAAAACCCTGTCAGCAAACCGCCAGCTTCAACTGTGAGCACTTTGTACAAGGCCAACAAACTCCTGCTGCCTGTCAGCGAGCCTCTGACAGCAGATTAACGGTGTAGTGACCTGAGCGCTGGTCACAGGGTGGGAATGTTTCTGTGGGCGACGTGTGAGTCCGACATGACTGCTGGGATTTCCATCTGAGCTGCTGCTGCCAAAAAACCTCCTCCTCCTCCTTCTCCTCCTCTTCGTCTCTCCTCCTGCTGCTGGCCCCTGGCTAGACCGCTGGCAGAATCCCACTTCCTGAACCCTCGTCTCCACAGCAACACAGCCAGGAAGAGGTTAAAAACCTTCCCAGAATCCCCTGCGGTTCTTTGGTATATGGTAGAGAGTGTGTGGAAGTCTTTGAGCCCTGGTGCTGCTGTTTCTTTCTTTGTTTTTTGGAGTACGAGTGTTTAAAGTCAGTGAGTCAGTGCCACCGAAACGACGAGCGGTTTTATAAATAGAGTCTGAATGGAGCTTCAAAGCCGCACTGTGTCATTAGAGCTCTATGAGGAGAAACAGAGAGCTTTGAAAGAGAGAGAAGCAGCGGAGAGAGTGAGATCACGTCCTGATGAAACCCTCGCTGAGGCATTTTTACAAGTGCAGAAACACACATTCACACCCTGACACGGTTAGTCACTCACAACTTTTGGATTCTGTGATTTTCTATTTAAAAATCTTGAAAGGTGGTGAAAAAATGTCCTCGTTCAGTTTGTGTCCAAAAAGCCAAGGGAGAGAGGCCGAGCATTAACAGGCCGGTTCAGTTTCTAATATTCCGATTAAATAGTTCAGAGTGCAGCAAAGTTTTTTACACTTTTATACACACACACGTGTCCATGCTGAGCTCTTGGCCGGCGTCTCTTCCTGTGACAGCGTGCAGCAGCTGAATCAGACCAGGCAGGGATGCTGGAGGCCTGACTGTCCTGATTTATCACCACCACCGGGATTTTCATGGACAGGGCTCTGCGTGAACAGAGATCTGTGTGAGTGTTTGTAACAAAAAAAAGGACTGATATAAAACAGAGAGGGAGGGAAATGGAGAAATGGAGCGGCAGAAATGAAATGACAGAAATGGAGCGGCTGAGCGGTGAGAATCGGAGGAACAGATTAATAAAGAGAAACAGACAAAGAGAGAGAGAGAGAAGCAGACGTAAGCAGAGCAACGGCTGTAACCGTCGCTGCTCGTCCTCCAGAGAAACATTCCTGCTCTCCAACAGCCGCTGACACGAGTTTCACTCACTTTTATGTTCAACAGACCGACACAATGCTCAATTCTACCAGACAGACTGTTTGAAACAGAGCTACAGGAGCTACACACTGAGTACAACAACCAGGACAAGCCCTATCAATACTCTTTACGCTGAGCTAACGGCTACTCAACACCTGGACCTCCATCATTAAAACGCAGGAATAAGAGTCAGTTAGCCGGAGTCTCAAAAAGAGTTATGAGACAGGAGTTCAGGAAAGTTAGCAATGTTTACCAGTTATTGATATAAGCCTACAATCCAGCATAGGCGACTTAAAGGGATAGTTCAAGTTTTTTGATGAGGGGTTTTTAGGGCTGGGCGATAAACCGAAAATTTACTGATACTGAAATTTATGACAATAACCAACGTCATTTTGACCATATCAATATATTTGGTGTCCAAAAAATCAATAAATCAAAATTTGGTTTTGGATGTGTGTAGGTAGGCTATGGTCTCATGTCCCTTTAAGACGCTGTCCTACATCAGAGACGTGACTCCACCCCATCCAGTCTGTAACAAAGAGGGAAAGACAGGTGAGGAGATGGAGGACGGTTCAAAAGTTGGAGCGGGGGTGAACAGCTTGTGGAGTAGTTATCGTCCATTTATCGTTATCGAGGTGAACTGATCAATATATTGTGATATTGATTTGAGGCCATATCACCCAGCCCTATGAGAGTCAGTTTTCTGGAGTCTCAAAAAAGAGTTATAAGACTGGAGTTTACTTATTGAAGGAAAGTTAGCAAGGCAGCTAAAATGTACAGTTTCAATGTTACCAGTTGAAGAAATCATCTCTTAATCCCAGTTTGTTTGATAAACCCATGCTAACATTGGTATTAGCCTTCAATCGAGGATAATGCAGATGGATATCAGATTGTAAATGCAGCATAAATATGTCAGAAATGGCACCAATACATTTTAGGCTACTTAAAGGGATAGTTCAGGTTTTTAGATGAGGGGTTTCTGTCTGTGTCAATAACTTTGAATCATCCTGTCAAGTCAAGTTTATCTATGAAGCACCTTTAAGAAGACAGCAGTCAAAGTGCTTTACATAGGATAAATAAAAGAAGTAAATAAATCGATAAATTACAATAAAACAATAACATAAAAAGAGTGAAATAAAATACAGACAGTCAAAGAATAAAAGCTACAGTGCCTATGATTCGTGTCTGCTCATTCATGAAACGCACTTGAGAAAAAAGTAGGTCTTAAAGGATGATTTAAAGTCTGTAGGGTCTGTGAGGCTCTAATATGACCATGTCGACTGTTCCAGAGTCTGGGGGCGACCGCTGAAAAAGCCCCGTCACCTCTAGATTTAAGTTTAGTTTTAGGGACGTCCAAAAGCAACTGAGTGGTGATGCAGGAGCTCTGACAGGTACAGAGGGGTAAGACCACTGAGGGCTATAAAAACGATTAAAAGAGTTTTAAAAGAATTGTCCTGTTAGAGTCACTAAAACAGTCTTTTCTGGGAGTCTGTGAGCTCCATCATGCTGTAGTTTCCTCTGGAATGCTGCTGCAGACGTTTGCTGTCCTGGACCTGCCTGCTCTAACTGCATCAGTCTCACCTCTGTCCATCTTTCTCTCTAAACAGTAGCGTCAGATGACTGTCTAACATGAGTCTGGTTCTGCTTTAGGTCTCTGTTCCCCTCTCCTGTTTCCTGCTCTGCCCACCATCCCGTCCTCTCCAAATCAAGACCAAAAGCCCCAAGATAGATCATAAAGTCATATTCACTGTTTTTTTTTTTTACAATGCTGTTTTGTATCTCTCTCTTTGACTCGGATGTCCAATCTCCCTCTTAACTTTGCGTGGGTTAAACCTCATTTTCTCGCACTTGAACACGACACGTTCGTTACATAAGTTTTTAAGGTCTAGATTATAAGCAGAGTAAGAGGATGAATGAGCGATTCTTCCCCTTAAAACACAGCCCCCGGTCAGGATGAGTAACACACTGACAAGCTGGATAAATGAGTGTCTAGACTAGATTCAGCTCCCCCTCACACACACACACAGACACACACATCACACTCACACATTAACACACATGCATACAGTAAAGACACAAACACAGGGAGAAACTGTGAGACTGAACAGGCTCACCGACGATACTGTAGCTTATTACTCAGCAGGACAGGACAGATAAGGAGTCGATGAAAGAAAGAGGCTGAGAGAAAGTGAAAGTGTGCACAGGTTAACTAATGACCTAAAATAAAAAAGTCAGGAGTCTGTCTTTACTGCTGTTTTATACGTACATGGATCAATGTTTACAGCTGCAGGACGTCACCCTGAGCACCATAAAAACACCATGTGGAGAAAATACATCTCTGCTCCTTCATATCTCACTTTTATTTCTGCTCATGATAACGTAGTGCAAACAAAGGAGCTGCAAATGAACGCCAGCTAGACTCAAAGATGGACAGAGAAAGGATGGAGGTGCTGGTCAAATATAAAGAAAACTCATGAAGGAGAAGTCCAGTTTTTACAACATTAGATGATTTAGAAGGTAAATAATTCAGTTAGAAAAGAAAAGGAAATGTTTGATTGTCGGAAAAGGGAAAAAATAGATTAAAAGATAATATTTATGGTTAATCTGAGGAAGAAGATTCTTCCTACTGGAACAAGACCGGATACTACCAAACTTTACCAAACTATCTTTTAACATAAAGTGTCCTATCCTATCATATCCTATCATATCATGTCAGATTGCATTGTATTGTGTTGTACTGAACTGTGTTAAATTGTAATATATCATATCATATCATATCATATCATATATCATATAATATCATATATCATATCCTAACATACCATATAATAATATATCACATCATATCATATCATATTGTGTCTGTGATATCGTACCGCATTGTATCATATCCCATCAGTCTGTATAGCATCACATGCTATCGTATTGTAATGTATCAGATCTCATTGTACTGAATTGTATCATATCATAACATATTGTATCTTATGGTATCATATTGTATTCTATGATATTGTATTGTAGCCTATTGTATCATATCCAATTGTATCACATCAGTTCATATCATATCGTATTGCATTGTATAGTATCATATTATATGCACCATATAGTATCATATCGCAATGTATCATATAGCTTTGTTTTGTACTGTATCATATCCTGTTGCATTGAATTTTACCTTCTCCTATTGTATCATATTTAATCGTCTCTTATTTTATTGTTTAGTATCATATCCTGTAGCATCGTATCATATTTGATCATATCTTATCATCTCCTATTGTATCATATACTATCCTGTTGTATTGTTTCATGTTGTTTATGCCAAGGCTGCATTACGACCAACCACACGTCTTGAATGTGACCTTGAGACAAAAATCTTTGCAATAACCTGAAATAAAATAAAAACTTTTGATTTCTGATCTTGATTGAAATATTTACATTAAAAATGGAATCACTCATCGACCTCACATGCAGTATATTCATGTGGATGATCATTGTTTACATTTGCCAGTAGAGTCATTGTTGTCTGATGTTTGTTTTCACACCACATCAGATTGTATTTCGAGGTTTTCTTTATGTCCTATATTAAAATCTAAATTTTTTCTGTCCTGATGAATCTAAATTTTGATGAAGAGAGTTTTAGGTAAGGGCGTGCCACTGCAGTTTTGTTGTATTGTATTGTCGTCCTGCACTTCAGTAGAATAACAGTACGACAACACGGATATGGAGGTAACTGCAGGTCGAGAAAGTAAAACCATTTCAATTAAAAAATCCAGGAGAGGCTTCTGATTACTGCAAATTGCTGTCGTCTCAAACGCTTAAGATGCACCTCTTCACCCTCCAGCACCAGAGGCGTGTTGTAGATTTCCACCTCTGTAACACCCGGTAGTAAGGGGGTGTGTCCCTGACCGGTGGAGAGGACAAAATGGGTGGAAGAGAGCCGCTTATAATAAAAAACTCACACAATGGATCATGGGTATGTTGTTTCTTGCATGTTTTCCATCCTGTCTGGCTCAGTCGAACAGTCTCCTGCACTTGAAGGTCCAACATAAGGCTGCGTGTGACCATCTGCTCCAGAGCTGCAGGAGGGGAAACCCTGAATGTTCAATTTTTTTGTGTGTGTGTGTATATCCTCTTTCTCTTTCTCTGACTGCACCCTCCATAACACTCACACTGAGGTTTTTCCAGACAGACAGACAGACAGCCTGCAGTGATGGAGCCCACTGGGACTCCTACAGCAGGTGGAGGTGGTTTGAAAATGGAGGTTCCTCTGGATCAATATAACCTACCTCTGATAGTTAAAACAGAGCTATAGCTGCAGCTGGTGTCACCAGTTTTGCACGCATGCCGTCCTCTGTCTCTGTGATTGTGTAGGGAGGGAATGTGTTTGCATGAATGGACATCAGACATGGAGACCGTGCACACACAGGGCTGCAGACTGGAAGCCTCTTTGTCCCAACACACCGCTTCTGTTTGCGTCCATAACACCAACTAATGACATTTATCCATCTGTAGCTGCCTCTGTGCTGTGTGTCTGTCTGCTGAGTCTGTCATTAGTGGGAACAACCTCGGCAGCCTTCTCACGACCCAAAAAGCCTCTCTGCACTCACTGCCCGCTGCCTGTTTCAGCCCCAGCCCTCCGGAACACAAATCACGAGCAGCGTGCTTGGAAAATTGCACGTTTAGAGCCAATAACGGAGTTTGTGGTGGTTTTTATACTGAAAATACACAAATAGCATCCCTTCACAGTGAACATAGAGGCTGAAATCAACACGTTATTGATAAAGGAGCGAGAAAAGCGTGGAGACAACACCTTATGAGGACATATTTTGTGAAATGCACGCTTAAAAAATCGCTTTGAAACCAATTCTGTGTGTTTTTAGCGTTTTTACGCGCTTTACGCATCATATTCAACATCGATCTGATAGTGCTGGTCGGTAACGAAATCAATGATCAATCAAAATCATAACTGCTCTCGACATCTCTTGAAAACACATGATATCGATGATGTAACGATGCACGGGTGAGTGGGATATAAAAAAAATCAGCATGCTTCACGAGAGGAGCTCCGGAGCCGCTTACCTTCACCGGGGAGCAGCGGTCCTCGTATCCGAGCACAGAGCGAGGGAGGCCGGGGATGCTGCCGCCGCCGCTCCGCTCTCCTCCCCGGATGGATGAATGTGTTGATGGACGAAAAGATCGGGTGATTTCTCCTCTCGGTTACCCACGTTTTCCTCCAACAACAACAAGACTGGATACACTGCCGGGGGGGAGGAAGAGGCAGTGAGGAAGAGGAGCAGGCAATGTAATCCAGATAGAAATGGCTGTCCGAGTCTTCCTCCTGGCTTTCCCCCCTCTCTCTCTCTCTTTTCTCTCTCTCTCTCTCTTCACCACAACCCCCCACCAGCCCTCCTCCTCCTCCACCTCTCCTGGTCACTCTCTCTCTCTCTCTCTCTCTCTCTCTCTCTCTCTCTCTCTCTCTCTCTCTCTCTCTTTCTCTTTCTCTTCAATGGGCTGTTTTCACGGCCCTGACATTTAACCCGTGTCTATTGAGTCCGTGGAAATTGAAATTTCGGTTGTAGTCCTGCGTCAAATGTGGCCGAGCAGCACCGCCAAACACACACACACTTTCACACACACACACACACACACACACACACACACACACACACACACACACACACACACACACACACACACCCATTTTAGGGTGGACACCGAGGGAAAAAAGGGCGTTCACATTCTCATATTTGCAGCAGCTACTCATTCATAATCATCTCAGGATTACAGAGAGGAAGGAGCAGAGCAGGAACTTTCACATCACATGAGACAGCATTAATCTGGGATTTTATAATCCTCACACACACACAAACACACACACAAACACACACAGGCTCCCTCCTCCCTCTTCAAACAGCTGGAGGAAGAGAGGGAGTCGCTCAAAAAGAAATTGATCACAGATGGAGAGGGGTGTGAGGGGAGATGTGTTCCCTGAAACCAGCAGGGAGAAGGTGTTCATCTTTAAAACTGACCCTAACATCAGGAATGTAAGAGCAGAGGCAACCTGGGGAAGAGGTAGGGGAGACCGGGGCTTGTCGTCACACTTTTTACACTCATGTATTTCTTTGAATCAATCCATCAGATATAAACAAAATGTGAATCAGATGAAAGATCAAACTCTCAGGTAAATATTTTGTATTCATGTCATTTTCATATCTCGTATCAGTGCAGAGTTATAACCAATCAAATAGAGAGTGTGATCATGTGACACGTTGGCCCACCATCGGGTAAGTTGTCTCATTGTGTGGGCTAAGATGTCACAGTGGATTTTGGAGCTGATAAAACAAGAAAACAGAAAATGTTCATTGAGTTAAAGAAAAAGTCATTGAACAAACGTTAACATCAAATATTATCAACATGCTCTGGAGTTTGGAGATCTGACTCCGTGTTTCGGCTGGGTTGAATGTTTCGCAGTACCGAGCTAAGGTATGATAGTTGAAGTCCTTTATTGTCCTCCAGATTGATTTATTAGTGAGGGTCACCTGTCTGACTGTCCTGTTCTGTTTTTCTTTTGTAACTCCTGACCATGTCTTCTCTCTTTCTCCTCTCCTTTAAATAACTCTTTTCGCTGTAAAAATAAAGTCAAAATTTCATTATGACAACTGCTGATAAACAGACTCTCTATGTTAATTTTAATCCCTTTAAAACATGTGAAAACTAACCCCAAAATGACTGAGACATGTTGCCCCAAACTACCGTGTTTGCTAATTAGAGCTCTATCTTAAAGTTAAAACAGAACAGTGACTGAGGTATGACACAATGCCTTAATTTCTCCTCTAACAAGTCCACATGTTTCACTGCTAGGATTTTCATCTTGAAGAAGCTGATTTCAAAGTAGATAAAGTTAATTTTTTTACTTTAGGTTGTGCGAAATGGTTAATTGGCGTTCATCTCAGCTCACAATGTGCTCTTCTCTTCTCAGACAGGACACGACCCCTGACCACGTAAAGGAACAAAACTAGTATTCCACTTTTTAGTTGTGCCCAACTTACCCATGTGACAGCAAGCCCCGGTCTCCCCTACAGGATCGGATCAGTTTTTAATCCCTGATCCCCACTGTGTAAGGTTTATTTGAACATATTCAGACAGAATATCTGGGGGTCCAAGAGCAGGAACTTTTGAGCATTGAACACCTAATTCTTCGCTCCCTGATTGATTTTTATTTTCGCCGATTTGTGGTGAGAAATTAATTATTTTATAACAAAGTCAGATGATCCAGAACCCCCACAATCCAAATCCTGCAAAGATTCCATCCAATCACACTTTCCACAGATTACTTCAGACCCTCAAAGGCTGTATGATCTGGATTAAGTTTTCTTCGATCCGTCCTTTATTCTCAGGTAAACAACCTCAGTGTAGACGCTGTTAGTGTTGGGAATCTAGTTTATTTAATCTTCCATTAAGGTTCTGATAACTGTTTTTAAATCAAAGTTCATCTATGAGGTCTGAGCGAGTCTGGAGGGCAGAGCTCTGAACCACACAGATCAGGATTAGAGTGATTCATGGAAATGATCGTGTTTTAGTCCATGTGTTTGTTTGACTGTCTGTCTCTCAGGCTGATAAGACGCCGGGTTAAACGAGGATCTATCACTGGGATTGCTTTGTGTAGGTTGGGGGTTTTGGGGGGTTTAGGTCTCTGATAATCCAGACTCTGTCATCCTTCATGTCAGAGGGAGTGAGGTCTCCTTGGATAATCTGAGCCGCTGTCACTTTAATCAAACATCAGCTGATGGACTGAGGGCTGCTGTGACCACAAACAAACAAAAGGGCGAAGTTCACCTGTATCTCTGCTCTTTTTTTATCATTATCGGTTAATAATTAAAACGATTGACGATCGCTCAGTCAGAGCTGAGCTGTATGGACTGGGATCTGCTGCTCACTCGCTGCCTCTGGCTGTGAACTCTGAATAATTAGATCTACACAATTGAAACCTTGTGATGGTGTGAGTCATGGCTACAGGTGCTGCAGTGTGTTGTGGAGCTGGGGCCTGGTTTTCTACATTTTACACTTTAATGAGGTTTATGTGAAGAGGACGCCTGCATGTGGACACAGATTTAGAGTCTATAGAGTTTGGATTGTTGGTGTGACTCCAAACAGACAGGAGGAGGTTCAAAACTGGATCTTTAGACGTCTCTGCAGTCTTAAAAGTGTTTGGTATAAGTGTCATAGTTAGTGAGCAGGATTGTTTGGTTATAGGGCTGGGCGATAAAATGATAATGATATGTATCAAAAATTAATTTCCCTCGATATCGGTATAAAACATGGTCAATATGCTTTCCGATAGTCTGCATTCTGCCATGTTTTGGTTGACTTTACAAATAGCCAATGAAAGGAGAGTCGCTCCGGGTCTGTGCTGCGCCTTACTACAAAACGTCAGAGACACAAAGACTTCAGGGAACATTTAAGATTGATAAGGGTTTTTTTATATCGTGACATGTATCGATATCGATATATATGAAAAAAAAATATTGTGATCAACTTTTTCCCATATCGCCCAGCCCTATTTGGTTATTAGTGTTTATAAAAAAATAATAATAATTTAGTGCATCATGATGACTTTAGGCGCTTTAAGTGAAAGCAACAATCTTGGTGCCATATATCACATAATTAAGAACTTATCAGTAACTTTTGTGGATGAAAGAAAAGACTAAATGGACGTCTCAACAATTGTCTAAATTTTATTCAAATTTTTAAACATTTTATGAAACTTATTTTATGAGCCATTTCATCTATATTTTTGGGGGGTTTTGTTTTGTTACTCACACAATCACCACAAGGGGCACTTCAGGTAAACACTACAAAGGGACGCAGGTGAAGCAGTGACCTGGGGAAAGGAGAGAGCACACATTTTTTACCGCTAATCTCTGACACCACTCTCACCCTCATCACGAACATCACCATCATGGTAAGTTGGATGTATCTGTCTTTTTTTTTTTGTTTGTTTGTTTTTCATTAAATCAATAAACGGCAACAACAACAACCTTGAATTGGACATTGGATTGTACTAGAAGTGCGTCAAAAACACCTCACTCCTGCACCCAGACAGTGACTGAAACTCAGGTCAGCGTAGTCACTACACTGTTTGAGAAGTTTTTTGTCTAAAACATGCTAAAAGATGAGCTCAAATTTCAAAGAATAACTAAATTCATATTTGTGCAAAATACATTTCTGCATGAGAGCTCCTAAATGTTTAATTTTAGTGTTTTATTGAGCTTTAGAGTCATGAAAGTGACAATATCATTTCCTTACATGATTTTTCAGCAGCCTGGTTTGAGTGAGCAGCTCTGAGGGTCTTTTATCATTAAAAGCAAAAAACCTTATTTATCTTTATTTTTATTTACCACTTTTTTGACATTATAAGACAAGGTGTTTAAACTGTTCTTAAAAGAAGTAAAAATCTCAAATAAAAAACTTGTGGTAAGACAGAAATTGAACAAGAGACCGCTGTGACAAAAGTCTCTGAATAAGAGGTGATCTTAAACCAGGTCATCCTCACTTTAGTACTAACATTAACATTTAAGCCTAAGTCTCCTGTTCTCCTACATGAATTCATGATAGCATTTCCATCCGTACATTTTCAACCGTTTCATCCTTAATTCATAAAACGCCAGATATTGTTCATTTATCATCGGTATCTTATCTTTCTTTTCCTTTGATAAAGATTATCACAATTGATAAACATCAGCTCCTAAAACCAAGAAAATGAGGAGTATTGGCTCTTCACTGCTGAGTTTGTGTTATCTTTGCTTGTGGCGCCATCTTGTGGTCGGTTTGAGTCCCTCCTAATCCCATCAGTCAGAGTTAAATGCCTGTAATCGAATTAGGATGTCGAACAACATCCATTCATATCAGCCCCTCATCGAAGACGTCCAGCCGTCCCCGTGGAGCGTTTACCCACTAATCTGATGATTTTCTCAAATTAGGTCAGTGTGGGTTGAGAAAAAGGAGTTTTAGTTTAACGTCCATTTAGAGTAGAGGTTCAACTGAACACGATATATGACAAACACAGCTGGAGGAGAGACGGGACGCCATTTAGAGCAGCTGTGGTGAGGAGATGTTTGTGTGTGTAGTTTTATAAGTCAAGCATGAAGCATCTTGACATTTTAAATTCATCCTCATGAATCAGGACAGCGAATAGAAAACAGCTGACTAGTTCTTCAGCTCAATCTGTCAGTTATTATGATTAATCCATAAATCCTTTAAACATCTAAATATTGTCTATCACATTAACCCGGAACTCTAAGTAGCTTCTTCCATTTACTCTTTTGTCGAGCTGTCGATCCAACCCCGAAAGAGTCTTCGTTTACGGTCATGAATAAAAAAATAATTATATTGTTTTTATGGAGCTGGAAACCGCAGATGTTCGAGTCTGTTCCCTAAAAAAATCACTGCAGGAGTTAATTAACATTCAAATCAGTAAATATATGAAGTTTTCTTTTAATAAATTCATTGACACATGGATTGACATGAAGAAAAAGACATTTTTACTCTGTCTGCATGTGTTTGTATCAGAGCTACGGAGTAAAGATTAGTAAAACTGTCATTTATTGTGTTCAGATGGTTAAATATAGAGTAGAAGAAGCATCATTGCAAGTAAAGATAAGACATTTAAAGTAATTAAAGAAAATCCGCTGTGATGTGACAGATGTGGGGATCCAAGGAAGCTAAATTAACCCAGTCTCTCCTGGACTAAATGAGTTAATTTAGAGTCACTCAGTCGAGACATCTAAATATTAACTCCTTTACTTTAAAGAATGAACTGCTTCCATATTTCAGTTTATAAAAATCTTGTTTTATGCTGTCAGGGGCTGCTAATGCTCCTGAAAAACTACCTGGACTTAAAAACAATATTCTAGTTTTGAAATGTGTTGCAGTAGGAGTATTTAGAAGCATGAAACAAAAGCAGTACCTCAAATCCACCAAGAATATGAGTATAGTCACAGACGGGGAGAAGAGGAGTACAGTGGATAATAACATTTATTTGCAAACTTGTACAGACGAACAGGAAATGTTAATTTCTGGTTGAATTTACACAAAAACAGAGCTGCAGATTTAAGGTCTATGTTTGTACGTGTGTCAGCTCTCAGGGTTACACCTCCTCCTGGCCTGAGTGGCATGGCGGAACCGTGTACTTCCCCTCCTTTATCAGCTTTTCTCGCTGCTTACGGATGGTGGACAGCCGCTCGCGCTGCAGGAAGAAACACAGGAGAGATTTGTTTTCAGACAAGATGCAGAGACCAAAAGGAAAATATGGAAACAGATGAATAAATGACCCTCAGCCCGACACCTTTATGTGACACGACAGGAATAAAAATTGAAGTGACCTCAACTTTAGATCGTGTTCACCCGATTACTGTGGAAAAGAGGAGAAAAAACACTTCCTACCAAGTTTAGAGCAACATGTGCTTCATCAAGTCCAGATTTAGTGGTCCAGAGGAAATGATGGCGGCGTACTGAAGCGTCGACGACAGATTCAAAACTATCATTTAATTCTTCAGGCGCCCTTTAGTAGATTCTTCTCATTTATATACGTGTTTATCGGTGTGAATCAGGCTTCCCTCTGCTGCTCGTCTTTTAACAGGCAAACGAACAGGCAGACGTTACTAAAGTTGGTATAACTAGAGAAGCAAACGGTCGGCAACATTCATCTCTGGAGGGGGTGTCTAACTCGGTGTTACGGCGTGTTTGACCCTAAATTAATTCTACGCTGGAATATCCCTTTAAGACCAACATCATTGTAGACACCGATGAGCACCAACAATATCTTAGAAACATGTTTATCATAGATTTGTGATATTATTTTTCTTATGTCTGGATTTTTTGTCCATATGTTCTTGTTTTTCCACACAGAGAGAGAACACTTAACTAAGTACCCCAAATCTGAACCATGACTAAGCGGATAACACGATCTAAGTGTCATGTCAGAATATAAAGCTGTCATTCATTCATTCATTCGAAATCAGCAAGTCATCCTGCATCATCTCCATCATCTTATATAAAAAGACGTTGCTGACAGAGAGAGAGAGAGACTGAGTGTTGGGATACAGGCAGAGAGAGAGAGAGAGTTCCTGCTGCTGCAGCACAATCACAGAAAGCAGACGGAGCATCTGTCAATCTGTCCTCTGCTGACTCACACAGCAATTAAAACTGACCTCACTTTAACTCCGACTGTATAGAAAGGATTAGACATGGATGCTATTTTTGTTCCGGGATGAAACTCCGTCTTTAGTTTAGAGTCTTTTTGCATATAGAAGCTGTTTTTTTCCCCTCCCTCTCAACACAAACTCCTTTCTCCTCCTCCCTCCCATCCATCCATCACTCTTAACTCTTCGCTAAAATCAGTCTGTTTAAAGAGGCTCAGGTTCACGGGAACGTCAACATTTCAAACACTACCCTTCATTAAAAGCTCTTGGTTGTTGAAAGCCATCAAACAAACTTTGGAGGTCGATTAAAAACCCTTCCTGTCACATTTACTAAACTGACTTCATCTTTGACTCAACGCTATGAAGCTCATGTCAAATAGAATTTTATTCATGGCGTATCAACAGCCTCGTACCATCTTCTGCCTGTGCATGCACTCGTAGAAATCCTCGTACTCCAGCTTGCACTCCTGTTTGGCGCGGGTCTGCCCGATGCCGTGGGCGCACTCGATCCACTCTTTCTCGAAGGCGTGGCAACGTGCGGCTTTCTTGTAGGGCTGGACTCCGCTCTGAGTCTGCATCCAGCGGTCGACGTTGATGCCGAGCCGCGACTGCACGTCCACAAACGGCATGATGCTGGTGGAGGAGCAGCGAAGGATTACAGACAGAAATACACAGATTAGAAGGAAAGGGATGCAGAGATTACGTTAATCTAACATCAATCTAGGGCTGGGCGATACGGGGAGAAGTTTATCATGATATATTTTTTTCATGTCAGTCAATATCGATAAATATCACGATATAAAAAAATGACATTTAACAGTGTTTATTGGTCGCATATCTTTTGTAGTTGAAGTTTTCGTGTCAGTGTTGTCGATGATGTCGTCATCTGTTGAGCCTTCATGGTCATTTCTGTCGGGGTAGCACTCATTTACTTTGCTGTCGGCTTCACCTGTTAAAGTGCTATGGTTGGGTGTAGCTGCTGTCTGCTACAACTGCTGTCTGCTTCTAATTCAGCACATGATTGGTTCGGACCCAGAGCAACTCCCCTTTTCATTGGCTATTCATACAGTCTACCAAAACATGTCAGAATGCCGACTATTGAAAAGCACATTGACCATGTTTTATATCGATATTGAGGGAGATTAATTTTGATATACATCATTATCATTTTATCGCCCAGCCCTACATTAATCTAATATAAACATGGGATGTTCAAGCAACTAAGAAAACATGTTTTCTCTGTCAACATTTCTTACAGTCTTAATGAGCCATGAGTTATTATCATACATGACCAACATTCATGAGGGTTTAGAGTACGACGTTATCAACAGTCTCTCTTAACAATAAAACACCCTGTCATATTTACATCCTATCTGTCAGCATTCAGACATTTTCCTTGAGTATGACTTTTCTCCGAGAACGACAACTCCTTAACATGATAACTGATAAAGTTAGCTTTTTTACACCTCAGGTAATCATCCTCCCAAATCTTTAATGTTAACATCACAACTGCTTTGAGTATTTACAGGTCCTGAACTCTGACTTTTAGAGACTAGTGTCCATAGATTAACATTTATAAAATCCCAAAGCTGGTGCATCTCTAAAAGTAAAAAAACCTTTAAAATATTCAATATCTTGCATCGTTTATGATCATTTATAATGAAAAGTCTGTGAAATATGCTGATTAAGCCGGTTGATTTACTATTTTGTGTTGGATATAGTGTATATACTTGTACATTATCTCTTTATTTTTACTTATTTTATCTCTTTATCTCTTTATTTTTACGTCTTTTATCTATTATTATCTCCTCTTCCTACTTTATTTGCCCTGGAGTTACTGTTACTGGGATTATTAAAGTGATTTTGATTCTAATATGTTGGTGCTAACAGCAGAGAGTTAACCACACCACTAAAACTGGATAACCGGATAAATATAATGATAATAACTTAGAGTTTGAGCTTTGCATGTCTCCTTTAGGTCCATATAAGAGCACATTAACCTCCAGTCTTTACTGAATCTGTTTAAATGTTAAATATTTGTATAAATTCATCTTTAATTTCCTTCAATGACAGTCCGATCACACTAACAAAACAGGTCGCTCTATAAACCTGTAATTCTGACAAACAGACGGCTGATAAACGGCACACAGTTTCCTAACACTCTATTAGAAAGAAACAACCTGTTAAAATACACCTATAACACATAAAAACGTGAATATTTACCGTGTTTTGCAGAATTCCTTTTAACCTTCCTCCGTCTTCACACGTTCCGCTTTACGGCTGATCCCAACACGAACGTAAAACGTCAGAATATGTCGAGAAGAGACGCGTCATCGCTGTGGAGGGGTTCCCGTTACTGCCGCCTACTGGACATGACTGTGGGGTGTATTTAGTTTAATTCAAGAGAGAAGTCTGTGGCTGTGTCTCATTTCAGAGACCGCATCGAGCTAAGTGCACTTCTGCACCGTCGAACGGTGCATTTGATGCAATGTGTTGTCAAATCACTGATTTAGTTAAAATTAAGACAATATTCCTTTACAGGAACAAGACCGGCATTTGGAGACCTTAGGAGGACTTCCTGGTGGAGTTGCCAAATGTCCCCGCCCTCAGGCTCGCGTCACGACTGACTTAAAGAAAACCCGCGGAGCGCAGCATTTATTTTTTAATTGTGCGACCTTGCACAGACACAAAATAGTAGATACATACAAGCACAATTCATCCAATGATTGTTTTGTATGAAGGAGTATGAGGGCCATATTGAGATTGAAGACTTTAAAGACTTCGAGATTTAAGTCATGAATTTACAAGAATAAAGTCATTAATTTATGAGAATAAAGTTTTAAAGTTTGACCCCTTAAAGGTGAAACTCAGTTTACTTGGGGTGTATCCTTGAAAAGGGTGTAGATTTATACTGAATTTAATCAAAAACACATCACTGGCTTTGTTCATTTCTTTAATTTCCCATTTAAATCTAAAATAAACTGATAAGAAGTTGTTTTATTGAACCCAAAATGACTGAATGAGATCTCTGATTTTTATTTTTCTACACATTTGTCTCTTTAGATGTTTAGTTTCCCTTTCAGAATTGTTTTGTTCCTGCAGGATTTATATTACAATGTTATCAAGAGTATCTTTGTGGTACACAGAACAATCAATCAGGACTCGGCGCTTTGGTGCAACATCAGATTGTGTTTATTTATTCTTCCCCAAAGGTCCACAAGTGGTCTTTCACAGTCCTGCATGTAGCACCCCACACAGCGCAGGGCTTTAACAGTGACAGGAAATACACAAACAATATAATAACACTTAAATATTGCTATCTATATACTCTAAACCTTTCAAATAAGAACAGGACCACCTGTGGGCTTAACGGGAAACCTCCATTAACACTCACACTCCGTCCGTGGTACATTCGTGTGTTTTCTCACAGGCAGGCAGGCAGAAACAAGTGATAAGTGCGGACCAAACAAAGCACTGTCAAGTTCTGTAAGCAGCTAAATCCATAAAGCTACTCTGAGATGAAAAAGGTCTCCAGGTTTTTTCCTTTTCAGATTAAAAAGAAAACCCGGAGGAACCTTTTCGAACCGAAGCACAGAGGTGATACAAAGCTAAGAAACAATTCAGGCAGGTGAGCATGATTAAGAAGAGCTTATCGGCACCCACGTTTGAAGAGTTTGGCTCCAAAAGTTGAACTTACGTCGAAGAGATGATTAGTAAAAACAAAAAACTGATAAAGCTAGGAATAAAAAACAGAATAATTACAGTCCTTGGATCGTAAAGTTGATAAAAACACATCAAATATTCTTAAAAATACTGAATTATAAACATGACAAAGCATTTCATCGTAAAAGATTACACAAGATTTTGGAGCCAAACTCTTCTCGAGTTACATCCAACATAAAAGGCCTTCAGGAGGTGATTTATTTTGGTTGTACCACTGACTTTAGTTTGCAACTGAAGCAAACTCACTCTTAGCAACGGATGATCGAAGGCAAATAAAAACAGATAAATAAGATAATTCCAGATAAAGTGCACGAGTGCTCATTCAAAAAACAACAAAGTGGGACGAACGAATACATTCATCAGGAGTCCATTCACGCACAATCAACACACAAACAAACAACATTCAAGTGGGTCAGATCGACCGCCGCTGTGTCAAGGATGAACGCCAGTTTGGGGGCGCGATGTGTTGTCGCTGGTCCAGTCACATGACACAGAGACCCAGTCACAGAGCGAGAGAGAGAGAGAGAGAGAGAGAGAGTCCTGACAGCGAGCAGAGAGTGGGGTCCAGTTTTCTATCAGACAATCAGCGCTTTTCGCAACGAGGTTTCCAGGAATGATTAAAATAACGGCTAAAATAGTTCGTTAAAGCTCCAATAAGGAACTTCGGGCTTGTGTCACTCTTGGCGCCCCCTTGTGGACAAAGAAAGCTGAGATTTCCAGTTTTGAGAGTCAGGACTCGGGTTTCATCGGTATGTGGCGTGCAGTTTCAGCCACATCCTCACGATAAAGTTGTTATAAATTTAAAATAAAAGAGAGAATAAAATTTCTATGTTACGAGGAGAAAGACTGAAACTTGTACCATAACAAATATTTTCTTGTAAAATAGTGATTTAAGATGAATCTAATCTGGTAACATAACTCTAATCTCACAGGGTAAATACTCTCCTAATTTAGCGACTCTAATCTTATCTTAACATTTTGTCTTTATTCTTATTGCTCTATTTCATAATTTAGCTACAGTCATCTCTTAACACTATGTCTAAATTCTGATTATTATTTGTTACATAAGGATTTTATATCGTAATATAATGACTCTACATTCATAATATATCGTCCTGCACGTCTTCTTTGTAACTCACACTGAACTCTGGGTGTTTGGGGGTTAGCAGGCGTATAAAATGACTGAAATAAACAATCTTCTCTCTGATGGTTTTATCACCAAAACTGGAGTGTTAATCTTTGTCCTAAATCTCCTAAATCTAAATACCTGTTCTCTTTAGTGTCTTAAATGTAACTGGAATTAAGTTAACTGTAAAAGCCCTTGAGAGTTACTATGTTTAATCTTTGCTCTCATTCAAGTATTTCACCCACTACTTCAAACTGTTTATGAAGGAAATCAGCATCAAGTTTTTTTCTGGATCTGAACCAGAAGATGATTTTAAAGCTCCTGTGAGGGACTTTAAGCTCGCGTTGATCTTGGCTCACCCTGTGGATGAAGCGTTTTTTATCTCTTTACCGATCGTGTCCAAAAAGTCGATCTCATTGGAAATCTTTGTGTACAATTAATCAAACTGTCTGACACCTACAGTTAGGAAGGAGAAATAATCCATCATCTCGCTGACGGGCCTGTTTGCTTTTCTAGGTCGTAGAGAGGCGTCAATAACAACGTCAGTCTGTTTTGTTTCGTCCCTCACTGGAGCTTTAAAAATAATCTGCTGATAAATCGTTTCTGCTTTTTTTGTGATTGGCGGTCTGTGCAAAACAGGAGGACAGTTTCATTCGCTGATTCCCAAAAATGATTCAGAATAAAACAGCCTCTTTCTTCGGGTCATTGTCAGGACTCACTCTCTCTTTTCTCTGTATAAGAGGGCTTTAATTCTTTTGTCCTCATGAGCGTCATCCCAATCCTCCTCCTCCTCTTCCTCCTCGTCGTCTGTGCAGGGAAAGTGAGATTCAAGTGCAGCTTCGTCCTCTCCAGTAAACTTTAACTTTCACCCTCAGTGTAACAGAAGCTCACTGCCTTTTTAATCCTCTCTCACACGGCTCATGCAGACTCATGCACGCAGCAGACGAACATAAAATTCAAGGTTGTCTGAATATAAATAGAAGAAAAAGCAGAAAACAAAGAAAGCCACGATAGCAAAGTCCACATTCACTCCCTCATCGTTAAAAACATCCCCGTCATCCTCTGAAGACGATCCTTCTCCCTCTGCTGTGCTTGGTGACGTTTCACCTCTTAATTTTGAGAAATTCTCGGGGAAATTTGTACCTCTTTTTCTTCGCTTTTTCTTTTTTGTGTTTTTTTGTTTTTTTGCTTGAGTAGCCAAGGCATTTTGCACCGAGGAGTAAACATAAATCATCATGTTATAAATCTCAGAGGTAGAACCCTGACAATGTTCTCAGTGAGGAGATTGACAGGTAGAAAGATAAGACAGGCGGACAAAAGTAAACAAACTGTGTTTAAGACGGTGTGTGAGAGAGTCGCAGAAGCAGCTAACAGGTAGAAATCGAGGATGGAAAGCTCAGATGGAGAAAGAGAGTAAATGAAAACTGTCGGGGGGTTCGAAAGTCTTTTGTGCGACCCTGAGAGCAGCGTTTCTCTCAGACGTAGAGGATGACGTTGCTGTCTGTGGGACAGTGAAGGCCTTCAGGGGGGTTCAGGGCTCGGCAGGAGGGGGGCTGGGGCTGTTGGCCTGCCGCGAGGTGGCAGCTTTTCAGGTGGGGGGAGTCACAGTCGTCGGACGTCAGCTCTGCGATGTCGTCGGACTGCGTGTCCGACATCTCCAGGTCGCTGCGGATGCTCTCCGGCTGAGCCAGCGTGACGTCCCGGAGCCCCTCCCTGATCGACGCGCCCGGGGACAGTCCCAAAGCGGAGCCGGACAGAGCCCCGCCCCTTCTCGAGCTGCAGTCCTGAGGCTCCTCCCCTCCTGAGACGGTCGCCATGGTAGCGGAGCCAGGAGGCGGGGTTAGGTCCTCTTCGCTGGTCAGGCAGAGATGGCTGGGTTTGGTCTCGATGTCCACCTGGATCTCCAGGTTGGTGCAGTCCCTGAAAAAACAAGAGAGACGCAGAGTCAGACTATGATTGTTTTTGTTCATTTGTCTTTGTTTTAATTCTATCAGAACAGAATCTGATGTAATCCGGTTGGATTAAAGGGATATTCCGGCGTAATATTAATGTTACACACCGTAACACCGAGTCAGACACCCCGTCGAGATGAGATGAATGTTGTCGACCGCTTGCTTCTCTAGTTAAACCAACTTTAGTAACGACCGCAGGATAGAAATACAGAGAGTCACGCCCTCAACCAAAACGCCACTTTATATTGATGTAACTAGAGAAGCAAGCGGTCGGCAACATTCATCTCTCGACGGGGTGTCTGACTCGGTGTTACGGTGTGTTTGACCCTAAATTAATTTTACGCCAGAATATCCCTTTAAGAAAAGGAGAAGCTGAGAAAACACGAGTGACGACACTTGAGGTGACTCTTGAAGCAGAAACGGCAAACAGGAAGAGCGGTGTCTCACCTGTCAGGTAGTGTGTAGGAGGAGATGATGGAGCCGGCCATCCCTCGGGTACTGGCGCAGTCGCTCCCCGCTCCCAGGCTGCCGGTCTCCCTCTGGGCCGACTCTTTAGCCAGCTCCCCGGCCTGCACCTCCAGCCTGGAGGAGACCAAACAGAGTCAGTTATAGTCAGAAACATTTACACTCTGTGTTTATTATCTCATCTGTGGTGGAGAAGATCTTAACCCCAGCTCCTCCTCACCTGCTGTATTTGCCGGTGCGAGTCCCCAGTGCGCCTCCTGCCAGTGTGTTAAAGTGAGGAGTGTCCCCCAGAGTCCCCGGGGCCACAGAGAGCCCCTCACTAGGGGAGGTGGTGCTCATCCCGCTCACCGCCCCGTCCAGACTGCTTTCTCCCAGGCTGGGGGACTTTAAGGCTCGCCATGCGTCTGCCACTGAAGGATTTACACAAAATATTCTTTACAGCAGATGTAAAAAAGTGTAAATCTGAAAACTTGGTAAATGCAGACTGTTTCACTCACCTGTGATTGGACCGTCGTCCTCATCGAAGTCGATCCTCACTCCTCGCCCTTTCCCTCTGCTCACACCGCAGCCTCCTCCACGACAGAGAGAGATGGGGACCACACCGTACACATAGGCCAGCATGATAGGAACACCGATACCTGAAATAATGACACGGCAAACAATCATCAAACACTCATCGCCTTTTCAGCTCATTAAAACTCAAACTTCTGACTGAAACTGTCGTCTAACTTTGTAGAGGAAGGTCAGCGTGTAAGAAGATTAGGAATCAGAGTGTCCTCTCTTTCCCTCTATTTCAGGCTTACACTGTCAGCTTTAGATAGACTATAATCCTGAATAAATAAATGTAGTAAATAAAGGATTTCAGCAGCAAGAAAACCAAGAAAAGAAGTCACGATTTCTCGAAATCCAGATTCTTGTCTGTATCTCTAAAAATAAACGAACTGTGCCCATTTTTCTTGAACCCTCGCAGATTCACGGTGAATAATAACGCTCGGTGTGATCCTGTCAGGCTTCTTACCCACGCTGACAGCTGCGATGACAGGAGCGGTGACGATGGACAAGGCCACGCCCCCCGTGATGGCGAGGTTCCTCCTGTGACGAGAGGACTTCTTCAGCTCGTAGTGGGCGTGGATCTGCGGCAGAGGAGACAGACGGTTTAGAGCGAGGCCGGTTAGAGGTTCGGACCAGTTCAGGAGGATGAGACAACAACCTCAGACTTCTCCACTCCTGCAAGAGTCTGCATATATATGAGATGTAATTTTCTCTTTCTCCACAAGGGGGCGCTGCGGAGTCTTACTGTGCAAAAGCTCCTCTCTGCACCCACTGCTCCCTCACACACACCAACAAAAACATCATTTTACTGTATTTCCAGTTTGAAACCTTAAATTTATGAGCTGTTTTAGGGCTCTGAAGGACGATGTCCAAAAATTAAAGGGCAAATACACACATTTTTCTCTCATACTTGCTGAACATGTCCCGTCATTCTTATAAGCCTAATTCTTGGCCAGCGTTTTTAGTTAAATCTAACAGATTCGACCTTTTACTCTACGATTATAATTCATTTACACAATAATTCATTTTCTTTTTGTAAATTTCTATCTTCAAATATGTTTATTTTGTTTATTCTCTTTTGAACCCGAACCAACATGTCCGTAAACTTGTTTCTGATTAAGATTTTTTAAGGGAGTTTTAAGATTTTCTTTTAGTGTAATTTAAAAGTCCAACAGTTGGAAAAAAAGCAGCTGTTTCTGTGTTTTTACGTCAGACAGATTGTTTAATGTGGAGCTCAAAAGGAACTGAAAGTACTTTCTGTCTTTACGAGGAAACCCTGTGTTTAGAAAACGAAGATGACACAGTGAAACTGGAATGTCCTCTTTCTTTCTGTAATGTTGTAAATTCCAGATAATCAGCGCAGACGCTCTTCACGACTGTGTCTCTACTGTAAACTGCAGCAGGAGTGTTAGAGTGAGCGTGTTACCACAGCTCTGTGGTTTTCCACTTCTGGTTTCTGCAGCAGAAGACAAAGAAAATCTTCACATGACCGTGACGGTAAAAGAGAGAGCGTGGAAAAACCTCTTTTCTGTTTGCTTTTCCAGGATTTGGTTTGTAGGTGAGTTTTGGAAATGTGAAATTCTCTATACACTTTTATTTTCCCTCCTCTCCCTCCACCACCTCTCACTGGGTTTCTCACCTTGCGGCCGACATAAACCGGGATTCCGATGACCATGGCAGGGACAGCGATGCCGGCGATGAGGGTGATGCCGACCGGAGCTCCGATCAGCGTACCCAGCTGCCACAGAATCTTCTTCTTCCTGCTCCAAGGCTTCTTCCCCCAGAACGTACAACCAGATGGACTGAAAGAGGAGGAGAGACGAGAGGAGTGAAGGTCTGCAGGAAAACACCTGACGAGTCCGAACACTCTGGAATCACAGCTGTCAGAATACCTGAGGTAGTGCAGATCAGAGATCTCCTTCATGCAGAGCCAGCAGAACTCACAGCCGCACACGGCGCAGGTCATGTGATTGCAGCTCCCGTCGTTCATCTTGATGATGTAAGCACCACAGCGAGGACATGGCTTGATGTCATCAGCTGGGGACAGAAAGAGGAGGAGTTAGGCACAAAGTAAACTCTGAATTATGGCTAATCTGAGTTTGTGCTTCTTTAAAGTTACTCTTTTTGCACATCGATAAAAACAGATACTTTGGATTAATTAATATGCAGTTTTTCGTGTTTCCATCGACCGAGGTTAAGAAAGGTACAGGGAAAACTGACCTCGATTATCCTGTTGTGGTATAAAGCTTATTAATTAGACTCTAAACCAACACGAGAACAGCACCTAACTTCATCAACAGGACATATAGGGTCACAGCCATAGTACTAACCACCAAACATCTTTTTAACTTTGACTTATTTCTTTAGCAAAGAGACTAAACACAACTCACCTACTCTCTTCCAGCAGCCGCTTGTTTGTACAGAGACCATCGACTGCAGTGGGGTTACGCAGCTCAAGGAAGAACATTTATGATTTGTAAATGATAAAGTGATGATCATAAATGTTCTTCCTTGAGCTGCGTCACCCCGCTGTAGTCCGTAATGGACTGGCCCGAGGTCTCACTACAAACAAGCGGCTGCTGGAAGAGAGTAGGTGAGTAGGTGAGTGGCATATTGGTTGAGCGTGTGGCTCTCTGTATTGCTATCTTGTGGTCGTTACTAAAGTCGGTATAACTAGAAAAGCAAGCGGTCAGCAACATTCATCGTAATTTTATGCCGGAATATCCCTTTAACCTGGTTTGATTTGATTCAGTTTTATCTTTCAGATGTTAGAAGTTGTTGTGAGAGATTAATTTCTAATTTAGAGAGTGACTTTTGTTGGTGTTGGATCACACAGAGCTCGCTCTATCCCTCTTTTATCCCACGTCTCTTTGCAAAGCCGAGCGAACCATCTGCTCTCAGTGGTTTCCCATTCATCAGACTGACGGATCAGAGGTATTAATCCACTCAATGAACGCTCAGAAAGAACGTGAAAGAGGGTTCTTCCCCAGATTTCAAAAGCCTCTTAAAACACTCAACATCCTCCTGAAATCGATAAGTTTCTTTCCAGCTGATTTTTGTAATTTTGAAACCTCAGTTAAGATTTTTTTTGGGGGGGTCACGATTGTTTGAACATTTTTTAAGCTCTTGAAATAGTCTTAATGTTATCTCCACAGGTAGAGCCTCTGCCTCAGCAGCGAACGAGACACAAATTCAGGGTTTTAAAGGCTTTGACAAAATAAATAAAAACCACGTCTTTAAATCCCAGAGGTAATCCAAAGTAAAATCCAAGTATTAAAACACCAAAGTCACAATTTTCTTCCTCTTTGTTTCGTCTTAAATTCACAATCTCACTCAAACTCGATCTGATTGCACAATAATGTTAAAAAACGGTGAAAATTTCCTTTAGTTTGTTTGAAATCATGATTCTGGGGACAGTCTCTGCTCTTTAAAGGGCATTTTACCTTGAAGAGACTCTGACAGATGTGTGTGTGTGTGTGTGTGTTTGTGTGTGTTTGTGTGTGTAGGCGTTGCTGTTATTGTTTGTGTATTCTGCTGACACGACTCCACAAACTCTCACGTCTCACTGTCGCCCTCGCTGTCTTTCATTCTTTCCATCCCTCCTCTCTTTCCTCCGCTTTAATCTTTCCTCTCCTCCCTTTTCTTCTTCTTCTTCGTCTGTATTTGTCTTGTCTGTAAACACTTGACTAAGCAGCAGGTGTTAAACATTCAGACGGACAGACAGATAAAGAGAGAGAGAGAGAGAGAGCGGCTGGATTTTTTTATGAGTCAGTTTCTGTCTCCTGGATTGATGTCAGATCTTGTGAAGTCTTGGCAGAGGGAGGCAGAGTGGAAACGGCGAATTAAAGAGGGACAGAAGAAGAGGGACCGAGGACAGCTGAGGGGATTTAGCTAATAGAGATTTCATCAAAATGGAATTAAAGACACACAAACACATGAGAGGACGCTCGCATGCACCGGGGCGGAGGAGTGTTTGTGTGCTCATGTTCGTATCTGTCATGACTTCGACACAAACTCTGAAGGAGCAGATTTTAAGACCTTCAGATTCAGACATGAATCATATTTTAGCTGCTAAAACTCAATAACATACGTGTGTTTGTGTTATCTCCACGGCTTACCACACAGCTTTAGCGTCCAAAGGTGTGAGCACTTAAGGAACTTTAGGAAACTGTGTGTGTTTAAAGACAGCGTTAAACCCAAATCACACGCATTACAATGGCTAATTAAAGGGCTAGTCTGTATTTTTAGAGTGAGGTCATGCCCCAAAAATCAACCGCTACAAATGGGACTAATTGACCTTTTAACTTCACTGAATTTAGCCAAAACATCGGCACAAGTTAGTGCTTTATTTTGAGTATTTTACTTTAAAATGAGAAAAGTTTCTGAGCAGCTGGTCAGTGTGCTGCATGTGGAGGAAGATCTGAGTGTTGCACCGGCAAACAGCACTAAAACAAAGTGGCTTTTCCACCGCTGACATCTTTCCAAACAGTCCAGACACCAAAGCTTGAGTCTGAGGTTGAGTCTCAAGTCCTCAGAGGTCGAGGACTCTGAGTCAAGTCCTCTTCCCCTGACCTGAGTCCAGTCCTCAGCTCCTTAGCCTAAGTAATAGAAAAGTCCCAGAGCCCAAGCATGCAGTCACCTATATAGTGTGTACAGAAGTGTCACTACTGCAAAAATAGAAAGGTATTTTAGCCAATCCTAAATCTTTTTTCTGCATTTATAACTTATCAGGGGACAGAAAGTCACCTGGTGGAACTTAAAGTATCAAACTAATAATAAAATATTATGATGAATATTGACAAGTTTAGGCTCAGGATAAGGAAATCTGCTGTTTGACTCCAGATTACAGGCTGTGTAAACCTGGACTGACTGTGGGCTTACTCTAAAAACAGTATCTCATATTTACAGTCAATATTACATAATAACTGGACTGGATTTCACTTATTTGTTTCCGAAACACTCAGAGACTTTCGGTTTTGGCACTTCAGCATCCGTTTCACTTCTCAAGACTGATGTTGATGTTCATTAACAACCCAGATGGAAAAAAAACACCTTTTTTTAATCTAAATTTGTGCAGAAACAGGCTGTAAAATCATCTTAATCCAGTCAAAAATCTGAATCAGGAGGAGCTCTCTTTATCTAAAAGGACTGAAACCACTCTGTACTGCGTGAACTTTGAGCAGCTGAACACGCTGTTAAAAACAAACCCAGTTATGTAACAGCAGGAAAACAAATGTCAGGGTGGCAGTTTAAGATACTGAGTAACTCGATGTCATGAAACTCCCTCAAGTAGAAACTGTGATATAAATAGCGTCTCGTGCTCTGTCGGGCGCTCGCTCATTCATCATACAGCAGTGAGAAGAACACCGGGGAGTCTGAGAGCCGAGACTGACTCAGCGCTCTGACAGACCGAGGTGACTGACATGTGATGGAGACTGACAGAGAGGCGGGACTCCTCAGAGGTGTGAAACCGTTTTCAAGAAGTCCATTTTATCTGAGCGCACAAACACACAAATATATATCTGAGTTTGACAGTGCCAGACTGCGGTTACTGTCGAGACGCGCTCGTGTTCGAATGTTTGTGCACGACACTCACCGGGTCCCTGCTCCTGCGTGTAGCTGGGCGAGTGGTTGCTGTGCGTGTGCAGGGATTGCGCCCTCTGTTGGCGGGCAGAGTCGCAGGTCTGGTTGGGATGCCAGGCCTGTTTGCAGTGGTAGCAGAACTCGGCGCCGCAGCCTTCTCTGCGACAAACCAACCTGGGACAGCTGGCACAGCCCGAGGCAATGACGGCGAATCTGACAGGAGGAGACGGATTAAAAAAAGACGAGTTAATAATGTTTCAACATTATATCCAGGCATACACTAAACTTCACTTCTATAGTTTGTCTTAAACTCAGACTTTTCTGGATCTTTCTCTCTCCTCCGACTTTGACATGTTAACTAAGATGTAAATTTAAAAATACATTTAACTCGAACTCGATCACAGTTTGTACAAAGTAAAGATCTCCAATATGGACACTAATGGACACTTTACAAAGCTTGAGCGCTCTGTGTAGTCTGTGAGAAGAGAGAGGAGATGTGATCAATGAAGTAATCACTTAGGAACAACAGAGAGAGAGGAGACAGGATGAGGTCAATCGATATGGATTCACAAAGTTTAATAGTGAGAGGAGACGGGGGAGCAGAGTGTTCACTGTGCCGAGGAGAGTAAATAAAGCAGAGACGGAGACACTGTGTTCAGAAACGACACATTAGAGAGGAGAGGGCGAACGAGCAGGTTATTTCTGTTCAAGTGGAAATGACACGGAGGGCAGGGAATCATGATCGAACGGAGAAATACAGAGATTCAGGGTCGAACTTTCTCACAAACTACATCAAAGTTTCTTCTGCAGTTGCCACGAGTACAGAACCAACAAAAGACTGAAGTATTTCTTTATTTCATAACTCCAGTGAGTAGAGCTACAGCTGTCGAATATTTTAGTCATCGAGTATTCAACCGGATATTCCATCGATTACTCGAGTAATCAGACCCAAACAGCAGACTCACATACAGTGAGATTTTCTACATCACAAATCCAAGCTCCAACCCCTGAGGCGAATTTTGTTTTTGTAGGATGGTCGGAGAAGGTCCCGCACTCCTTCACCTCTGATTGGCTGGGAGTGCTGGGCTCCAATTGGTTATTCCTTATGGCTGTGAATCATCATCGTCTGTCGGGTTAGGGTTAGGGTTAGGAGATTCAGAAGTGCGATAATGCAGCGTGGACAGCCCATGTTTGAGCGAAGGAGGCGGGACTTTCCCCTACCATCCAACAACAAAAAAAATTTGCACCTCAGAGCCCCACTTTGGAGGCCAGACTCAGAGAAATAGAGGACAATCGCGGAACAAGGGTGTGTGTTAACGGATTGCAATGCTCGTAAGAAAGTTAATTATGATTTTAACTTTCATCATGTCCCTAAAGACATTAGTGTCGAGAGCTGAATAACTTCTGTTTCCTGCTTCTTCTACTACAACGGCAATGTTCGGCTACAAGCTAGCATGAAGAGGAGTGTGCAGAACGGCGCTGTCTCCGCCCACAACTCAGAGGCGAAGTGCGGTTATTTGTAATCGAGGTACTTGAGGAATCGTTTCAGCCCCACCAGTGAGGAACTTCATATTTGTGTCCGTTTTGGCGCCCCCTGTGGACCAAAATCCAAAGGTTTGAGCTGACTTATGTGTGTGAGGATATTTTGTACCTTAACAATTAAAAATATTTAAATACATTCCCCCTATTTCCTCTTGACAATTAAAAGTATCGCTCATTGTCGAACCAGCTGGATAAAAGCCTGTTTTAAACAGACACCTACCCTGCGGCAACAAAAATAACTTCTCATTGAACAAACAGACAATCTGTGTGATGACAGTCTAGTTTGTTCAAACAGTATCAGTTTCATCCTGTTTAATCCACACAGGAGCTTTACTAACATGTCCAAAAAGGTTAACATAACACCAACACCGCATCTTCTGTGGAGAGAAAACTTTCATTATTTTAATAGAGACTCCATCAACCAAATGCAGCTTTATGAACTAAGTTTGTCTTCCATGTTTTTAAGTATGAACTGTTAAATATAGTATACAAAGATGTCATTTTACAACAATACAGCCAAAAAAAGGCAATTAAAATGAGGGAGAGCGAGCTGTCAGTCACCGAGGGGATCACAAAGGAGCCCAGTCATCAAATATTGTCACCAAGCAGAGTGTGGAGGAGTGAAAACAAAAGCGGGCAGGGATTTAAATATTTCCTGCTGTCAAACAAAGATGATGCCCGTTTTTCTGCACGCTTTTAGGCCGCTTAAGTTATACTATTATAAAAGAAGAGGAGCGAGGAAGAAGTGATAATTTAGCAAACTTGTAATTGTTTTGGCACGCCTCCAACGCACCAGCACCAACACGTCACTCATTTCCTCCTCTTCAAACGAGGTGACGGGCCGGCTGTCGGGGTGGAATAAATTAACAGATATCAGAGGAGACAAGAGCTCGCTCCCGGGACAAGATGAGACAAGAAGTGGCATTCCTGCAGAGAGACTTCCTCTTACATCTGTGCAGGACCAAGACTTCTGTCTGAAAACAGCATCTTCTGTTAGGATGAAACAAACAGGCCCCGGAGGTCAACCAGCCACCAAACTGCCCCAACTTCTAAATTACGGAGTATAAACTTTCAATTTAACCACGGGAAAACAAAAACACAGAGATGCCTGTTTGGCGTTTTTTTCTGCAGTGTCAGCGCTTCTCTGTAAGCTTGTATAAACAGAAACAGAGCAGCACAGCTTCACGTGAGTAATGCAGAAACTCCACACCAAGACAACTTCTGAACCAACCCCCTGATTTTTTTAAAGAGGGACTTTACCGCTGTGAGAAATCTGGGACTTTCATTTACCAAGTTGCCACGTTAGCTGTTTGAAATTTTCCTGACCATGAATGTCACACTGACCTTTAGAGAGTTCAACTGTCATATAACACCTCACACTAGGGTGACCATATTCTGAATAGAGGAGTCACAGAGTCACAGAAAGTTCATTTTGAGAGTTTTTCGGGTTCAAGAGTCTTCTACGCTCTTCTAACTCAATAAGTCCATGTGACACAAACTCGAAACTTGTGTACAAAACCGCCGACATTTGAAGGATTTTTTAAACTTCGCTGGACAAACCCAGACAGCCCCCAAAAAGAGGACATGTCCGGGTAAAAGACGATGTATGGTCACCCTACCTCACACTGACTTTTTATATTTTCATCATCTAATTCTATTTAAAGCTCCAGTAAGTAGTTTTTGACATTTATAAAATAGACTGAAATTCATTTTGTCGCCTTTTTGTGATTTAAAAAAGAAAACAAGACCATCAGTGACAAAACTGACCATTTTATGGAGTAAATCTTGATGCCTGAAATTGATGTGACGGGGGGGTAGGTTTTTAACATTTGACTGTCAAAAGTCAACAAGATCTTTTCAATGTGACTTTACTTAAAGCTTTAGATAGATAGATAGATAGATAGATAGATAGATAGATAGATAGATAGATAGATAGATAGATAGATAGATAGATAGTCTTATTTTTTGTGAATATGTAAAATCGGGACTGTTTCTTTAACTGTTTGGCTAACACGTACACACCCAGCAAAAAGACGCTGAAAAGACGTCCTCACCATATGTCTAAACAATGTCCAGATTTAGACCGTCTAATAAAGCCCAGTTTTTAAAGTTTTTTTTTTGGGCTAAATTACCGCCATGATGGGCCGACATGATTCAGCCTGAAAAAAGACGTCTAAATGACGTCAGGTGTTTTGTGGGTACCTGCTCACACTGGTATTACCATCCTTAAATAATTAAAAATGTTGCTGATGGTCTTGTTTGATTTTGGATATCATCAAAAGACATCAACATGAATTTAAAAATCTTTTTAATAGATTAAAAAAAATCCTCATTGGAGCTTTAAGAACAAGATAGGCTAAGACTGCTCCGTCCACAGGGGGTGACAGCTTCAGGGTCTTTCTCACCCTGTCAGGGATCTAATTTACATCAACACCTGCCCACTATACATCATCCTGTAATCGTCCAACTCACAAAACATAAAGATGGATACACACTGCAATCTCCACAACCTCAGCTGCTGGCACAGCTCAAAAATAAGAGCCGTCAGGTAAACGACAAAGACAGAGACACAGATGACTTGTTGCCACGACAGCACTGGAGAGCATCCCACGTCAAAAGGTTGATTTTGACACCATCGCAGTTTTCAACGGAAATTTCCACCACGGATGGAAGAGGAAACAAAGAGAGTGACAGAAAAAAGCAAGGCGGGTAGGAGCGTGGTGTGATAATGTGGATGTAAATGTGAAGCACAATGAGACGAGAGTCAGGGGATGAAAGGCGGAGGAGTTTTATGAGCGCTGACATGCTGCGTGTGGAAGAGGAGACGTGCACAGACAGTCCTGACAGCGTTCAGCTCCACCAGCAGCCACCTGGGAGTCCTGCTGAGCCTGTAAATACGTTACGACACACGGGCTAATATCGGCTTGTTTTTAACACCGGGGCGAAGTAAACGTGCTTCAGAGACGGACGTACCAGTCAACAACAAAAAACACCACATCCACAACAATGTAACACACACACACGCACGACGAGTCCAGAGAGCACGTATTGATCTGTTTAATGAAGTCCCCAACTCCTGTTACCCCTGGCAACACTCTCTCTATGCTGCATCGATAGTCGCCATGGCAACTGACAGCCAGAGGGAAAGGCAGAAGGACGATGTTTGGATACTCAGACGTGACAATCACACAGGATGAGAACTTCATGGGCGGATAAGAGGAGCAGATGGAAGGTGAACAGCTGTGTTATGGCGGTATGAATAGAGCGATTTAGATTTTAAAGAGCGGTCGCCGTCGTTCATTAACCTTTCTCTGGAGGAAATTTGGTTTTAAAGGTTTGAGGTCGACGATAACACATAAAGTCCTCCTACAAGAGTGATGACTCTGCTTTAGATTTTCCTTTGGGACTTTTCTCAAATCAAAAATATTAAAAAAAGATGTTTGTAAATGAGGCCCACTGAAATCAGTCGACCAGGAACATTTGTTTTTAGCGACGTGTCACTGTTTTGGCTGCAGAGAGCCGTCCAGAAAAGCTTTTACACTGATTGAATTTTGCCTGTAAAGCTCCTCTGATGCTTATCAAGGTTTCTGTTAAGGTTTCACAACGTTAGCAGGAGACGCTTTTGTCCAGAGTGACGTACATCTAAGGCGAGGTTTATACAAAAGTAAGGATGCATGAAGGAGTGGGGAAAAAAGTCCAATCAGATACAGGTGCTGACATGCAGCGCCCGAGGCATGGACGCCGTGCAAAGAAGCAGTTTTTGGTTGTTTATTTCATCATCACTCAGCAACGAAACAACAAATCATCATCTACATTAAAACTAACGACTATCATCATCATCATCTTTGGCACCAAAGTACCAAGTGTGGGGTTGTTATCTAAGAGCTGGATCAAAAAGTTCTTCAAAGGTAGAAGGAGACTCCCATCTTTGGGGGCGGCAGACTTCTCTCCTCTCGAAATAATTGTTTTTTTCATCTACTTGGCCTTCGTTTCAAGAGGAAAGGACAGAAACCGAAGGAAGAGAGCAGGAAGGAGGCCATCGACAAGAAGCGAATCCAGCCATCGTCTGGTTGTTGCTGTTTTGCAAACAGGAGGTATAGTTTTGGACGTGATGCAGACTTTAACTGGCAGCCGCTGGAGAGAGATGAGCAGTGGAGAGACTTGATTTGGGCTGGATGGAGACCAGGTGTTAATCATCTGCAGAGGTTTGAATGTACACAGAGGGAGGCCTGCCAGTGCGGAGTTACAGAAGTCCATCAGGATGTGAAGAATCGGTTTACTGCTTTACTCTCACTGAAACTGGACTTTAACAAACATGCTCTAAATTAACTTCTCATAGTCAGACTAACATGTCTGGATAATGAGGTTGGGGATCTTCCATGGTGTTCTGTTCATGCTTTGGTGTTCGAACACTGGGCTTCGAGACAGAGTCCAATTAGAGGAACTCGTTACCAGGAAACCAGGAAGTAAACAATCGTCAACAAACAAAATAAGGATATAAAAAGACAAATAAAGGTCCTGAGCTGAAAAGGTGTTTTCATTGTTTGATGTAGATCCCCATTGGCCTCCTGCTAATGCACACCTCTGTTGGTGATCTGATTCTTGCATTTGATTCTCGCTGCATTGCATGGTCTGTCCGGTCCGGGTCTGATCCAAACTGACCCCTTATGAGCTAATCAGACCGATGTTAGCAGGCGACTGTGAATCACCACACACCTGTAGATGATAACTGTACTTGTCTGCTACCTCTAAGTCATGCTTTCAGACCACATTAGTGTAGTTACAGTGCGGCTCTTATTTGAATAACAAATCTAAAAGTCAAACTCATGATTCACAAAACTAGACACTGGTTAAGACTCATTATAGGATGGGTTTCTAAGCATGAGATTACAGATACAGTTAATCACAGTTGACTGACACACCGACTTCGACAGTCTTGTCAAAGGTAAACATCTATTCTGAGTCTGTCTATCACTTGTCGGTTACAGATGTATAGATATATAAGATGGAAGAACCAGGTCACATTTACATAACTTTTACACAAGTGGGTCAGTATGCAGTATACACAACCGCAGACACACATACACTCACACACTAAGACAGGCAGGTAGACACACACTCACACTTCTTAGCTCTAAACACTCGGTTCACAGTTACATCCCGAGAAATTCACACCAATTAATCTGTTTCTCTGGAAGTCACTTCTCTGGTGACCGCCAGCCAGAAGCCGCTCTGCCAGGTGTGTGTCTGTGTGTGTTTGAGTGTGTGTTTGAGTGTGTGTGTTTCGCTCCGGGTGTTTGTGGTGAATAATAATTCGTGCTTGGTCGCTTTGTCCAAGTTTAAGAGGGGTTGAGTCACTGCTGGCGTCAGACACAGGATCATCTCAGTAAATATCTAGGTCAGCAGTGGTCAACCTTTCCTTCTGTGTCATTGCTAAAACACACACACACACACGGCGGGCTTCAGTTTTCGTAAGTGAGATTTAGTGACCTAGATTCAGCCACAACCAAAGTACAACCTTCACATCAAATAGGTCTCTGATATGAACTCTTGCCCTAAAATCACTCTTTTTTCTCTGGGGTTTGGTTAGGATGTTCTCAGCATGCGGTGCTGTCCTCTCAAAGCAGAAGAAAAAACTTAATTAAGACATTAAAACATGCAAAACTTCTTCAGACAATAGTTGTAACACAACCTAAACAACCCTGTAGATGTTGATTTTCCTCTCCACTGGGACTAAAACTATCCGACTTGTTCTTTTTTTTCTCTCAGTCTGCAGCCGAACTCTCACTTACAAAAGAAGGAACTATGAAAATTAAAAATGGATGTTCACTCTGACTTTAAGCCACATTGTTCTGGGGAAACACAGTCAAAAATACCAGAGATAATAGAAGTGAGACTTCCTCAGAAACAACAGATCCGCTTCATCATGTGAGCAGTCAACCAGTAACTGTGTCAAGTATCGAATTAAGGGTCATTACAGTGACCTTTGACCTTTTATTTACAGCTTTAAAACTACAAAAAGTAGGTATGGATCTATAGAATTGACAGTAGTGTTTTCGTACTTTACAAGAATTAGCCTTTGGTGAATAATCAGTTGAGTTAAAGTTGAATGTAGTTATTTAATGTACAGTATATTATCATAATTAGGGACGCTCCAAGTGACTGACTCCATGTTGTTTAAAAGGGAAATTACAATTAGCTACTTAGTCCAAGAAGAAGTTAGACTGAAATAACAATCTAACTCAAGCTCAACTGCTGAACATGGGATTACAAAGTCTGAAGGCAAACCATGTCAAATCAGTTTATTTAGCGTGGCTAATGTTAGCAGCGCTAGCACCACCAGTCTCTGGACCTCCTTGCAGATTAATGTCCACATGCTATATATGACCTGTGATTGTTTACATCCAGGTAGTGGGGAAAAACAGCATGACTACAGGTGTCCCGATACAACGTTTTACTTCCGATACAATAGCGATATTGTAGCCTTCAGTATCGGCTGATACCAATATTGGTCCGATATCGGCACAAACTTGTGCACGACAAGTTTTGCACTCAGCTTATTACACACTGTTGTCGTGGTAACATGGGCTCTGCATGCTGGATCCGGGTGCTGCTAGCTAGAGGTATAATAAAAAAAAAAGATATAATTCGATATTTGTTTTTTGGCTGACAACAGACTGATATCTGATATCAATATCGTAGCGAACAAGAGTGACAATGTTTGATCGTTTAACTGACTTAATGCGCACGTTCTTAGTCGTAATTTTAAATCATTTCACCGCACGTCACTTTTTTTTTCCAACACCAAGCAGGACATTTGTGTTTTAGTTTTCTCACATTAGCCTGTTGTAGAAGTTTAGCTAACATTTAAACCTATAATATGACTCTTTGTTTTCAAGAAACTGTTTTCTCCGACAAGAAGAAAGGTTCATCATCAGCCTACAGACGTGTCGAATGTTTCTGCATAAATGTGAGACTTCAGAGGCAAATTATGTGGTCGAGACACCGCACATCACTTTTTTTTCTCCAACACCATGCAGGACATTTGTGCTTTAGTTTTCTCACAATAGCTGATAGCTAAAATTAGCCATTTATAGTTCGTTTTTGTATTAATTTAGCTTACATTTAAGCCTATAATAGGACATAATAGTCTTTGTTTTCAAGAAACGGTTTTCTCCGACAAGAAGAAAAGTTCATCAGCCTACAGACGTGTCGAATGTTCTGCATAAATGTGAGACTTCTGAGGCAAATTATGTGGTCGAGACACCGCACATCCTTTATATAGTGATATGACACATAGCAACAGAGAAACAGAAACAAACAAATGCACACAGACGCACACAGACGCACACACACACACGCAGACACAGATTTATGCAAAGATACCACACAGGCTCTTTGGCCTTCCCCTCCAACAGTACCTGTACTTTACTAAACCACAGCTAAGAAATATCAGTGAAATCTGCCTTCCTCCTTCCCACACGCACTCACAAAAACACAGAAACACAAACACAATGAATCACTCCTGCTCTCTATGATGAAACAAACGCCTCTCATTTGTTCCAGAAACCTAACAGGAGCAGCTGCACCTCCAAAAACCATCTGACTCTCCCCTCCTCCAACCACAGGGCAAACTTTACAGCTCCATAACCCACTTAAGAGTTTCTCTCTCCAACCTCAAGGTTCAAATTCGACTTTCACACCTCGCTGTTTTCTCTCGAACAGAGCAGACCACGCCAGTTCCTGTTGTGTCTAACAAAGAAACGCAGTCATATACGTGGAAATCTGGAGCGACAGAGTCTGTCGGATTTCAGTGAATTCTAAGAGAAGAAACAGCGAGCGATCAAAGTTTCAGAGTGGCAGAGAAAGGAGAGTACCTAAAGCTTTGACGCAGTTTCACTTTTTGTCTCAGCTAAACTCTTTCGGTTTCTCTTTTTCTTAAAATTACAAACTTTTTTTAAGTCTTGAAACAAAATAAAGTTTATCGAGACAAAAAGTTTTTAATTTGTCAGTTTAGTTTGTTGGTGTCACAGAAACAATCAAAAATGGCGCTAAAGAGCCGTTTTACTGTAAACTATAAAACACTGACCATCTACAAATGGTCAACAGTGAGGTCTAAGTGTGTTAGGTTTAAGGTAATCTTCTTTTAGGAACATTAACTCACTCTCCGTCTTCAAATCCCTTCTAAAAACTCATTATTTTAGACAGGCCACCTCTGACTAGCATCTGATGTTCTGCTGCAGAGGACGGACTTAGAACTTTTTATCTAAAACTTTGTGTTGATGTGATTTTTATTGATTTTACTATCATACTGATGTGTCTTAATTGTCCTGTAAGGTGTCCTTGAGTGCCCTGGAAGGCGCCTACAAATAAAACGTATTATTATCATTATTTTATTGACAGTTTTTTCTCATTCAACCACTCCTATAAGAGCCAAAAGATCTCATGTTTTCTTCAGTTTGGTTGATGTCTCTTTGACTCAGCTCCTTTTTTTGTTAACTGAATTTAATGTAATACTAAAATATCCTCCATGTTGTTTACTGACGTCGTTATAAAGTGATGTTTCTGCCAGACTGTCGACAGTAGGAGGTGAAGTTGTAAACAGTGTGCTGGTTGTGGCTTGTGTGATCTGGTTGTCTCCTTTTCTATTAAACAGTAAAAGAGGAGCGAGACATGAGGATGAAATCCCAGACCAGAACCCGATAAAGAGGTGACGGTGGACATGTTACTCACCCACAGTCAGGGGCCGGACACCATCGACAGTCTGGATCAGAGGCGAGGCATCTCCGCAGCAAGAACTCCTCATACTTCTCCAGCAGAGCCGCGTCATCCAAGATGTCCGCCACCTGTTGGGGGGCGAGCCTCTCGGCGCACTCGGGGCAGCTGAGCTGGACTCGGCTCTCGGTGATCTCGATGCGGAGGTACTGTCGCAGGCAGCAGAGGCAGGAGCGGTGGCTGCAGCCCAGCAGCTCGGGGAGCTGGTCGGCGGGCTGACGCACCAGGCACAGGGGGCACTCCAGGAGGTTGTTGTCTCCAGAGGAAGGGGCTCCACCCAGGGAGGGCTGGCTGGAGGAGAGTGGCTTTGAAGGGGTGCTGGAGGCGGCGTCCTGGGGGGTCGTGGCGGCTGTGGTGGTGGTCGTCGTTGGCGTAGCGGAGGCTGCGGCGGGCACTGAGCTCAAGGCAGACGGGAGAAGCTGTTGTTGCGTGTGGTGGTGATGGGACAAAGGGGGGGCCGCTCCTCCTTTGGGGCCCCTGGTGCCCCGGGAGCCGCGTTTGCTGTGGAACAGGCTGTGGAAAGAGATGCGGCCCTGGCGTTTGCCCGCTGCTCGGCACTTAGGGTTTGGGACGCCGCTCACTGAGGAGTGAGGCGACTCTGAGTCCTTTTCTGATCCCATTTTTCCCAGAAGACACAAACAGACTCACGTCTCGTCCCCTGATACACGTTAATGTATCGCAGAGGGACGCTCGGCTACACAAACACACACTCTGTCACACACACACACAAGGGAGGACTTGTCCCCCTGTGAAAGCCAAAGTGGAATGCAAATGCCTCTTAAGTTACTGTTCGAGAAAGAGAAGTGAGTGAGTCACCTCTTCTGAAACAAAAACTTTATCTCGAAAAGAGGGAGGGAGATAACGGAGATGAAAAAAGAAAAAAGAAAAGAGAAAAGGACTGAAGTCAAAGTGATTGTGCAAGTTCAAAGGAAACACGAAAAACTCCCCTTCAGAGTTCCTCAAAACGTCAGCAGTCAAACGGTTCACCGAGAGAAAAAACGGCCAAGTCTTTCATCAAGCAGGCGGATGAGGAGGTCGGACATGACTGTTACAAAACCTTTTAATGTCAGTCCTCCTTAAAAAAAAAAACCACAGAGACTTTATAAAAAACAGGAGAAATCCACAGAGCAGAGCGGTTTTATTCCTCAGACTGGATTAAATCCTCTTCAGCTGCATTCAGAGCGTCTCCTCTGCTCGTCTTCCTCTCCTCCTTGTTGAACACCGGTCTCTCTGAACGCTCTTTTCTGTCAGGAAGAAGAGAGCAGGAAGTCAGCACAAAGAGCATGCTCAGTATGACACACACCTCTCTCCCCCTCTCTCTGCGCTCTCTCTCTCTCTCTCTTTTGCTCTTCCTGAGTTTCAGTTCGATCATTAACTCTTCTGACCCTGCCCTGATGATCTGTCTGTTGCTGATTACACTTAAATACACAGACAGACCCACACACGCAGGAAAATGTTACACTATGTGTGTATTTAGTGACCCTAATGACAGGTTAAAAACACAACAACATGATTTAAGCATCTACTGTGTGTGTGTGTGTTCATGTGAAACCAGCCTCTCTCTCTCTCCCCCTTTTTTTTTTTTTCATCACGCTGAGCACTGCAAGCTCTTCCTCCACTTCACACTGCGCTGCTAGTGCCGTTGCCATGGCGACGCTCACTATGAGTGAGGCAAACAGCGACCCACTCTGTGACTCTGGCGCTTATATACACACAAACACCCATAAGCATAAACACGGTTACAACACGCAGGTAAGTGATACACAATAATACAGGTCATTATAACGCAAAACTACACAAAAGTGTAAACAGATGCAAATTTTCCCCTTAGAATAAAAAAGTACACATAAATACACAAATGCACACTCAAAAAAGGCACACACTCCTGCAGGAACACATTCAAACTTGTAATATAACACATACAGGTTACAAAACATAAACACACAACTGTTTTATAAACACAAACACACAAACAGACACCATCTCTGGGTAAATACACAGTTTAAGTCGAACACACACACAAATGCCTCCTTTTACGTGTTTGTCAATGGATGAAAATACACACTTTACTCACACAAATATTATTCTTTTGATAATAATTTATTATCTCATTATAATTGAAAATATTCTTTCGTTATTCATGTTTTTACAATTTTAATTATTGTCAATTTATTTAATAAATTCTTTTATCTTTTTTTTTCTCTTCATGGATGTTTTTGTTCATTTCTTACAATTTTTATATTTATTTATTTTATTATTGTTAATTTTTTTATTACGATTAAAGTTGTTCTGATTTTTCTTTATAATTTTAATTGAATTGTTATAGATCATTCCTCATGGTTTCTTCTGATATTTTTATTATTATTATATATTTTTAATTTGTTTCAACATTTTTATTTAACCGTTTTTATTATAATCTATTCAATTATAATTGTTAACATTATTTATTTATCTAATTATTTATGTATTTATTCACTTTTTTCTTCATTTATTTATTATTTTTACCTCCTTACAGCCTTTTTATCGCTGTGAAAGTCATGCAGCGAAGGTCTTGGCCGGGAATCGAACCAGTTAAAGCCACAATGAGGACCACAGCCTCCAAACATGGGGCGCTTAGACGACTAGACCATCTGTGCCCCTTATTGTTTATTATATGTTATACAAGGTTTTGAGTCCACATGAAAGTGAAGGGATAAAATAAAATAAAATAAAAATTAAACACATCCAAATGCCCGAAAGACTCACAAACACATATAAGTACACACAAAATGAAATTACACATTTACCCACAATCAAACATGTTCAAACCTGTCGACACACAACACACACGGAAACCAGCTGTCCAAACACATTTACACTTCCCATGTATGCACACACACACACACACACACACACACACACACACACACACACACACACACACACACACACACACACACACACACACACGCTGTATGTATCCGAACAAGGTGATAATGTCTGCACAACTACACTCACACACACATGCACATTAAGCCATTCAGTGGTCGATGAACACACACTGATTCACATTCAGAACGAGGAATACACAAAAACCACTCACAGAACATATTAACACATGTTTGAAACTCACCCTCTGTCTCTCTCACACACACACACACACACACACACACACACACACACACACACACATACACACACACACACACACACACACACTCATAACAACACACTTGTACATCCACTCATATTGTCTATTGTGAATAATACATTGGGAAGTAGACACACACATACTAGCACATGGGCTCATTTAGAGACACGTTCAAAGTTGTTAACAAGCTGAAATCATCAGCCACACACACACACACAGTCACACACACACCTCAGACAGTATAAGCTCACACACACACACGGGCTGAAAGTGATACTTACACACTCGCACATGTGCCTGATAATTACATCCTGTGTTCCCACCACGATTACAGGCCGTGTGAGCCGTGTTACGGAGCGTGTGGAGAGCTCTCCTGTGTGATTACGCTGGATGTAAAGTGTGGAGTTTAAATGGATTTGATGTTTTTGTGAGTTTTTATTCAGCAGAGTGAAAAAGATGCTTCAGGGTGGGTCAAAAACATGACGACTAAGCTTCTGAGGTGATTAAAAAATCCTGTCATGTCTAAAATACACTTTTCTCACTCGGGTATACGAGGAGAAATACCCGAGTGCCCGTCTTTGACGCACTTCGCCGGTCTCCTGCTAACCAGCCAGAATCAGAAAAGTGAAACAATAAATGACCTCTGTCTTCTGCTAACTTCGAAGCGGCAAACAAATTTATAATCTGGTTGAAAATGTGAGAAATTCATAGTTCTTAAAAAGTTAATTTAATTTAAAAATTCATGGAGAAGTTCAGAAGTTTCATCTAAAAAGTAGAACTCCGGTTAGCGCCCTCATTTAAACCATGCTTTTTTTTTTTAAATCCTGCCTTTTTAAAGAATCAGAACAGAGAATCGATAGAAACTGGAATCGAAACGATGAATCGGAACCAGAAACGGAATCAAACGATACACAACCCTATATATTAGGTTCCCAGGGGTGACACTTTCAGCGTACACTCAGTGGGTTTGTACCTCAAGAAGAGCGAAAAGGAGAACTTTGCCGTCTTGTTTTCGTTTCTTCGGCGCTCAAAGAGATGTGTGATATTGATAACCTACATTCAAACGTCCACAGAGGAATAATTCTCCAGAAAAATCAATAAAAGAGGAGGAGTTCCACTGCTGGGCACAGGAAATGGTGAAACCTTTATGTGCCTACTCATACGTCCATCCAACGGTTACCATGGCAGCCATCACTTTTCCATCCTCTCAGGGTCAAACCGGGTCTCCACTGAAATGTGTGTAAGTGTATTAAAAGCCTACGGTTCCTAAATATACCCTCCTACAGGCTGAGTGTGTAATAACCCTCTCCTCTGCTGCACCCTGAGCATCTCACACACACACACACACACACACACACACACACTGGTTTTGCACAGTCACAGATGGCAGCTTCTGTGTGTTTATGAAAGCCGAAACGAGATGTTTGATTTCAGCAGTATTTTAACAAACTTCAACACCAGACTTGTGCATGTGTGTCCGTGTGTGTGTGTGTGTGTGTGTGTGTGTGTGTGTGTGTGTGTGTGTGTGTGTGTGTGTGTGTGTGTGCTCTTTTATCCTTCCACACCACAGGACTCCTGTTGGGCCCAGTCATCGTGCTCTATGTACTGGAATCAAACTGGTACTAAACTAAAAAGCTTGTTAATTCTGTGATGTTGCCTCATAATAACAAGTTACCTGAACAAACAGCCTGGAGAACAAACACCTTTAACACTCACACACTTACACACACACACACACACTGACGTGCAGCTCTCCGAGGACCTGCTATTGTTTGTTTTTGTCGAGCGCAGAGGAGTCATGATAAAAAGATTTCCCTCTTTTTGAGGAGGTTTCATCAAACGAAAAAAAGAGATCAGAGAGGAGAGGATTTCTGTCTCTCCTGTCAGATCTCTTTACGCCTGTTTCTCATATTTCTAATTGGAGACTCACTTCTGATCAGCTGTAACAGGTTGATTAGTTTTTAAAGGAATCTCAGGGGGAAATTCACAGAGGATTAGGCAGCCTTTAAAACTGCAGACATGAGATGAAAAGACAGCGTATAAACCGCATGGCCAGTGGTATCCCGGCTCTCTGATGCTTTGTGGTGCATTTTATCAAAATATACACACACCCGTGGATTACAGCGCAGTGCCAGAGCTGAAACTGAAGCGCAAAATCTGTATTTATCCATCAAAATAAAAGTCTCTCTTATTTACTTCAAGGAGGTAGAAACTAGGGCTGGGCAATAAACCGAAAATTTACTGATACTGAAATTTATGACAATAACCGTTTCACCCATGTCAATATATATTCGGTGTCAAAAAAATAAATAAAAGTTATATAAAAGTTGGTTTTGGATGTGTGTAGGTAGGCTATGGTCTCATGTCCCTTTAAGACGCTGTCCTACATCAGAGACGTGACTCCACCCCATCCAGTCTGTAACAAAGAGGGAAAGACAGGTGAGGAGATGGAGGACGGTTCAAAAGTTGTAGCGGCTGAAGTAGACAAAGTTAATGTGGGAGGGGGTGAGCAGCTAGTGGAGTAGTTATCGTCCATTTATCGTTACTGAGGTGAGCTGATCAATATGTTGTGATTGTGATTGATTTGAGGCCATATCGCCCAGCCCTTGTAGAAACTGCTGCAACAAGAGAGTCAACATGGCGTCACATGTGTGGATGTTTATAACGCTCACACAGCAATGCTCACTTTGTCCCTCTGCTTTACTAACACACACTCAATCTTTATAGACCCCCAGCTTGCTTTGCTGCAGGTGCTTTTCTACACTTTCATGATGAATGAAATCCAAAACAGCGAGCTTCATTAACATGCAGATTACCTGTCGCTATAATGGAATTGAAGACTAGGGGTGTCCCGATACGATATTGATATCCTGATATCGGATACCGGTCCGATATCAGGAAAAAAACAAAATATCGGATTATATTGACCTGCATCTAAAATCACCCATATCAGCACTCTGATACAAGCAGTCCATTCCAGACTCCGCTCCGGCACCTCTATCTAGCTGCGCCCTGATCCAGCAAGCTGAGCCCAGGTAACCATGACAACAGTGTGTACTAAGGTACTAACAAAGTAGAGAACAGTAGGAGTGATGTCAGCCTTGTGGCGGTATTTTTTGTTAAAGACGTTGCAGCTGAGTGAAAAACTTGTGATGCACAAGTTTGTGCCGATATCAGATCAATATGGGTATCAGTCAATATCGAAGGCTACAACACTGGTATAGTATCGGAAGTCTAAAAGTTGTATCAGGACATCCCTATTGAAAACAACATATTTTAACACATAATTATTCCTTTAGGAGATAAATTGCTGGTGAGTATAAAGATTGCATGTCAACTGATGCAAGTAGCAGTAACACATATTTCAATCACTGACGACACAAACTGTATGTCGAGTTTCTGCAGTCAAGGGTCAAACATCACAGTCAATCATGTCTCTTTCATAATAAGTGATCATTAATTGTGACCACATTTCAAAGTAGAATTATTATACCGCCCCGGTTGAGTGTTTCCTAATTATTGTTTTAAGAGGTTGATAAAGCATCTTCATTGCATCACTACCACACTAATATAATATAACCATTATTATTGAATTACCGTGCAAGTGCAATGATCTAGTGACAGCTTCATCCGATAAATAAAAATCCATGTCTGCAGTGGAGGTTATATCAGCGCTGCAGTTAGATAACAGGAGATTTGATTTGTTCTGTAAAGACTTTCACATGTTCCCAAAATGTGAACCAATGATTAAATAATCATGCTTATGCTCTGTGTGTGTGTGTGTGTGTGTGTGTGTGTGTGTGTGTGTGTGTGTGTGTGTGTGTGTGTTGTCATTTGGCAGATCGGTCCGAGCAGCCTGAGAACTTCACAATCTGGACCCGATTTGTTATCGACATGCTCACACACACTTTGTTCCACACTCGTCCTCCTACTCCACTGCTGCTCAATTCAGCTATCACACACACACACACACACACACACACACACACACACACACACACACACACACACACACACACACACACACTGCACTGACGACACCTTTATTTCTTCTCCTATTTTCACTTGTTGTTTCAGTTACTCTTATTGTTTTCTCTTCTGCACAGCCTGCTCTCGTGCTCTACATTATCTTCCTCTCTCTCTCTCTTTTTTTTTATCAAAACTTCAGAAAAACACGAAGCTCTAGGAGAAACTCTTAAATCTTTTACTTCAACAAAAGCTGCAAAAACAAACAGCAGAAACTCTACACTGTTTGTGTTTTGCAATTCATGAATTTAACATCAATTTATTGTTTCGAGAGCTGACGCCATCACTCTATAAACTCCTGGCTAGCTTGTAAATCTTCCCCTGCAGAAAAAATAAAGTCTAATTCTGAATATTAAACATCCTCATAAATATGTCAGCTGCATTTCTTTTCACTGTGTTGCCTGCAGATTGTAGAGGAGGTGAAATATAAGGTGTTAATCTGTATCTCAAAGTTGTGTTCATGTACCTGAGTGAAGATCGAGAATGTGGAGGTTTTTGTTTTGAGGTCGGCCTGCCCGAAAGTTCAGAGAAAAAAGTACCTGATGTTCATGATATCTGTGCGTGTCGATAAACATTACGCAACAACTCACCGAAACGAAGAAGAGTAAATAGTTGACCAAAGACGACATTGTGTTATCTTGAGCGACACATGATGCTCAGATTATCTTGTTCTGTATCACCGGTCCTCAAACTAGTTCTCAGAAGAAAGACGTGTTCCTGGAAACGAACGTGAATAAAGCGTCACGTTCCCACGAGTGAAGTTAGTCACTCGTTTTTCAGATCGCATTACACGACTATTTGCTTTGGAGGCAGATGTATTTTTCAGTTCCAGTTATTTCACAGCTGAAACTTTGCAAACCAAATGACGAAATTTCTTTGTATTCAAAGAAACCGATAAACTTCATCAGGCCTGCAGAGGTATTTGACTGTAAGGAGTCTGTGTTTATTGTTATAACACGGTAATATTTATTGTGTTGTATTTCATTATCTGAGGTGTGATTTGGATTCAATATTCAAAAAGCTGCACATTTTAATGACTGTGCATGTAAAGAACCAGAGGCTTTAAGGTTCCCGTCATCATCACAGGTGTGCTACACTCGCTGATTCACGACTAACGTCAGCACAGAGTTTACGAGAACTCAGAGGTTCAGACTTGTTTCTGATTTGGTTTCAGTGAAAATAAGACGAGATCTTTGCCTCTCTCTCTGAATCAGATGAAATTCAGCTTTGTGCTTTTTCACAATATCTACATGGATGTTCTTGCATTATTTCAGTGGATTTAATGTGATCCCTCTCTCCTTCTCTCTCAGTAATCAGATGGTTATCACTATCAGACAGTAAGTCTGGTTCTGTCTCAGGTTTTCTCCACTTTGTTTCATGGTGGTGATTACAAAACAAGGACCCGTTAGACCTGCTTCTTTTGTAAAAGGTCCAAAAATAACTTAATGATTCGACTCTTTATTAAACTTGAACCGACTGATCGATTGGCAGCGTGTTCACCTGTTATTATACTGTGAGTGTTCACGATTGCAGCTGAATTAGGTCAAAGCAGGTATTTTTTTAACCCTTTAATGCCTTTAGTATCATATTTGATACTTTTATATACTTCAATATGATCAACAAATTACTAAAAAACACCTGAATACAGTCCGATAAATGATGAGAATGTCCTCTTGTAGTTGATCAGTTTTTAAAAAACATCTAATCTATCAAACGAGATAAATAAATATATTTGTTAAATTTTAAGGACATTTTAATTTTTGGGGTTTTTAGTAGCAAGTAGAATAAACATTTCAGCTCTAAAAAAATTTAATTTTCTGGCCATAATTTGTGGTTTCAGGCATTAAAGGGCTACGGTCAGACTGCAGTGTGTTTTTACTGGGAGGTAAACAAAAAACAGTTTCAACACATTTTTTGCACGATTTCAGTCTAACAGACAACAAATAAGGGATACCTATGGTGGCCCTGAGGTGCAAAACACAACATTTTCTCTTTGAAAATGCAATGGTTAAACGCTGTTGTGTTTCCTGGTTTACTGTTGTGTTTTGCTCCTCAGGGCCACGTTAACATCTGACAGAAATGTAGTTATCTGATTTCATATGTTGGTCTCAAACCCTCTCTTGGTTTTAAAACAACATACGAAAATAGTCTTGACGGGTTAAAATCAGTAAAGAATCAGTATGTATATTTTTGTCCACAGGGGGCGCCAAAATGAACACAAACCAGACGTTCCTCACAGCAGCTTTAAAGTGAAAGTTTTCAAACAGACCCTGATGTTATTACTCATAACAAAGATGAGAAAACAAGTTGATTTTGAGGTTTGGTTTGGTTTTTTTTACCTTTCATGTGAGCAAATCTATCAAGGAGAAATAATCACACATACAAAGCATCAGTAGCAAAAAACGACTTTCATCTGAAATCTAGAATTTGTCCATATCAAATGTAAAAATCAATACAAAACCCTCACATAAACTTGTTTTTACCTCCTTATGCCGTTACTTAGTTGACATCATGTGGAGCTAATTTACGACCTTTTTCCACTTCAGGCTAATTCAGTAAATAAATACCCTAAAATGTGAACTGATCATACGCTGATACTTGAAAACCTTTCCGAAAAAGCTTAGAAAAATAACATTATAACTAATTATTGGATATTCATTGATTAGTATGAAGGCTGAGATTAAGGTGCGGTGCTTTATCGTTAATCTCCTGATGACACATTAAAACCTTCATTCACATCATTTTAATAAAACATGTTTCCTCTTCATCTGTTTTCCTGCCAAACACATTATCATTCGATGTCCTGAGGCGTGTGTGTGTGTGTGTGTGTCTGTGTTTCCTCAGAACCTCTCAGCTGTTTATTTTCTCTGCTGATTCCCAGGAAAACTGTTAGTCCACTCTGGCTCGGAGCATCACACGTCACGCTCTGATTTACTTTAGACAATCAAGAGGTGACGAACCAGCTGGAAATCTTTGAAGAACATTATCTGGAAAAAATCTAAACTGTCCCTCCTACGAGCGCGGAGCTCCACCCGTACAGAGTGTAAACAAACACTTGGCTGTAACGACGTGTGTTAATAATGTGAGAACAGATTCAACATTAAACTATTACATAATCGAGAAAACATGCCTCCAAAAAACAGTTAACAGCCTGTTTTAGTTTAAGATGCTTGTTAACTCTCGTGTCACTTCACTGGAGTTTTAAAAAAATAAATAAAATTGGTAAAAATTTAACATAAATGACCATTTCTGTTGGACTGTTGGTGTAGTGTGTCCAGCAGTATTTCATCACACATGATAAGAGCATCAGCTAAAACCCCGAAGCCTAAACAGACTGATGATGATGATGATGATGACGTTGTTTTTAACATGAACAGACAGATCAGAGTGGGACTGACTAAAACCCTGTTAATCTGAGATCTGGGGGGGGCTCACAGTCTCTGACAGAGCAGGTGGTCTACCTCTAAACCAACAGCCAATACTGCATCATGTGTCGTGTGTGTGTGTGTGTGTGTGTGAGGAAAGCTAATTAGAGAGTATCGGCTAATAAGAGCAGGAGTGACGAAGGACATGCTCGCCGAATCACCTGCTGAGGAGAAACAGCTTTGTTTACTTTTTTCGGTTTGAGATCAAGCTTTTGTAACATGTGATTATAAAAGTGGATTAAAGAAGAAAGGAGCTGCTAAATAGTTAAAAAATACACATTTTAATACCTGTTTCTGATTGGTCAAAACCTCGTCACAGCGTCCTATTGCTCAACAGCTCAGTACGGCCAGAAACAACGAGCTCAAACAAGTCAAATCAACTCAATCTGAGAAAAAGCGGCCTGTTTTTTTCACCTCTGTCTGTTGACACTGTGGCCAAAATGCCGCTTTTATGAATCGGTAAACAACAGGGAGGAACAAAGCAGCGAGGAATATGAAACATAAGGCTAATTAAAGAGACATCCAACAAATTGAAGAAAACACACAAGGTTTTAGCAGCCGCTCAGTTTGTGTTTAAAGTTAACCTACAGCGTTAAAGGGTTTTCAGGGTTAATATGACACAAAGTTGACATGGAGGTTATATTAACTCTTTAAAATAAAAGGTTTAAAATGGTTGGATACGGTCTCTAAAGCGGGGCCCACATCTGAGCGCCGGTGTAGCTAATAAAACCAAGTGAGCAGAGTTATTATATTGTTTCAGCTGCACTTAACCTAACAACAGTGAAGCCGCCTTTTTCTGTTGTTAGGCAGCGTCCGGGCTTTAGCGGGATTTTATGGACCTTATAGATCAGCGGCACAGACTGCACATCCTCATTATTAGAGCCTGAGAGTTCCTCTGAAAGCAGCAAGGTCAAGCTAAACAGCCTCACTTTAGAGGATTTCTGCATCTTTGTGGGAACATTTAGTCCACACACACAAATACACACACACACACACACACACACACACACACACACAGAAGTCAAGGCAGCTTCCAGAGAACAGAGGGAGCGGCTGAGTCACACAGATTAGGTATCACCGCTGATTAACGAGGTTATATTGACAAATCAGAGCGGAGAGAAGCAAGTGCACACCTCAGCGTTGATACTATGGCCTCACTGCAGCCTCCTCCACACGCCTGCTTTCACCAAAAATCCACAACATCTACATCCATGAGTGATTTAGAAAAAAAACCCTGACCTCCAGGAAGGCGCAATTATACACAGATGCCTTTACAGCAACAGTTGAGACCTTCTCCGGGTCCACCGACGCCAGGGATAAAGAAAACTGTGAAGACCTCTGATGTTTTTTAATCCAATAAAAGTTTAATTTCAGAAGGACTGAATTTAGAGACTCAATCAGCCAAAAGAGAGTCCTAAAAGCTGGATCTGGCTTTATTGATTACTTTGAATTTGGTGTTTAAGTTCATACTGTGTTTATACAGCAGTGTGATGACTAGTCAGCTATTCTTCAGAAAACCAACCCCTCCCTGTGAATCTTATCGCTCATAAAACTAAGAAAACAGCCTGACAGTCATGGACTATTGTTGATTTTCCATCAGGTCCACCAAGAACAAAGCGTATTATTTTGTAAGCAGAGTGATTGGTTTTTTTTTGGCGTGTTCACGTGAGGGTGTGTGTTGAAGAGTTAAATTGGCGGTAATGGAAGCAGCTCTTCCTTCAGTGGAAAAAAACATCCTGATAACCAGACATGAGGGCCGGCGCTTCCTTGGAAATCAGCTCACACAATGTGAACACTGTGTGTGTGTGTGTGTGTGTGTGTGTGTGTGTCTGTGTGTGTGTGTGTACTGTATGAGAGCATTACCCTCTCCTCTAGAAAACCAGCCAAACATCTGGCAAAACGAGCCTCACCCCGAGATGTGTGCTTCTTAAAACGCTGTCATATCGGACGCCAATTTGAATAGAGAAAAATATGTAAAGGGTGTGTGTGTGTGTGTGTGTGTGTGTGTGTGTGTGTGTGTATGTGTGTGTGTGTGTTCCTGCTAATATATGCACACCCTTTTTCAGTGGAAATGGACTAAGTAGTCAGCCACTTTCCATAACAACATGTAAATGGTTCTGTTTTATTTCAGATGGATTCATTCAGACAGTCATCGACTCAAATCAAATTTACAGGATTATCTACAACAAACAAGCTCTCTTTTAAAAATAATAACTGTTCGATAAAAAAGGTCATCATGATATCCCTTTGCGTGGACGAGCCGCATTTCTAAATCGGTGTAAAGAGCAAGACTTGGCAAGGAGATGAGCTGGAGGTTCGACTGAAAAGCCAAAGGACGGAGTGACGCATTAACAAAGAGCGTCTTTAGCGAAAACGAGACGAACGAGCGAATAACCGCCGGGCTAAACAGTGACATTGGTTGACATGATACTAAAATATAAGCCTTTAAGCGCTACACTTATGAAGATGAATTAATTACAGCTGCTTTACTCCAAATATTTTCATGTCAACAAAGGATTTAATGGAGCGATGACAGCTTTCATCACAGCGACGGTCCGACACTCAACACTCACTCCACTTCTTCTCGTCTTTCTGCTCTTTTTGTTTTGATTCGGGGCCCTCATCATGTCTCTTATCCCTTTTTATAAAGATCATCCAAAACCAAACAAGAGGCAGATTCAGTCCTGTCTAGTAGATTGAGAGGATTAGGAGAGAAATAAAGAATATATACAAACTAACTAAATTAACTGATCTATAAAGAATCAGTTTCTGATTTCCAAAAATCCAGAACGGTGGGAATAAAAGGCAGTAGGAGGCAGATTGGTGCAGAAATGGAGAGTTTGAGGATTTTCTCTCCTTCCCACTGACTCTCATTAACACGTTTCTATCTCTCCCACACACACACCGTCTTTTATCAACACATCGTAGATCCAGAGTCCAGAGCGCTGCACTGGAAGGTAGAGTTAGGAAGAACCAGGCGGGGAGCTTCTATAATTAGAGGAGCGTTCGGGAGCCGTACTGCTGAGTTGCTGAATGTTTAATGCCGGGCCTGCAGGCGTTACAGTCGCAAAGAGCAAACCTCTGAGCCCCTTTACACCGCCACTTTAACACACACATACACACACACACACACACACACACTGAGGGATGAAGCAGTAACAGTAGTAAACTGGATGAGTGGATTCAGATTTCAGGGAGGAAACAGCAGCACAATACTCGGACACAGACGCACACAACACATGACAACTGAGCGTGTAATTTCCCAGCTATTGTCTGTAACCTGAACTACGTAACGGGACCCAGACCTCCTCTGAATGAGGTAGTGGTCAAAAAGAGGAAATGTTCAGGACATTTTCAGAGAGCACAAGATCTGCCTGTTCAAATAAAAACTCTTCCTTTGGAGCGTCTGGTGGAAATAAATCGTAAATATCAAACAATTGAGATGGAGTTTAACAAAAATAACTGGAACTACTGAAGCTCCTGTGACAAAGTTTTTCACATTTATGAAATAGACTCAAAATTTAAAGGCAAAAGCAAACAAGACCGTCAGTGACAAGACAAACAGTTTTTACACTGTCATCTTAAAACCTGAAACTTCAGCTGAGCAGATAAACAAACTGTCCTGATTTTACAATATCCATATAAAGATTCCCAGAAAATGATCAATTTGACTTCAGAAGCAAAGACCGTTTTGTCCACAGGGGGCGTCAAAGTTGACACAAACTGAAAGTTCCCGACCGGAGCTTTAATGATATCAATATAAATGCTCAACTTGAGTATTTTTCTATTTAACACCTTCCCAAAAATTACTAATCTTGATGCTGATGATCTTTTTTGCTTTTGTATGTAATAAAGAGGCATCAGTATAAATTTAAGTCTTTTCCATACATGTCAATAAACTCCTCACAGGAACTATAAATATATGTAAACAGGGCCGCCTTCAGGATTTCTGTCCATCTGTTATCATTTAAACAGAAATCACTGCTAAAGGAACATAATGAGGTAAAACATCTATATCTATAACAACAACATCTATATTTTGTTTTCAATCTATTTGATACCGATGTCTCTCAAAAGTAGGGAACTCAGTTTTAGATACAGAAGTCATACTTTAAAAAGATGTGGCTAACCTAAGATGAAACTGCAGTATCCAAATTTGTCAGCTTTATTTGTAGTTTTGAGCTAAACTTCTATAATTTTCTATAATCTTAGCCGAAAACTGCAAATTTCAAAGAGTGGATAAAAAGTCCAGAGTTTTCAAAGTCACCTTAAGTAGAGACTCAGTAAACCACACCTGGTCTAAGTAGTCTTTCTGCCTGCGTTGTTAGTGGTGCACCATGTTTACATCTGGGTTTGATCAGCGGTGGAAAGACTCTCTCCAACAGATGTAAAACCAAACAGGTCTGCCTGATCAAACCTGGGGATTTCCATGATAAAACCCAAACTGGACTTCTTTACAGTACCTCACAGTCTACTGAAGGTTACTTTGACTGAAAATATGTATCTTTGGGTTATGGTCCAAACTAAATCCACTACCGGTGATTGGCCCATGGGTTCAGTTTTATCTTTATCTGGATTCTGCTGCACCGAGACATTTGAGGTTAGATTCCAGCAGTCACTGAGGACGTCTGCGCTCCCTGAGGTTAGAGAACTATCACTGATACATTCGCTTTTATTCACACATGGTCAAAACTCTCAGTCCGCCTCGTCCTCATTGTGGACAAACATGAGAATGATTATTTGTGTCTACTGTTGGGAAACCAAACACACCAGCCGTCTGTCAAATCTGAACAAATCCAACACTTCAGACTGACTCAGACAACAGTAGGGGAGACTGCTAACACTGACACAATGAACGGCTTATTTTACGCTTATCCGAAACATCAGAATTTAGCCGATTACATCTCCTAATAACCTTGTGAAACGCTTAAAACAGCTTAGGTTCATCCAGCAAACCTTGGCTGATGTTTATCTCAGCAGTCGCCCAATATGAAGAAAAAGCCTCTTCTCTTTTCACTCAAAGCATCACTGGAAATGTTCACCTCATCTTTTCCATCCTGGATAAGTATGATCATAAAACGTGTCCCCAAACACACACATTAAATCTCCCAAATATCCTCATTATAATCCTGCGAGCAGACCTTGTGTGGCTCAGACTCTTTGTAACGCCACCTCTCTTTCTTTTGTCCAGATCTGGTTCATTTATAATCATGTGTGATTTGGATCTCCTCACAGGAACATACAGCATGTCCTCAGCCTGCACTGAGAGCAGGGAGTGGCGGAGCGGACAGGAATGTTTGGAGGGGAAGGATTTGAAGTCTCAGGCATCCTGGAGGACTTGGACAATGACTGTACTGAAGCTGAAGACATTTTGTTTCCATAGTTTAAGATTATTTCCAGATCTGCAGCTGCCCTGATCTCCACATTCACATCTTCACACTCAAATATCTTCCTTTAGCTTGTACATTTTTGAGGTATTTCCCTCTCTGTCGTGATTATTTGGGTGGTTTTGGCTTGAGTTGACCCTCCTGACTGGCATATGCATAATGTGACTGTCATACTGTGAATAATCAGAGCAGAAGAGCTGTCATTTTAAGGCATTTTAGAGGCTAACTGACGCTCCATTTGTTCAATAAATGCGGACAACCTTTATATAAATCAACAGTTTTTTTAACCGGTAAGTCATACATGTCTTACCCTGTTTAGGAGCGGGTTTCTTCGACAGGAGAGGCTGGGAAGCGATGCGGCTCCCTCCCTGTGCGTGTTTCCCTGCGGTTTTACCGTCAAGCCGCTCGGTAGAAACAGTCCTCCGTTACAAAGCGTGTCCTCCTCCTTCTCTGAGGCCGCTGGTGGGTGACTGACAGGCGGCCTTTGGTCTTCCTGTGCCCCGGGAGCACAGCACTGTAACTCGGTATAATCTCCTCCGCAGCTCCGCTTCTCTGTCTCTAACTGCCGCCGCCGCTCCGCCTCGCGCTCCTCAACCGCTGCCGCTGCTGCTGCCTTCTGACGTCATGGAGGAAAGCCCCGCTGGGTGACGTAACGACGTTAAAGGGACGGAAACCACGCCCACAGCGGCAGCCCCGCCTCCTCCTGGGAACTCGGAGAGAGTTACCAAAAAAGTGTGTACAAGCTGGAAAGAGGAGTCAAAATGAAACTTACTGGAAGGAGCTGTGATGAGGCGGCAATTACCCAAGAAAGTAGGGCAAACAACACCTCCCGTTAAGCAGGAACAAACTAAAAAAATGAGGACTGCACCTAATCTTAATGACTTTTTTTTATCGTAGTTCTTTATCTTGTTTTTTGTACCCAGTATGAATGTGTATGTTGTGTTTACCGCTGCTGTTAACAACTTAATTTTCCCCACTGAGGGATGAATAAAGGAAAATCTAATCTAATCTAATCTACAAAAGATCTGAATCTGTCTGTCTTGCAGTGAAGAGAGATGACCCTTTGGTCCATTAAGGTGTTGTGAAGTGAGTGATCCACGTTCTTGAGAATAGTCTCCTCCAGATTAGTCTTTTATTTTATTCATTATTTCTCAAATTTTATTCTATGTTACCTTTTTCTTAGATTTTAATCTAAACCTCAGTGTTTCCTTATCTTGAGTTTTAAAATGGCATTTCCTCAGTGCGCTCATGCTGTTTCCATGAAATCAAGCCCAAAGAAAGTGTGTAAATGCTGGAAAGAGGAGTCAAAATGAAACTTACTGGGAGGAGCTGTGATGAGGCGACAATTACCCAAGAAAGGAGGGCAAACAACAGCTCCCTTTAAGTAGGATGAAATTAAAAAATTGAGGACTGCACCTAATCTAAAATTCAAAACGTACCTTTTTAGTCTTGCTTTTAACAAAATTATATATCACTACCTTTGTTTAAGTGTTTTAGCATTTATCTCTTTTTGTTTTAATGACAAGACAGTCTTTTATTGAGCTATTTTTAGCTCTTATTTTAGCATCTTTTACTTTTTTATTTATTATTTCTTAAATTTTATTCTATGTTACTTTGTTCGAAATCAAGCTTTTTTTAAGTTAATGCATTTAAATACTGTTTTTGCTGTGGTTAGATTGTGGGGTGGGAACTAAGGGTTGGGCTGGGGTAGATTTGGGTATTCTTTGTTTTTTTTTATTCCTTTTTCTCTGTAAAGCACTTTTTGCTTCATGGTCGTGTATGGAAAGTGCTATATAAATAAAGATTGATCGATTGATATGAAAAAGTTTTGATTTTCTTATTTTTGACATGAACGTTGAACAGTTTTTGGGACACATTTCAGATATGAAGAGGTAATAAAAATTTTTAATGTTGATAAAAATATGGCGTAAACATAAAAAAAACTCACTGTTACAGAAGCCTGAAGGTGCCAAACATAAAAGATGTCTGTTTGTGGGCTCAAAATAATCACCTGATGTGAACAAACAAGAACTTATACAAACAAAATGAGTCCAAAGTGCTCAACAGTGCACGAAAGTGTGCAGTGCGGTCAAAAGTGTGACTGCCTATCTGTTTCAGCAGAGCTTTATCTCTGCATCAACCATTTGACTCCACTTTGCCTCACTACAAAGGTTCAGTGCAGCTGTGACCTCAGCCTGTTTCCTCTTCTGTGGTAATCTCTGCATCAGCCACTCAGAGGTCTTTGTTAAATGTTATTATCAGCTGATGTTTGCAGGACCAAAATGTATTTAGACATGATCCAATTTAGAAGTCCACTACTTCTCTTTTCCCTCTTCTATCATTCATAACCAGCTGGACTGACTTAGTTGCATATTTTATCCAGGTTACCTTTAAGGTTGTTGTAGATGTGTTCTGCACCAAAATTGGTTGAAAATCTGCAAAACTGTCAAATATTGCACAAAAATTTTTGAACCAAAAAGGCAATTGAAGACTTTTGATTGGTTGTTTATGATTTCAAATCAAACACAACCCCATAGATACCATCTTTCAACTTTAAACACAAACATGAAGCTCCGTCAGATTGAATATTTGTCAGGCTTTAAAAGACAAACAAACAAACTTGCCACTCCTAAATGAGCTGTTATTATCGGACCGCATTTTTGATGATTTGTAAATATAATTTGGATGTAAAAAGAAATCGTGACCGGTTGACTTGAATTACTCCAAAACATACACAAACTCAACATTTGCCTTGTCTAGGCGGTACGCAAGGTAATGATTAAATTCAAAAGCCAAGGAGCAACAACAACAACAAAAAAAACTGCAGTTCCTCAAGTGTCCACTTGGGGCTGACTCTACAAGCCAAAAAAACACCTTCAGGGCTGGATATTCCAGCGTAAAATTAATTTAGGGTCAGACTGTAACACCGAGTTAGACACCCCCCCCCCAGAGATGAATGTTGACCACCACTTGCTTCTCTAGTTATACCAACTTAAGTAAAGACCGCAGGATAACAACACACAGTGGTCTGAGGAGCCATAAACAAACCTCAACCAAAATGCCACTCTATAGCCACAAATAATGCTCAGAACAGCACCTAACTTCATCAACAGGACATATAGGGTCACAGCCACAGCACTAGACACCAAACATCTTTTTAACTTTGACTAATTTCTTTAGTAAAGAGACTAAACACAACTCACCTACTCTCTTCCAGCAGTTGCTTTTTTGTCTGTAGCGAGACCTCTGGCCAGTTCATTACGGACTACAGCGGGGTGACGCAGCTCAAGGAAGAACATTTATGATCATTTCTTCATGGAAATACAATCAGAGACGCTAAGGCAGAAGAACTACTGAGTCTGCAGAGCAAAATGATTAATATGATGATTATTACTTCAAGGAAATGATAAAATAATGATCATAAATGTTCTTCCTTGAGCTGCGGCACCCCACTGCAGTCCGTCAGCTGTGTATTGCTATCCTGCCGTCGTTACTAAAGTTGGTATAACTAGAGAAGCAAGCGGTCGTCAACATTCATCTCTTGAGGGGGTGTCTAACTCGGTGTTACGGTGTGTTTGACCCTAAATTAATTTTACGCCGGAATATCCCTTTAAACCTTGAACACAAAATGATTTTAATCCCCGTAACTCATTTCTTTATTCATTAGAACTTTGAAAAGAGTTAATTTCCTCATTTTTGTAATAAGTCCAATGGTTGTGTATGGTTGAGCATGGTGCAACGAGTTTGTTTGTCAGACAGTCTGGCCTTTCCTCGGACTCTGCTGGTTTCTAAAGCAGCCAAAAATAAATTTGACTCAGGATTTCCAGGATTGCACCACCATCTTTTTGGGTTCAACGTTCTCAGGAATCATAGTGTGACAGCGCTGATAACATCCATGTTTTTAAAGGTCTCACAAAAAGACACAACGTGCACAAAATGATGGTTGTCGGAAAGAATGGGATTTATTAGATGGGAAACATGAGTAATGGGACAATAAGTGCTGCTGACAAATGAAAGTCCCACAGCACCGCAATATTAACCTTAACTTATAAAGCCAGTTTTCCCCTCCCCTCCGTATGTCCACCCACTCAAGATCTTTTCCCAGCCTTCTCTCTGGTGGGAATGGAACGGCTCAGGATTCAACCAGCTGGAAGAAAAGGGAGAGAGGGGAAGAAAAAGTCAAGCCATGACCGCAAGGTTTTTGGTAATTTCAACGCTGGAATCTTCAAGAGTGATGGACGAAAAAAAGAAATCCTGTCCATCTTCAAGTGCAATTAGCTGAGGGCTGGCATTAGATTCAAAGTGCACGTTCATTTAGGCGTCAAGAAAAAAACGGAAAAGATTCCTATCTAGGTCGGTACATTCACAGCTTTAAAAAGAATCTAGACTTCACTGAACACAGGTGACATGATTCAAGGAAATTCAGCATGAGAGACTGAAATCTGCCGCCTGGGACTGCTAAACATCTGCTATTGTTTTTCATCCAAACAACCCCCAAGAGCATAGAAACACATCAGTATTCAGGGGAAAGTGCAGGTGACACAGTCTGCATGCAAGATGTTTCCACTCATCACAAACACCAGGTGACTACAGAGCTGGGAGGAAAATAACAGGTCAAGGAGGAATGAAGGATCCAAGGACGATCCCTCATGAGATCGATGTCACAGATCGTTCAGAGGCCCAGCGGGTGACCGACACGTCTGAGAAAACAAGTGCCACTTCAGTGGATTGTTTGAGATTTTTTCACCCAATCCTTCGTGCCCGTGAGTAAAAATTTAAGGGTATTTCTTTGGGAGAATTAGGTCAAGATGGAACAAAAAAAAAAGGGTCAGAGGGAGGGCACCTTTGGGAGATTTAGAAACAAAGACATTTCCGAGAGGGAGTTTCTCTGAAGGTTTAAGCCACCGACATCCTTCGGCTCGTCTCTTTGATGCAGCTCACTTCACAAAGACCGTGACGTCTGAGGAGCAGCGAAGAGACGGAGCAGCCGCGAGATGAGGACTGAAACTTTCACTGTCACAGACTGAAACCATGTCTTTGGAAATCGGTCTGTACTGGCCTCTGAACTCTGGACGATAAAGTGAACACATTTCCTTTAAAAATAAACACTCCTCACTTTAGAAAGAAGGGAAGTGATAAAAATTTCTATTTTACATTTCTATTAACACTTTTTGCAACAAGCCCTTTCATGGTTTGAGTAAACTTCAAACATGATGGTTTTAATCTCAGTTATAGAGTTGAAAGGAGCCTCTTCAGGAGGACTTTCAGGTGAATCACTGGCCATGAAGAGCAGCAGAATAACCACTTATATTTCACAGTTAAGGACTCAATCTAGAGACAAACTGCTGCGACACAAAGCCTGTTTCTGTCAGGACTGGAGCAGAATTTCTGTAACTATATCCACCTCTGATTCAGGATACACAGGCGCCCCCTTATGGAGACAAAACTCATTCTTTCAAAACCTTTAAAACAAACTGTCACCAAATATTCACACAGTCTACAATCACATTTGTTACCCAGCTGTGTCTGATACTTGATTCTGATTGGTCCAAACCCTGTATCGACAGTAAATAAATCAGAACTCTTCTATCAGCAGCTGGATAATAATCAGAATATTGATTGGTGAAAATTAGAATAACATCAGGGTGACGCGGTGGACACCCTGCTAGGATCAAATCTGCATGACTACCCATTCACTGTATTTGATCCCTTACACAATAACATGCTTATAATGCATATTTGGTTTCTGGTAAGATTTCTTAAGCTTCAGGAATTGGCAAAATGAACACTTGATAGAAGACTAGCATTGAAAACTGCACTTAAATATACGATATATAGTCATAGTGCAAGAAGGAGAGTGCAGAATTTTTTATCCAAACGACCGTTTTCTTCACCCCGGCTTCATAGAAGAAATATTCCTCCGTGTAAACCCTAGACTGTCTCACATATTTATGTCATTTTGGTATTTTAAGACTCTTGTGTATTCATTTAAGATAGCAGGCGAGTAGATAGAGAAGGTAAACTGAACCCAGAGGACTAAAACCTCTGTACACGGGGCGAGTGATCCAACCCCTCATCCTTAAAAGAGCGTCAGATTTGCATCCTTCAGTTTGAAACGAAATAATAAAGATCTTGTGTTTCTATAATGTTTCGGTCTGTGTGGGACTGAAGGTAGAGGAGAAGTACTTTGTGTGACATACAGGAGAAACAGCGAATGTGAAGGAGAATCAGAGGGTGAGGGAGAGAAAAGGGCAAAGTCATTGATTAAACAAGAGCAAACCTGTCCAGCTAAGGCAAACAATCTGCCACAGATGTCGATATTTTTTACATTTTTGGATCTCTATAAAACGTGCGCAGCAAATGTCAGAGCTGTAAATGTCATTTCTATTCACACACAGGGCAGAAGCAGCACGGTACGCCGAGCTCCAGTATGTTTTTTTGGTTATCGATCACTTCTACATCGACTCGCTCTCTGCCGGACTTTAAACTCCTCCTGTTTCTACAACAGGGATCACAGAAGTGAAACTTTGTGAGTTTTCTTCCTCTCTGAAGCGCCGTCTTCCACGTTTACACTGCGCTGAGTTACATTTTGTTGCCGCTGTGACACTTAATCAACTCTTGTATAATCTCCACCCATGACAGAAGGGAAGAACCCGATGGAGGGAAAGAATGAAAGAGGGCTTTTTAAACGAAGAACACTTGGTCTTTACAGGCGGTGGCTCGTGCGGGGATTTCCGTGGCGGCGGTGAAGGCAGCTATGATGGAGGCGAAGACGATGTTCGGGCTCTTGGCGGCGTCGATGGCCGTGTGCAGACCCTGAGCTCTGTAGTACTCCACCAGAGGGACAGTCTGACGGTGGTAGGCGTCCAGGCGGGAACGAAGGGTTGTTTCATTGTCGTCGCTGCGGCGGATGAGCGGCTCGCCTGTCAGCTGTTTGAGGTAAACAAACGAGAAGGAGAAACAAAGCTCAGCTGTTTGAGGTAAACAAACGAGAAGGAGAAACAAAGCTCGGTGACACATCAGTCTTATTCTCTTCGGAGGATTTTAAAACAAAGCTGATGGGAAAAGTAAGGTGAGCAATTCAGTCATTTATGAACAAACACCGACAACAACAAGCTCGGTGAATGACGCACAGCTGATGAATGAACCGACACGGCGATGGAGGGATTGGCGTTCGATACTGTATCTGTGGCTGATCTGAGGTTTCAGTGTTTGTTCTCGGTTCTGTTTTGATGCCGCGTTAAAAGCCTCCCGCTTCACTTCATTAAACTCTGCAGCCGTCTGACGGCAGCAAACGCACACACACACACACACACACACACACGCTGATAAACGAGCGGCCTGTGATTGGAGCAGCTCCGCACCAAAGCACACAGTCATTAACTACAGACGCACCCAGCTATAAATCCAGCTGATGATCATCTGCACAGGAACCTTACCCTCTTAATGTAAAATATATGACCTTTAACTGCATGGATTATCTCTGAAACGCCTTTATCTGTCTTTGTCTTTATCCAACTCTGAGGGAAAATATCTCTCAGACAACTTCTGAATCTATTTCTGATATTTATAAAATCTCGTCTTCATCTCTGGATCTTTAATGTGAAGAGAGAATGACGTCTATGAACGAGAACCCGCTCCGCGTACTTAATTATGACTTAATGTCTGAGGCGTTTCATCCTTTCTAAATACGTCAGAGCACTTTGTCTGAAATTGGCGGATTGTCACACATTTCCAGGCTGGAAATGATTTTAGGTAGGAGGCCGTTAAGCCAGAAGTGGGTCCTAAGTGGGTTGATAGTGAAACTACTTACGTCATCCTTCATGGGCTCTTTAGGGGGGTTGAACTCCTCGTGGTAGGAGCGGCCGCTCGGCTGATGAATTAGTCTGGGGAAACAGAGGGGAGACGGTGAAGGGGGGGCGGCGGCGATACGAGGACGGAAAAGAAATCAAGAGTGAGAGCCGAAGAGGAGGAGGACAGATGAGGGTTAGACAGCCGTGGTGACTCACTAACTACTTAACCGTCCTTTCTCACATCCCACTCGCTGCCCTTGTCCTACTTGGGTCTGAAAAGGCAGCAGCCGGCCTCCTCCTCCTCACAAAAGGACCCCCGTGGACAGAGAGACGACTCTTTTCAAACTAAATGTGTTTTTATTCGGTTTCATGTGAGAATAATGTCGAGCTGCAGCTGTGGAGAAAGAGGACAAGCGCTGTGCAGCGACAACAAACACCCAAACACGTTTTTTAAAGAGCAGCATAATGTTCGACTGGTTCAGCTCCGCCGGTTTAATGAGTAGGTCAGCTTCAAATTGGAGCACAGCGTGTTGCATTAAACGGTTTCAAAACAGTTATGTAAATAATGATTTGCCGCACAGTGGGGGCAGAGGAGCTCGGGAGATGGAAATGTACCAGAATACAACCAGACACACAGACAATTACGCTGTTAAAAGGTCTGAAACTTTCTCTGTAGTTCTCGTTTTGGCCTCGACCTGTGGAGCTTACATAAGTGAACTGGCGCCAGGTCAGAGCAGAAAGTAGAGCAGGGGGAATAACCGGCGCTGGAGGCTGAAAGAAGAAGGAGAAGAAGAAGACACCTGCAGGTTGTTGGTCCTCCTGGTTTGGGTTTCATTTTGGTTAAACAGACATGATTAAGAAACTGTGTCCTCTTCCTGTTCTGTGGTGAATCTGTCCGACCAGAGCAGGTTAAAGTAGGATATAAACCTGAGAGTAAGGATGTGCAAAAACACGTTGAACATATGTTGTTTTTAACGCCTCTGTACATACCATTCTCTGGTCTACTTGCACAGGCCTGTTCCTACCAAATCTCACACCCCTGGTTTGTTTTTCTGAGCAACTCTGATTCTTTCGACACGGAAAATCAGTTTTTAAAGTTTATGTTTCAGATTTTTGGAGCGAGTGGAGGAAGACGTGCAGCAAAGGGTCATAACCGCGAATTTAAACAAGCCTCCATACGTGGGGCGCTGAGAGCAGCAACCCATCGGCGCCCTGCAGGGAAATTCAGGGTATCTGTTGCTGTTATTTTGACCAAAATCTGCCAGTCGGCTATAAAATGTCTTTATTCTGAAGTCACTAACAAGCTTTGAGGGGGAAAACAACTCAAATCAGGACCATAAGAAAGTCAGAATGTCTCTTTCTGAAAAGGAGACCCTCATAATAAGACTGAGGTGAAGAGAAGAACACTTGCAGAGGTGAGCGCTGATCTAAAGCCGATCCATCTTTCTTTATTTGTCCCTGACTGCATAAACAACACAATCTGACCCACAGCTCCCACTCTGTCTGCTCCACTCATACGTTTCATGATTGTTAGAGGCTAACGAGTGGAAACCGGCTCTGTGTGTGTTTGTTTATGAAGCTTTAGATTCCATCACCAGTGATTTCTACAGACGTATTTGGAGATGTGCCACCCGCTGTGAACAGCTGCGGTTTGAACCGTCCGGTCCTAAAAGCGTCAGCCAGAACACACTGTTCAGATCTGGTATTCATCCCCACCTCCACCCTCCACCCTCCACCCCAGTTAGCAACAACGAGATCCTTCTAGCTCCACTCTCGCCTCCTCTCCTCTCTGATTGGTCTATTTTTGAGCCACAATCAGCGGGACTTCTTCATTAGTGTCCTCTGCGCTCCTGACGTTGTAAGAGACGTCACAGTGCAAAAAGCAACAGCGGCATACACCTAAATATACCAACATATAGATGATAATCTGGTTTGATCACTGACAGACTCATTACTGACCGTTTTACTGTTGAGGTTTGTAAATGAAGAGGAACTTTAAATCATTTCTGCTTTTGTTATAACAGTCAAACGGTTGTAAATCACATCATTTTTCATTTCAAATGTATTCATTTTAAAACTTTGAGGCCATTTTTAACCTGTAATTTCAGTTCAGAAAAAGCTGCCGGTCTCACATTGCGAGTGGATTTTAAAGTTTGCTGCTACAGTGTACTGTCCTGTTTTTAGAGCTGATATTGTAAAAAAAACAACTTAACCCCAAATATGAGATGATGCTACTTCATCCAGATGTATCTAGATCAGAAAAACACCTTATATTGGGATCAATACACTATATTCAGTGTCAGTAATGAGCTGTGGCTTGATTTGTTTTTACTCTTTTTGATTCTTCTTTGTCTATTTTTAAATCCTGACCCCGTTCAGGCCATCGTCTCTGTTAATCGCACACTTTAAAACTCCATTTCCCTCCAACATGATCTCGCTGTCCCCTTCTACCTGTATGTGCGATTCAACACGTAGACAGAATGAGGAAATTCTCCGCCAGAGTAAAAAGCCCCGTCGAGGGGAACCACAAACCACAGGGAAAAACAACAGACCGTCTCTGGTCATGAATTATTCATTCTCTCTCCTACCTGCCACAGATCCTGCGGACCAGCAGAGAGTCGTCGACGGCAAACTCGATCACAGAGTCCAGCCTCTCGTGTCTCTTGTCCAACAAGTCATCCAGCTGAGATCAGAAGAAAAGGAGCAAAATTTAAGAAACGTCACAAATCTAACGTCCATTAAAACATTTTTAAACTCTCACTCTGTTATGACTCAGGTTAAATTTATGTTCAGTATCAGTGCACTGTAGTTTCTGACAGAATATCTCTGATGTGAATTTTAATTTCTGTGTTCATCATGACATTTACTGCAGTTTAGGGAAGCTGTGACTTTGTGCGGTTGTCAAAAACAGTCACCACTTTGACTGCGAGTAGCGTCCACAGCCTGATTCTCTTCATCCGTCCATCATTTCTGAGTCAAGACAGCCGAGTCATCAGCGCTGGTACTCGGACGTCAGACTCGGAGAGACAAGAGCTCCAGCTCAGCTGATTGCTGTGAACTAACACAGCTGCGAGGATAACGTAAGACGCAGGGACTCAGCTCAGGCTTGTTCATCAGTTAGTCTGTCTCTGGCGTATATCGCTGTACACTGTTTTAAGAGCTCCACGTTCTTAAGGTCTAATTGAGATTTTGATTTGTGTTTATGTGTTTTTAATGAAATAATATCAGTCGTATTTGTTGCCAACAGCGAAAAGAAGCAGCATGAAACACAGGCCTCACTCACCATCTCTGCTTGTTTGACTGTGCGAGGAAATCCGTCCAACAGGAAGCCGTTCCTGCAGGGGGCCGTGTCGAGGTTCTTCTCTATGAGCTCTACGACCATCTCATCACTGACCTGCAGGTAAACAAAGAAAATCCTCTGATATATCTATGTAAACTTTAACCCCATATATCCTGCACAGACGCTATTCTGCCTCAGGGCCTGACACTAACTTTTCACAAGGAGCACATTTACAAAGAACTTTAGAGGCACAATGAAAATTGATCAAATAATGTTTGTCTTATTAGTCGACATAAGTACTTTTATCTAAAATCAATTTTAGGTCTTTTGGTCATATGACATGGACGCTATTGAAGGAAAGGCTCAAAATCTGCCATGAATGTCTATCAGATATCCAACCTAGAACTAACTTCACCACGGTATTTACATGAAAACACATTTTTTTGCCTCGCCTGATTTTGTTTATACGCAAGTGTCCCTAAATACATTTTACAATTCGCACAAGTCTATTTTTAGTTGCAAATGCGAGTGAAACGGTCGCACTGTCATCGAGCCCTGTGTCTGCATGTTCTTTGTATCCATGTGGAGTAAGGATGTGCGATACTATTGATATAATATCGGCAGATAACAGTCTAAAAGGTTAACTATCAGTATCAGCAGGTATTCAAATTTGTGCAGGTAGAATTACTGGACAAAAAGGTGATGCATTAATTATGTTCACATGACGACAGCTTACATATGTCGGCTGTTTTAGAGTGTTGGAAACAAACAGCTGTTGCATAAGTACAGCCATACATACTAGTCCTGTTTGTCTGGTTCTAAAGTAAATACACCGTCACAATAAGAGCAACAAACATGTTCCGTCACAGGAGAAACTTTTAATTCTTTACAATAAAATGGTGTGTATATATCTGTATCAACAGCAGCCTACATGAGCTTTAAGTATCAGCATATACTGGATCAAAAAAACAAGATTAGACATCCCCAGTATGAGGCAAAGGGAGAATAAAGATTGGTCGCTGCCTTTCACCTATTAAGCTGAACTCGACTGAAACATGAGACACATGTCGTCATGTGGGACTGAACATAAAGGGCTTTAAGTTCAACAGGGAGCCTAAGAAAGTCAGACAGAGGAAACACCCCGGAGAGTATGAGAGGACAGAGAGGAGCAGACAGTTACCAGTTTGCCTGCGTCCATGGTCTCCTTTAGCCTCTTGCCGAGCTCTGAGCCTGAAGCCACCATGGCCCTCAGCATGTCTCCGGTGGCCAGGTGACAAACACAGTACTTCTCTGCAAGCCGGGGGGCCTGTAGGGTGAAGAGGAGATGATTTGTCTTTAAAGCTGTTCAGAAATGATTAAAATGGTACATTGTGATAATCTGCAGACAGTCAGTTCACTTTCATTGTAATGTGCCCAGTCAGCGTGGTGGCAGATTGTTTAGTTTGGCTCTGAGACCCGAGAATTTTCAGCAGAGATTATAAATCTATTGTAGTCATTCACAAATAAGCTTCATAGCTGTGCAGTCCTAACAAGCCCCTTCCTGTCAGCTGCACATTGACTCGATGATACTCGTTTTATTCCCGTGTACAAGTCAAAAGCAAGTTCTGTCAGGATCTATAACAGCTTTATTAGATGTAAACGTCTTCCTTATCGTGTAAAAGTGTTTTTATGGGAAATATCTGCGCTCTTTAAGTCACTTGACCTCCCAAAACTACAGCAGTAGTCAGGAGCCCTCCATGCTCCGTACTGCAGCTGTAGGGGAAGGTCCCGCCTCCTTTGCCTCTGATTGGCTGTGAAACTCATCACACACTCAAGCTGTTGGCGCCCAGGCCTACAGAACGTAGGCCTGGGCGATTTGGCCAAAATGATCACGATATATTTTGTCATACCGTCCGATCTCAATCATTGTCACGACTGCCTGTTTTAAAACATCTGTACTAAAAACTAAAGAAACTAGAGATTAGTTCAACATTTTATTAACATATAAACTACGCAAACTGAATAAGATACACTTAGAAAAATATAAAAACCATTTCAACTCAGCATTACAACAAATGTAGATAATTACTAAATAATACAGTGAACTAGTTTACAGCCCTGAGTGTTTCTGCAGGTATGAAAGACAAAATAAACAAATCGCCCCCTCAGAGAGAATAAAGATGCCTTAAGATGTAAACATTAGATGATGTAAACATAGATGACACGACTGATCGCTGCTTTGGTGATTTGGTGAACGAATCTTTTGAACAAATCTTTCTAGTGAACCGAATCTAGTGGTTCAGTACATCTAAAAAAAACTGCTATGCCCATCACTAACCCTAACCCGACGGACGATGACGTTTCACAGCCATAAGGAATAACCAATCGGAGTCTAGAACCCTACAAAAAAATTCAGCGTCCCGGTGTTTTTGAGCTGTATTCATTAAAACATTGAATCAATGAGTTTTAAATGAATCAATAAGAAATCTGACATGTGTTTTCAAACATATACTCCTAAAAATAACCTGCTGTTCACATAAATGAGCTAGAGTTAGCACCTGTAGCGACCACGCGCCCTAACACAGAGCTAAAAGCTAACGGCTAACAGCTAGCTCCGTTAGCTCACCGGGGGAATCTCTCCCTCACCTGAGTGCCTTTTCCGGCGCCGGGAGGTCCGAGCAGGATGGCACGGATACCATCCTGAACGTCAGCTATAGCCTCCTTTAGTTGCGTGCTGGGGGCCATGTGAGGGCCGGGACAACAGCGGGGCAGAAACTTTGCTGAAGTCTGTCAGTGTCGTCCTGGTGACACTTTCGCCAAGTTGGCCAGAGGAGGAAATGCAGACGCCTCCTTTTTCTACACGGCGTTTAAACCCCACCTCTTATCAGAAAATACGGGATTTGATTGGTCCACAGACTGCTCCATCAGTTATTGTGTACGTTGATTGGATGAAATTGTACGGCGCCTCATTGTGTAACATCCGAAAAGGATTGAACCGGAATGTAGAGCAAAAGAGAAATCTGGACTTTTTTTTAGCTTGTTCTAGTTCAAACCGGTCTATCTTCTAGTTTTGTCCGACCTCTAACAACAAACATACTGAGTTTTTCCACGTTTCTCTTTTAACATTTATTATCTTTATGTTAATGTGAGGCTTTTCTTTCGACTTCATCATCTGTTTTATTGAATTATCTACATCCGGTCATTTTCTACGTGAGCTTGTTAAATTCATATTGTGCAAAAAAAGCATAAAAAGTCGATAAGGATTTTTTTAATAAGAGTTTTTTTCACATCTTGGAGTTTAAACAATATTTTTAAAACGATCCTTTAATCAGTAGTGTTGTGTGGTTCGCGAACGATTATTTCAAAATAACCGAATCTTTATAGTGAATGTACTGAACCAAATCACTTCCTCGAGTGATTCATTCGTTTCTCACTTCAGCTTGAAGTGAGAAACAGCATTACCAGGCCAGTAGCCAGCAAACGAGGGAGCACATGCATCGACGCCTGAATCACTTGGTGAACGAATCACACATTGAACGACACTCTCTGGAATCATTTTTGTCGTACAAAACTACCTTTTTTTTCTCATTGTTAAATTGCCACCACAACAACTTGCATACAATAGGACACAGCATGTAACAAGTAGTGCATTAAACAGCTCAAAAAAGGTTTTAAGCTAAAAATAATCATCTACCAATAGATATACAGAAATGATTCTGTACGCGTGAGGGAAGTTATAATTTAAGGGGAAAATTTAACTTTAATCTAACTTTTCAGACAAAGAGGAAGGGTTTTTGTGTTTCAGTGAGTGGGGTGAGACCATAGACTGTATATAGAATACAGTATAGTATAGGATAGTATGAGGAAGGTGTTGGGTAGCACTTAGTGTTATGAGGTTATTGTTTCTTTTGTTTTGTTTTTTTGTTTGTTGTTTTTATATGTGTGCTGTATTAAGTGGATGTAAATATTGTTTTGTAATACTAAGTCATGAACGTACTTTATTTATCTATAATTATCAGGCAGATCTAAACAAGTTGCAAGGAAGCTTGGTGTGGGTACTTATTACTTAAAGAGAAGGGGTGGGAGTTCATAAGTTATTCTTATTCTCCCTCTTCTTCAAATATGTATTTCTATGTTTTATGTTTAAATGTTTTGCCTTACTTTTCTTGTTTAAGTTTTTATATTTTTGGTTTGCATATTCGAAATAAACTTCAATCAATCAATCAAAACTTGACTGGTGTTGGACTTTATTGTTTAACTGATTTAAAAATATATATTTTTAAAGTATTACTGTATTTTTTTTCATGTTATCCACTAAATTGCTTTGAATTTTTGGGTTTATATTTCTCATCATACTGTCAGGGGTGGATCTGGTCTCTTTATGCCTCTTTATAGCTTATATTCTGACCTGAGACACTCATAGTATTTCTATCTAGTTTATTTTAATGTCTGAAACCACTGCTAGGTGATGGTTATGAACCAATCGGTTGCAGAAATATCCTTTTTTCTCACAGTTTTTTTATTTATTGATTTTTTTATTTTACCTATATTTAACTGGGTAAAATCCCTTTGAGATCATGATCTCATTTACAAGGGCGACCTGGCCAAGAGGTCGGCAGCACATATAATAAATGCAAATTACAGAAAACAGAAAACAGTAAAGACTTTTTATGAGCGGTGCTTTACATCCATAAAGCGCTTCTTCCTCATGCACCGCTGAGTTTAACAGAGACATTACAGATTCACTCGGGCAAAAAGAGAAAAGAGGTAGCTGGTATTTATACATTTTTTCTCATATCATTTTTTTATTTATAAACTTTTTTTTGTCTTATCTTTAATCTGATATCATCTAAAAACTTCCTCTGTGAAACCCTCATCCTTCACCATAAATCCGTCACTTCATCTTTGCAGAACAAGAATCGACTGTTTGTTCTTACAAAAAAGGGAAATGAGATAGACTGAGATAAGTCAAATGAAGGATGGATTTGAAGAAGTTCACGTAGGCCCTCCCCACGGGTTACGTCCAACAGGAAGGACGTTTTTTAAACTCATTCTGTGAAACTTAAATTCATTTCTCTTTTTAACCTGCCGACGGACACTGTGGGGGAAAATGTCTGAAGCTGATGTGACATACTCTGACGTGAAATTCACAAAATCAAGGGATAAAGACAAAGGTAGGTCCTAGAATTAATTCACATGTGTATCTGTGTATCCAGTACATCTTTCTAATCTTGAAATAACATCATCTACCTGCTGTGAGAGCGTTTAAAGAAAATCATCTAAATTTTTACAAAAAGTGTCTTTAAGTGGAGAGTTAAAAATGTGTAAAAAATGTCTGTTTGGCACATGTTGTCTAAATGTTTCTCAGCAGTTTGTTTGTGGGTTTTTTGTTGCAGGGAAAGCTTCCCCTTCTGAGGACACCACATACTCTGAGGTCAAGATTGCAAAGACTGCACCTCAGCCGCCTGCAGAGCTCACTGGTGGGTAAACATGTCAAATATAAACAGAATAAGGAACCTGGACCTCCTGACGGTGATTGTTACAGTGCAGTCATATTACAAATATATCTTTAACAAGCCTTTTCAACTCATTTGCACCCATCATGCTGGCCCTGGTACTCAGAAGTCTGAGTATTTCAGCAATCAGTATTCTTATTTCTCACTTTATTTAATGTTTATATTATTATTTGTAGTATTGTTTATTTTCCTTGGTTGTTTACAGTTGAACAGAGTCTAGATTGTTTAATTAAATGCTTTTAGCTTGTGTAAACAAAAGAGTGAAAGTAAAGATTAAAAGCTGATACTTACATATGATCATCTTCCATTCTAATGTAGATTTGGGAATATAAATGTGAGATTTGTCATATTTTTTCTGTAAAATTGCAAACTGAAGCGGTCGCCCCGAGTTATCTTAGCGTTAAAATTTTTAAAAGTTACTGTCATTGACACATAATCTAAAAGAGGGCTTTAACAGGGTACAGAGGATGACTGCTTGATGAGTAAAAAATAAAATAAGGAAGTGGTAATGCAATAGACTTTGGGCGATCCATAATCAGCCTTCATGTTACCTGTTAGTCTGTTTATGTCTGTGTAAACCCTCCTCCAGTTACAGTATAATTCTGAGAGTATGTGTGTAAATATGAGGACCTGCTAATGTTAGGTCGTCTGATCTGAAGCTGTGACGTGATGGCTGAGTTGATATGTGCGACTCAAATGGGGTTAAAGTTACTGCAGTGACAAGAACAGGAAAAGCTAAAGCAGACATTGGAGCGTGGAGTGTGAAGGGTTGGTGTATTTTATAAAAGTGTGAGTGTAAACGTGTTTGCAGAAGTTGAACTCAGTCATACCATAAAATGTGCACATGAAGTTCCTGTATCTGCACGTTGAATCATCTCTCTGTCTCTGAAGGTCATCTGAATCCTGTTTTCGAGGTATTTCAAAGTGATGACATATCTTCAGATGACACAAACTAACGATACTGATGACACCAGCGTTTTTTTTTCGGTCATCCTCTTGCCCAAAGCGAACAAGCCCAGCCATGATGACAGAGTTTAGGCCAACAGTAGAAAGAGAAGTTCACCGTAAAAGACCACTGTCTCTCTTTTCTGTCTTTTCTGTCGTCCAACAGGTCCACAACAACCGGCTGAATCAAACAAACGGTCATGTCCCACATCAGTGACTGCGGTCGTGGTTGTTCTTCTGGTTCTTCTGGTTTGTGCTGCCTCTGCCCTTGGATATACCAGTAAGTGATGAAGGTTCCTCTGGATCACTGATGGAGACGTTTTCCTATCCTTGATGGAGTCTCATCTCTGTCCATCTCTCTCTGAACTCAGCTCAGTCTCAGCAGATGACTGTCTAACATCAGTCTGGTTCTGCTCAGGGTTTCTGCCTGTTAACCCTCCTCCTGTGTTAGAGTCTGCTACGACCCGTTTTTGTCTTTAAATGCTTAAAAGAACCACTGAAATCCGTTTTTTTTTTTTGCATCAAGACTTTTTTTTGACTTTGTCAGGAACCTCTAGTTCAACAAAATGAAAATCAAAAAAATCAAATAGACTCAATTATAAAATGCTCTTATTAAAATCATGGCTCTTGTCCTGTTATGGACGCTGTTGACCCGGTTAGATTAAAAATCAATAATTAGAGCAAAAACTGAAATCATAAGTGCATCGACAGGCACCACACTGACAGTCAGATCCTCTTCCAATCATGTGAGATTTAGGGAATTCTGATTTTTCCATGTTTTTCCTGCACAAAAAACAACGGCGGGGATGTTGAGACATGTGAGATCAATTCAGTAAAGATGTCTGTATGAGGAGTAAACTGACAAAGAAAGACCCAGAGGCCCACAATAAAAATTATTATAAGCAATATTTTCATTAAATAATGAAGCCGAACAAGGTAACCTGGAGATGAGAACCAAACTGGATGATAGAGAAATGTTCTGAGTTTACTAAGTACTAAGGAGTGAAGTGATGTCGGCTGTGTGGAAGTCTGAACAAGACGTTGCAGCGGAGTGCAAAACTTGTCATGCATGTACATGTGCCAATATCTGGTCAATATCGATATTGGCCAATAGTGAAGGCCACAATATCGATATTGGAAGTCAAAAAGTTGTATCGGGACACCCCTGATATTAAAGCTTCATGTTTTCTGAACATCTCTGTGAGATAATTGAAGAGACTCTGACCGTCAGAGTTTGATTTTTCCTGACAATCCTTTTTTCTTACACCAGCTTATCAAAACTCTCAAACCGAAGAGCAACTGCGAAGTCTGCGAGTCGAGAATGAAGAGCTGAAGAAAAACATCACAGGTAGGTTTGGGACACTGCTGTCACTGGTTTGTTCATTAACACTCAGGGTTTTGAGGAATAATGAGGACTTTATTACACAGTGTGATAAAGTTATTGACTCCATGCAGGTCCTCGGTAGCATCTTCAAGAATGACAGATGAATAATATTGTTAAATGTATTTATTTTTTTCATTTCAGGGAGGAAATGTGAAGCGAAACCGTGCCTCATATTCAACCAAACATGCCCGAGTGAGTACAGACTCTATATTGAATTAAAGGTTCTGCCTCCTGATGATAATTAAAGGAGCGTTTGATAACCAGTAAACTGCCTCCAAGTTAAACACTAAAACTGAAGTCTTTGCTGTGATTTATTCACAGAGGAACATTGTCTAAAATGTGAAGAAGGCTGGGAGCGGTTTGGAGAAATGTGTTATAATTTCTCTACCAATAAATTAAACTGGAACGCCAGCAGAGACGACTGTCAACGGAGAGGAGGAGACCTGGTGAAGATTGAGAGCAGAGAGGAGCAGGTAAAACACACACAGATCTCTGGGTCTGTGTTTCATTTTGTTTTATCACCGTGATTTGGACGATTCTGATTCAAACTGTGTCGTTCAGATCTACCTGGATGAGATATTGAGAAATAAGATGAAGGAGCCTGAGGACAAGTTCTGGATCGGACTGACAGACTCAGTGAATGAGGGCGAATGGTTGTGGGTGGACGGATCTCCTCTGAACGAAAGGTTTGACTGTTTTGAACACATTTACTATAAATCCAAAAAAAAGAAATGATGGAGCATTTGAAACAAGTTTTTCCCTCTTTTCTGTCTCCTAGTTTGAAGTTTTGGAATGGAGACGAGCCAGACAACTGGAGAGGAAAAAATTCACGTGGTGAGGACTGTGCGAGGATGGGGGAGCGAGGAGGAGCTGAAGACAATGAAAGCTGGTTTGATCAATCCTGTGAGAAACTTAACAAACACATCTGTGAGAAATCAGCAGAAACTGGACAACTTGAATGTGTGACCTCTCGGCCCAGTCTTAGAGCAGGATACAGAACGTGAGGTAACATTAATACTGAAGATATTGAATGTACATTAGCTGTGCAGTGATACTGAAATCATAACAGCATGATGTATTTTAAATATGTTCTTACTGTCTGTAAAATAAGCACAAGTTCATTATAATGGGCCTTTTTTGAACAGGAGTGTTTGGAGCAACATGAAGTTTGTTTAAAGAGTTTTAAAGTCAGAATTATGAGTGAAGCTCAAGTTAAAATGATTTTCTCATGAGAATAAAAACATAGTTAAGTCTCTTTGTTACAAGTCCCTAATTCAGTCTCATCATGCTGTTTTAAAATACCACACAACTCAGTTTATATCATGACTGAAATACAACTTTATTTTTGTAATATAATGTTGAGAACTGATTTTTTTAGACTTTATTTTGATTTTACAACTTTATTCTGACAAAAAAAGTGTTTTTCTTTATTGTGGCCTGATTACTCCTTCATAGAATATAGTATTTTGGATTTTTTTTACATTTATCTGATCTGCTTGCTCTGAATTATGTTTTTATTTATCGATTGATTGTTCAGTTTGTAAAAACTTTTAAGAATAGTGAGCCATGTTTTTTTATTTTCGCTTTAGTGGAGTAAAAAGTTGCTTAAGTGGTTTAATTTTAACTAATTGATTGATCCACTGACCACTTGGTTTTGTCGTTTCATTTAAGTACTTAAACATCAAATTTTAAAAGCTTTTATAACAACTGTTTGCCAATAATGTGTTTGTACATTTGCAACCGAGTTAATAAATCCTGAAGCGTAGAAAACAGTATGACAAGTTTTCCACTGAGAGTGAATGTTCAGTGTTTGTGCAGGATTATAAAAATATAAATACTGTATAAAAATGTCTTTTCTTATTGCATCACTTTATAATTCTTGTCCATTAAATCTAGAATTTTAATTGACTCAATTCAATGAAACGAGGAACAAACACGATTCTGTAAACAGGAAAAAGTTTAACATGAAATGAAGTGAAGAGAAGTAAAAAAAACAAAGAAGTGACCGCGAGGAAGAGTCACGTCTAGAGTGACTTTTTAGTTGTGAATATTTGAAGAAATTTTTCAAACTACACACTCTTTTTTTCCTGGTTATCTAAATTAGCGAGTTTATCTGTGACTTTATCAACACTTCTGCTGATTTTGAGCAAAGATTAAAACTTTTAGAAAAGTCTCAGAGTTGTTTATTCACCACAGATTGAAGAACTTTCGTAACGCAGTTTCTTGAGAACTGAAGTTGCAGTGAAGTATAAAAATGTTCATGACTGTCATGTCACAGGAAAACTACAACAGAGGGCAAATATTTTAACGAGTTAATGCTGAAGTGATGGATTTCTGTTTGAATTCATGTGAGATTTTTCAGTCACTATGACTTCAGGATATCATAGTTTTCTCATCGTAAAACACAGTAAACTACAAAACACAAGGTCTTCATCAGTAGTATGATCGAAAAAACTATTTAACATAAATATGATGAAGTTTTCTGAGCAGCTGATCATGACAAAGTTGCTTCCCTCACTGTAAAGTATTTTTAGGAACATTATAAATTAAAGGTTTAACAGGAAGTGGTTAATGCTAAGTGTCGTGTCTTCTCTGAAATTTAGACTGTAATCTAAAAATCAACACAACAGGAAGAAGAACCAAAAACTGGTGGGTGTTAAAATACCATCTCTCTACCTGTCTACGTCAAAGCTTCACAACATCTCCATCCTCAGACTCGACTCCGTCCGATAGAAGAACCTGATCGCCTTTAAAATGAATCCCTCACAGAGCCACTCAGCAGGTAAGACACACTTAAATTAGTCCAACTCAGTACTCAAAAGTCTGTTTAGAACTATAAATACCGTATAAATATAAGGATTCTTATTACACCACTTTATAATTCTTTTCCGTCAAATCTCAAATTTTATTTGATTTAATTCGACTGATTCAATGAAAAGAGGAAGAAACACGATTCTGTAAACAGGAAAAACTTCAACATGAAATAAAGTGAGGAGAAGTAAAAAAAGAGGAAGTGACCGTGAGGAAGAGTCACGTCTAGAGTGTAAATTAAGTGTCCAGATGTAAACCTTTTAATGCAGCCTCATATACGACACTTTTACATTTCAGAGACTTACAGTAAAACTTACTCTTCTACAGTATGGAGAGACGTTCGAACGTAAATTTGATATCAACCTCAGTTAAAGGCGGGGTCGGCAGGAAACTGTTAAAGAAGCATCTTTTTTTCTGGTGTTTATACAAAAAACTTTTAATATCAGTTATTAGTTATTAGTTATTAGTTATTGATGACATTTGATAATATAACGATATCTCTGTGTTCTCTTATGTCTGTGTCGTCAACATTTGAACATTTTAGAGCGGTCCGCTCTTTCTGACTGTAATCAAAGCCGTTCTCCGCCTCCCCGACCTGATTGGTTGTTAGGCGGACGATGCTCTTCCGAGTCATTCACCGGCCCAAACAAAGTTAGCGTGCTACAATATCGGACAGTAGAAACCAACCAGAAAGTTCGGAAAATTGTCTGAATCCTCCTTTGGCCACGACTGCCGACACAAGCAAGAAAACAAAGTAAATACCGGAGACTCTGGAGGAATAACGGGCGCTTAAAACGGAGGTAGACCGGACAAGAGCTAAAAAGCCGGGTCAACATAAACGATGGGGGACGCTTGGGGATCTTGGTGACCCTGTAACCTTTCTGCTGGACAGGTAAACCGCTTTAACAAAGTAAGACAAGTGTCTGTAACAGAAGTGTTTCTTGTCAAACGGACCTGCTGTAGCGTGTTGTAGCGCCATCGCTAAACTGTCCTCCCTCGGGTCCTGGACTATGTCACTTTATCCTAGTTGTAGAAGTCCTGCAAACATTGTGTTTGCTGGTAGTCTGTTGGCATCTACAGTAGCACCAATGTTTTTGACTTTCACCTTGACTGGGCCCCATTTGTGATGATCTGAAGTATTTATCTGCATTATATCTGAATTTAACTGGAACGATAGGAGCGAGCAGGAGCGTCTGTTTGTGGGCGGGGCTTGAGGGGAGAGGAGGAGCTGAGGGGAAAACTGGTTGTGAGGGGTAGAGTTTACATTCAAGATCTCTCCTAAAAACTGGAACGTCCTCAGATCCTGACTACACCACCTTTAAAGGTTCTGCCCCCTGATGATAATTAAAGGAGCGTTTGATCACCAGTAAACTGCCTCCAAATTAAACAAACTTTAAATTTTGACTGAAGTCTTTGCTTTGATATATTCACAGCAATCAAGAGTCTTAAATGTGACCAAGGCTGGGAGCGAGTTGGAGAAACGTGTTATTATTTCTCCACCTATAAATTAAACTGGAACGCCAGCAGAAACGACTGTCGGTGGAGAGGAGGAGACCTGGTGAAGATTGAGAGCAGAGAGGAGCAGGTAAAACACACACAGATCTCTGGGTCTGTGTTTCATTTTGTTTTATCACCGTGATTTGGACGATTTTGATTTTTAAAATGTGTCGTTCAGATCTTCCTGGATAAGAAACTGGAAGAAAAAATGACTGGGTACGAGTACAAGTTCTGGATCGGACTGACAGACTCAGAGAAAGAGGGCGAATGGTTGTGGGTGGACGGATCTCCTCTGAATGAAAGGTTTGACTGTTTTGGACACATTTACTATAAATCCAAAAAAATAAATGATGGAGCATTTGAAACAAGTTTTTTCCTCTTTTCTGTCTGCTAGTTTGGTGTTTTGGAATGGAAAAGAGCCAGACAACTGGACAGGAAAAAATCCACTTGGTGAAAACTGTGCGAGGATGGGGGAGCGAGGAGGAGCTGAAGACAACAAGAGCTGGTTTGATCGATCCTGCGAGGATCCTCACAAACACATCTGTGAGAAATCAGCCATCAACGAATGACTTAAAGCTGCTGTGAGGAGTTTTTGAAGGCGGTCATCTCTACGCTGTAAAAAATGCGGCTTTAAGAAACGACTTTTTCAGAGTTCAGCTTTAGAGGAGGACAGAAAGTGGAGCTATGTTGAGATTTTGTTCTGCTGATGTTATCAAAATAAAATCCTGACAGGAAAATGCTCATATAACCAAAACATTATTACAGACTGATGTGCTTTAGCTTCAAAGTGACATTTCCTCTGATTGAGATGTAAAAAAACTGAATTAAAAACTATTAAAAATGTTTTTTTTTCCTATTGATTGATTTTTTAAAGAATTCTGAAAGTGACGAATGAATTTTTTGGACGGGTGAAATTATTTGAAATATACATGTATATACTGTTGAGTCATTTTCCTGTTTGTGAGACTTATAATAAAACTAAAACTGACCCCATAAGACCTTTCACTGCGGAGGTCTTCAAACCTCAGAGACTGTTGCTCATAGACCGTATAAACTATAGACAACTTCGTTCTGCAAACCGTCGTTATACGAATTTGAAGGCGAATTGCGCTCGGTATTTCCGGGATGCGATATTTTTTTGGAGGATGGTAGGGGAAGGTCCTGCCTCCTTCACCTCTGATTGGCTAGAAAAGCTGGAACGTCATTACAAGCTCACTGCCAGAACAGCACCCTCTGGTGACGGGCTGCAGTATAGGTCATAAACCCCGCCTCTGCAGCAATCCTTATGGAGCTGTGAACAAACTTTATAAATTTATTACTCAGAATATAAATGTTTCTCCCTCCTGGTTGTGATGTTGACATGTAGTTACAGTCAGACTGGTTTGTGCTCAAGTCCTCTTTTTTCTGTACAGCTCTGTTTTTAAAAGTTATTAGGGGGTTCATGTTTTCTGTGATTGACACCTGATACAGCCTATGGGCGTACAGAGAGCTTTTAGCTTCAAATCCGTACATCGGCGGAAGGTTGAACCAAGTTGTCCTTAGAATATACAGTCTATGTCCAGAACATTATCGCATTTCTGAATCTCCTAACCCGACAGACGATGACGTTTCACAGCCATAAGGAATAACCAATCGAAGCCCAGCACTTCTCGCCAATCAGAGGCGAAGGAGGCTGGACCTTCCCCCTACTATCCCATAGATAAACTAAGGCTGTGTCCGAAATGGCCTACTACTCCTACTACTCGTACTAAACCCGCCTCTGAATTGAGTAGGCAGTGCGTTCACACTGTACAATATGCGAATTTTGTGTATGCGAGAAATGCCTGGATGTATACTCAATCAGCTTCGATTTCTGAGTGTGCAACGGAGCTTGCTTCACGTACTGCTTCTGCCCCACAATGCATTGCGCACCTCAGCTGGTAATATGGCCCTCCTTCCCGAGGCTGAAAAGAAATAGATGGCATGTGATTGCAATAATAATGATATTTATATAAATAGATAAACAATATTTAGTCAGTATACATTACACAATTTTCATCATTTTATCATACTTTGATCTTTTTACCAGATTTATTTGTATTTTAAATTAGGATTATAGGTAATGTTTTTAACTATTTGTATGAATTGACTTTATTTATTTAAGTGTCTATTAAAGATGTATTTATTACATCAAGTTTGAGCATCTTCTCATCTCTGAATGCATCATCAAAGTGGTCGCTCATATTAAGCACAGACCTCTGATTAATAAAAATTATTATTGGTAGAGAGCACATGGTTCAGAATATACAAACAGGGGAGTTTCCAGTTGACAATCTATGTGAGCTTTACTAATTCTTACTTGTGATTGAAAATCTGATGGTTTCTGAAATAATCATTGTACATGAAAAGAATGTAGTCGGGAAATGATGTATTTGCCAAGGAATAACCGAACGAGGTCATAATAATTATGTTGTGTGTTGGTCATTTTGCAGCCCTCTGCTGCTCATCACAGGCCTAGCAGGTGGTGTATAGCATTATCACCATGGATATACAGATGTTTGTGTGATTTTTTTCATCCACTGCCGCTCGGTTTGTGTCGTGTAGATGTTGATTATGAAAACACTTCGCAATAATTTGGAAACGTAAAGGGGGAGCTGCTGCTGCCCGGTGTTTACGGTAAATAGACGCAAACACCCACCAAGCGGACGCTTCGGTCTCTGAAAACGCAGAGACAAATTTACAAACAGCCACTATTTCAAACAACTGGGCTCATGATCTTGATGTAAACACTTACTTTCTCGCTAGAAAAAATATTATTATTGAATGAATTTATATAATTTGTCCGGGATGCAGTCGTTCTATGTAGCTTGTGGTAGGACTATTTAAATTTTCCCGGCGCTGCGTCCGGCCGGCACGAAATGCATTCTGGGGTATTTAGTATGCATCTGTATGTAAACGCTCGGGCAGCCGCAGCATACTCAAATCATCTTTGAGTAGTCAGTAGGCAGTAGCTACTGCTTGAGTAGGTAAGTAGATAGTAGGCAGTATGCCATTTCGGACACAGCCTAAATGAATCGAGGCGGAGTCACCGGCGTCTGTACACGGCGACCATCTTACTCCAGTATACCATTCAGGTTCGCTCTATGGTAGCCGACAGGAAGTGAGTAATCTGCATGATCAAAAATCCTCTTAACTCGCTCAAATCTTGACAGATTTACAAACAATCACTTGATGTTCCTTCCCACCACAGTCTGGACTTCAGCCCATAGAGGGCGTGTATTCCCGATCAGAAAATAACCGGGCCAATCAGAGACCGTGTTTCCACTGTTACCCGGACAACAGGGAAAGGCAGCCCCTGATTGGATGGCCCGGCCAGGCTACTTCTTTGCTGCTGTACGACCCTTTGCTTCGACTCAACTTTAAGTCAACAAGTCTGGACTCAAATGACCCCGAAGTTTTCAGAGACGTCCTTCAGTTACAGAATCACGTTTTCACCTCGCAGCTCAAGTTCACACTTTGCATCGTGAAATCTCACAATGTAAAGTTCCTGAAAAGCTTTGCAGAGTTCGATATTTAGTGATGTGAAATGCAGAAGCTGCAAGTTTCAACTCCGTCATTTCTTCAGAAGTTGAGGTATCATCACCAAATAAATGCTGGAAACCACCATGAGACATTTTATCAGATGAAGCAACTTTTCGTCTGACCTTGTGGTAACGGCATAGAAAAAATTAATCTGAACCTGAAATCCAAGAAAGCAGAAACAGTTGTGCTGACGTGACAAGATCCTACACCCATCTGGTTTCTCTGCTTTATTAACAGGAAGAACGTTTCTTCATCTTCAGTCCACTCCCTCTGATCCGAGGACCTGGACAGCTTTACCATGAGACCTCTACGGAGCTACAGACGGGGTAAGGAGAAGTGATTTCCCTGCTGAAGAGACGTGTGGATGTTTGGGTTTATTCTGCCCACTCTCTCTGTGTTGGACAGGTGAAACTTCAGACTCTCTGCAGCTCATAGAGTCCAGCGGAGGGTCAAAGGTCCCATCAGAGAGGGTGGTTCTGCTGGTCCTCGGCGCTCTCCTGGCTGCTGCTCTCGTCCTCATCTGGTGCCTCAGTGAGTTCCTCACGTTTTCATCATGAAGTTCGTTTGTTTTGGTTTTGATGGGTGAAAAATTGACGTCTCAGCTGCAGATATCAGTCCACTCTTTGGAAAAATCCACGTTTCCTGACTTGTGAAGTCTCCAGACTCTGTTTATTCATTTTCATCTTTAACTTCACTGACTTATACTTTTCGATTTCCACTCAGTTCGTACAAATATAAGGACTCATGTAAGTTTCCAGAGACTGAGAGACGAGCACGAAGCGCTGAGGAGAAACCTCACAGGTGACTCTTTCAAACATTCACACGCAGCTCAAACTTTACAACTTTTGACTTTAATCTGTTTTAATCCGTTTTAATTACAGAAGGACTGGATCAGGACAAACTGAAGCGTGAGTAGAGAGCTTTGGTTTTCTTTCACTGTATTTACGTCTCCAAAATAACACGTCATCAGAGCTGACGGAAGTCTTCGCTGATCTCTCCAGAGAAGAATCTGAAATGTGAAGACGGCTGGGAGGAGAACGGAGGGAAGTGTTTTTACTTCTCCATGACTCGATCACCCTGGAGTGAGAGCAGAGCTGAGTGCCAACGCAAGGGAGGAGATCTGCTGAAGATCCAGAGCGGAGAGGAGCAGGTGAAACACCCTGAGATGAAGTTCTCAGCATTTATTTTCATCCTGCTGCAGAGTCCCTTCAGTTTACAGTTTTGTTTGTGTTCTCGCAGGATTTCCTGAATTTGAAGTTACCGGAACGGATGGACAATTCTGAGGACATGTTCTGGATCGGACTGACGGACACGCAGACGGAGGGTACCTGGTTGTGGGTGGATGGATCGCTTTCGGACACAGGGTTCGACTGTTTTTAACACATTTTAGTTCATCTCCAAAATAAACGCAGCAGTTTTAAGGAAGCGTTTCTACCTTCTCTCTGCAGGTTCACGTTTTGGGGTCAGAATGAGCCAGACAACCTGATGCATGACGACGCGAGAGGGCAGGACTGCGCTCGGGTGGGGGGAACAGGATTCAGTAAGCACTGGTTCGACAGATCCTGCCGGAGCCCCCAGAAGAGTATCTGCGAGAAACCGGTCGAAAAAGCCGAAACTGGACTCTGAAATGTTCTGCAGCGCTCAGCGGGACGATCCCAGTCAAGAATAATCAGGGAAGGAATTAAAGGTCGACTACGCAACACAAAAACTGAATCAAATGATGTGAATTAATGTCTAATTTTGATGACTTATCATGCGTCGCAGCTAATTGTTGTCAAAAAGATAAACAGTCCCAGTTTTTTCGCACTGTACCTTTAAAGAGAGTTTCCATTTTCATCCTGACTTTGTTCACCTGGACCTGAGAGGAAGTGAACGATGAATAAATGAGAAAGCCGTGTGATGAGGAGACTGACGAGGAAACGCTGCTTAGAAGATCTGTATGTTGAGATAAAACAAAGTGAAACAGGGACTTTCTTTTTCTTTTTCTTTTTTATTCTGAAACAGTCGATCAAACTGAATCTTAAGGCACAACTGAGAACTCCAACGTCCGTCTGACTCCGAGGACCGAAACAAAAACTGAACCCCCCGTATAAAGAGACCGAACAAAGTTACCTCCTCGTCTTATAAAACTGTTGAACTTCACTCTGATGAGTCTAAAATGAGATTAAGAAAAATTAACCCTCAGACAGAAATTAACTTTTTTTTTGATCAGGTGAGTTTGTGGTTTTTGGTGCTTCAGTCTTTTGCACGTCTGCATTTGCTTCATTTCTCTTTGTCAGAATCTGCTGCTTAATAAACGTCTTAAAAACAAAATAAAAACAGACTTTTTAAAGATTTTTTCATCGATTCGTTACTTTGGAAGTTTGAAGACGCAGCAGGAGGACGGCGACCTCTAGATAAAGCTCAGCTCTTCTGCTCTGCTGCACGTCTTCAGTCTTTGTTTAATCAGAGCTACACGTCTCTCTGTGAAACACAAACAGTCCCGCAGGTTTCTATCGCAGCTCCAGATGGTTTGAAATAAAAGTTTAGATGTTTTCTGACTCTGAAAGAATCAAAAATAATCCCACAGCCTGACTGAAGCGTTCAGCAGCAGCTCTCCTGATTTCTGAAAAACTCACAGCTGACATGATAACAGGGTCTCATTTTCTCCACTGATTGTCGGTGTAATTTTCAGAGCAGCATGTTTTCAGGATTTACACATAAACAGTAAAAGAAAAAAACAATTTTCTCTCTCACTGTCCGTCTTCAGCCTGAATCCTCCTCCTCCTCCTCCTCAGGTAAAGATGTTTGTGTCTCCTCCCGCTGTCTCTTGATTCAAACCTCCTCCACCTCCTTCCCACATCTGTCGGACGGCGAGGATCTGAACAAGCATTGCCTCCATCGTGCCGTCGTCCAGAGGCCTGCAGGAGAACCACGCGGGGCTGCTGAGAACACAACGGGGGTCCGGCTGGAGGTAGAACAAGCCAGGGTGGCCCCTCACTGACTCCGAGCTGGAGAGAGGGAGAGAAGAAACAGAATTGCTTTGCGTCATAAACGAACTTCAGCTTGTGATTGCGGCGCCGTTAGTCGGCGTAAGTTTTGTAAGTCTGAAAGCTTTAAAAGACTTTAATGTAAAAGCACAAACCACTTGGAGAGGTAGAACTCGTAGAGTCTGACGGGACAGCGGAGAAGGTTCTCTGTGTTCTCCGTCATCATGGTGATACGGTCGGTCCTCCTCTGCTTCTTCGCTGGGACGCCATCCTCCCCTGAAAAAACACGTGTGAGTCACGTCTGCTGGACTGTCCGTAAAACTCTCTTCGCTCAAATCAAATCAAAACTCTCGGTACCTGATTCAGCTTCATACGTGGACTGAGGGAGATAGAAAAGCAGGAATCTGGTCTTGGTGTTGTCCGGGTTCGTTCTGGTGCGGCGCACGGTGTGGGCGAAGGACAGCTGGCGGTGCTGCTCCACCGTGGTGAAGCCCAGGTATTTGCAGGAGAAGAAGAGCAGAGTGTTGAGGAGGACGATGGGGGAGTACGTCCCCAGCTGTTTACACTCCCACAGAAACTCCTCCTCCACGCAGAAACGGTTCAAACCTGCAGAGACGGGAGGACAGACGATCAGCGTTCATGGATCACGTAGAAAGAGAAGACAAAGGACGTATGAGGGCTCACTTCGGGCTGCGACCGAGGGTCTATAACCTCTCAGGATCTTCGTGAACTCAGAGGAGAAGTTGGCATAGATCGAGTCGCTGAATATGTTCTCCAGACGACCGTTTTCAAACAGATACTGAAGACAAACAAACACACAGACGTTAAAATCTATTAATGTGACGTCACGAGCTGAAGTTATCGTCCTGTGGGTTCGTGTTCGTGCGTCTCGCCTGTTGTATGCAGAGGCAGAAGTAGAAGACGCTGTCAGGCGAGCACGGCTCTCCGTCCACGTGTTTCAGCTCCTGAATGAAGCCGCAGAGACCGTCGCTCAGCTCAGCGGCGGAGCAGTGAAGGATCTCCTCCTTTAAGGTCCCAGCAGCAGCTACAAGAAGATGATGTTCATTTTTAACTTCATGTCAGAGTCTGAATGAAGTTATTTCTAAAAACAGCTTCTCCTTCTGACTCATCAGCTTGTTTTTAAACGAAGAAAACTCCTAAACGAAACTTCATAAACAGGAAAAAAGATGATAAATAACTTACAGGACAGAAAATAGGGGTTTGCCGGTGAGTTCCTCCACTGTACCCATCTCCTCCAGGTGAAGACGCCGTACTGACTCTTCAGTTTGAGCGGCTCTCTGGAAAAGTTTCCGTGAGTTTCCTCCTTTTTATTCTCCTGGGAAAACTGTTGCAGCTCATAACTCTGGAATATAGAGGGGGGAAAGTGACGATTACACTCCACAGAGAGATGATAAAAAAACTCCTTCACTCGTTTTTAAAAGAGTGTTTTACCGTGGTCTTGTTGTGGACTGTCTCTGCGGTTTGTGTTGATGATGACGGAGCAGAGATCTGGGGGTCCTGGTGAGGCAGAAGCTGATAGGAGAGCTGGTGTTGACGCTCACGGGACACGTCTGTTTCCTCTGGTGGCTGAGCGAGAAAACCGGAGCTGCAGTTTCTGGAGTTTTCTAAAACTGATACAGAGAAAGAAAATTGGATTTCTTGTACGAGTTCGATCACTTTACTCTCACTGAATGTCTCACCTCGTCTTTGTCCGTCTTCTGTTTCCACTCCGTCCGTCTGCATGCTCTTATCATGCTGCACTTTCTCCACCTCTGATTCAAGGCGGCGCTTCTTTGCGGGTTTCATGGCTTCACTGAGGCTGTCCGGTCGCCCGGGGAGAAACACGGGAACAGGCAGCTGCAGCAGAAACAAGAAGAAAGTCTGCAAACTCTGACGCTGCAAACATGCAATGCTTTATGGGACATTTAGGAAAGAGGAGGGTAACACTCAGGAATCTTTCATAAATCCTTCAAAGAAGTTTCAATGTAGGAGACGGTTGTGGAGGGTGGAGATGAGCCTTAGAAAGCAGAATGTGACACTAACAGAGATGAAGTTCAGCATCAAGATAATCCTGTGTGTGAAACTCACACATTCCTCACAGGAAAGGTTCCTTACCTGGTCTCAGGACACAGGATGATATAAACCTTTCCAGACTTGTTTCTACTTTCAGGTCACCCAACTGACCCGACTGGAGGGTGACCCGAGGACACTTTTAGACGCAAACCAACTCCATAGAAAACGAAAAAGTGCCGTTTCGTTTTCAGTTTTTATGCTGTGTTGAAAACGCTGTAATGTGCATGCCAGGTCGCTAGGTAGCGCTAAGTGTCCGTGTGACCACGCTCCCATATACACCAACAACGCATAGGTAGAACAACTTCCGTTCCGACCAATTGGCACATTAATTATTTGATGCAAATAATTCAGACGCCTCCTCTGCTGAGCCATATGATCCGTGAGGACAGTGTTACGACAGTGCGACTCGACTGTCTAGCATGGTTGTTGTTATTTTCAAGGAAGCTGCGCATGGCTATGATGTCATAAGCGCGAGCAGACGTGAGCCAGGGCGTCACAGGTTTGACCGTTTTCAGCGTTTTTGACTATCAGAGCGTTTACAACATTTCCACTCTGGAGGGGGTTTCACTTTGTTACGTTTTCATCTCCTGAAAACGCAGTTGCCGTCTAAACGGACCCCCTAAACGAAACGAAATTTTTCCGTTTCTATGGAGACCGTTTCCGTCTAAAAGTGGCCTGAATCTCTGTCCTTTCACAAATGGTCTATTTGGCGAACAGAGACAGTTTTTATTACCTCTCAAACTGACTCCGTCACTGACCGTCTAAATAATCATTGATGCCTCACACGGGGCACCAAAATAATATCAATTTATAAAAAATATCAGTAACACTTTATTTGACGCCCATTTTCATAACACATTATCAATATATTTATAATGTGTTATAATCATGTTATAGCATTGTATAACTATAGTTATAAACACTCATAAATGATCAATGATAGTAATAGTTATAACACATTTTAAAGCATTTTATCATGACTTACAAGGTCAGGTATTATAATGTGTTATAACTGTTAATAACTCAGTGACCATGCCCACATAGATAATACAACTGTTGTTAACAGTTATAACACATTATAATACCTGACCTTGTAAGTCATGATAAAATGCTTTAAAATGTGTTATAACTATTACTATAAAGCGTTATGATCATTTATGAGTGTTTATAACTATAGTTATACAGCACTATAACGTGATTATAACACATTATACATATATTTATTATTTATAATGAACTTTAGAGAAAGGCATCGAGTTAAGTGTTACCAAAACGTCATAATTGAAGATTATTATCAAATATTAATTCTGGGACATTTATGATAAATTAAAATCACTACAGGAGGAACATTAATATCAGAGACACGCTGATATGAAAAAAGGAAACTAGAGATTTTTTATAGAAGAGTGGCAGAAAAAGAGGAAGTGATTGTTTCTCCAACCTCAGACCTGAGTCATACTTCCTCTGATGAAATAATCCAGATTTTTTTTACGTGCATCATTGAATAAAAACAACAGACAACATTTTCCCTGCACTGATGCAAACTAAACAAAACAAATCTTTGGTTTACTCACCGGTATGGGCAGGCCGACAGGCTCCGGCGTGTACTGACTGTACATATTCATGGGCAAAGGAACATAAACTGGAACTGGGACCGGCAGGACCTTCTCTTCGGGTACGACTTTGTCTGCAAACAACAAGAAAACACAACAAAGAAACAGATTTTAGCTCATACTTGGCAAAAGTTTGAAAACTCTTGATGCAGTCTGTCTTTGGAGTAGAAGTTACCCGTCTGTACTTCTGTGTCCACAGTCTGTTTCTGCAGGAGATCACAGGAGACGCCTTTGTTATGGACTAACGGTGTGCACAGCATGGACTTGTTCTTCAGCTCCTTGGGAACAGTTTGGATGGCGGCCTGAAGAACAAATAAGGAGCAAAAACTTCAACAAAAAGTATGACGGTTTGAACATTTAAGGAAATCTCTGCATCTTAAAGCGACTGTTGGGAAGTTTTGGTTTGTTTGGATCGTTGATAAACTTCTGGAGTGAACTTACATGTGCAACGGTTTTGGTCTGAATGTCGGGGGCAGGAACTGTTGAGAAATTAAAGAGAGTTTGAGTCAGAAAAGCAGCTGGAGATACAGAAGATCAGGTGTTGGACCTCTCAGAGGGAAATACTAGAGATACGATCAGCCGTCAGAGTGGAGTTTGAAGCTTCAGTCCGCTCTATTTATCTGCTCTACATGTCTGCAGGGATTATCGTTATGAGCTCCTCCTCCTCATGTCAACGTGTGAAACAATAAATACACCTGTGCAAATCGATCGTTTATACCCATAATGTCACAGTGAAAATGCATCTAGAGTTGAAAAATCTGAGTTGGAGGATCTGAGAGTGAGTACAAACCTGATGTCTGAGTGTTCGAACCACGCTGTACGGAGCCGTGAGACGCTTTCATGTGTTTGGCCAAAGCTTCAGCGAGTGAGACGACGTTGGCGATGACCGGAGAGGACTCTGCTGCGCTGACAGACGGAGGAGGAGGAGAGACTGCGGACCAGAGACAAAGCAGGTTTACTTAAATTCAATAAAGGCGGGCTGCTGTTTGTCGTAATGAATACGCTGAACTTGAATCAGACTCTATTAATGAAGACAACGCCCGACCTCCGCAGAACACGACATCCTGGACCGGTACCATTCATACCTGTGCTGACCGTCTTCACCTTCTGATTGCAGAAATTGTGGACACACGTCACATCGCAGAAGTGTTTGACTTCTCCGATTAGTGGGATTCTCTGTCTCAGTTTTCCCTCCTGACCGCAGGTGTCGCACGCTGCGAGCTGAGGGAATTCAGAGAATAACGTCAGACAGAGTTTTGATGGAAATACACATTCAAGACTGAAGAGAAGGGAAAAAAACAGCAAGTATTCCTGTTTGTTAATTATAAAAGTAAAAAAGAAAAAGCCTTTTTTTGGTCCTTCAGTGATTTAGTTTTGAGAGGATTATTTCCTGCTGATACTCACGTCTCTGTGGAGCAAACTGTACTTGAGTTTGCAGTCGTCCGAGCAGAACTTTTCCACGGCACGTCCGTACCGCTCCGTCACAAACGTCTTTGAGATGCAGAGGCAGTAAGTACAAGAATGACAGTATTCGCCCCACTGTTTCTTCAAGCGCAGGAGAAACTGATTCTTGCAGGCTGAGAAAAAAAAAAAAGAGGAAAGTTTTAGACGCTTTAAACTTGATAACAACCGCAGTCAAAGTTTGTGGTTTTCACTACAGCAGATGAAGAACCTGATGAGCAGAGAAAAACAATAAAATAGGCGATCCCTCATGTCCAGTGACAAATTAAAATCTTTTTTTTTTTTTATTGGTTTTCTCTTAATATCTACAGGAAGTTAAAGTCTGGATTCAGAACTTTGTAGGTTACAGTGAACTGGAGTTTGAGTCTGGATAACAGAAAGAAAATTTTGTATTTTTTAAACTCTAATTGATCCACCAATTAAACCCTGACGAATTCAGGGAATCAAAGTTTTCTTTCCCTGTTGTGTACTCACGAGTATTTAAAGTTTCTGCAGCTAGTTTTGTGTTTTTACCTCCAACAGAGAGAATCTGTGACTTTTCATTTACATAATATATTAAGTTTGCAAGTTTACACCGCTTTATTTCTCAGAGAGCATTGATGGGACTCTAGTAATAAAATTCAGTTAAAAACAGAGTTGTTGGAAAAAGGGAAAAACCTGGTTTTTGAGTATGACCTTAAAATTCACTTCTCAAACAGTTTCAACAGAACCAGGCTTCCTCGCTGGGTGTCAGTCGTACCGTTGCTGCAGAAGTTACTCTCTCTGCTTCTTCCGTCGTTCAGCCTCTTGATGATTTTGATGATCTTCTCGCTCCTACAAACTTCACACTTTCCAAAGATGTTGTTGACCCTCTTGAACTCTTGAGAACAGGCCAGGCTGCACACGAAGCTCACGTTACCCTGAGTGGACACAGATATAATCGTTAGTTTACAGTTAAATAGACGGATCAATCAAGTCAAGTAGAGCAGACAAGTAGATTTTCTCAGTTAGTTCACAAACCTGCTCCTTTAGAAAATAAAATATGAAGATTGAAGTTTTAATCTTAAAAAAACACCTTCTCCTGGATGACTTTAGGCGTGTTTTTTATCGCTCCACGACACTGAACGCAGAGAAGTTCCCCCGGTGGATTAGAGGGATCCTCCCAGCGTTGGACGGAGGCTTCAGCGGGGTTAGTGGAGGTTGGATTGCCCTTGAACGTCGCCTGTATGAAACATGAACGTCTGTTAAAAACATGGTAGATCCACAAAACAAACCCGAGCTGTACGATCTTCAACAACCGAGAAGATCTGAAGAGTTCAACGAGAAACACCTGAACCAGTTTTACCTTGAAAACCATGGCGCAGCTCTGAGAGCAGAAGTTCCTGATGGAGGCGTCGGTCATGGAGAAGTGGTGGACCGGGACTGCGATTTTTCCACAGCTGTCACAACTTACAGGAGCACCTGTGGAGGTAAAAACAACAAGAAACTCATTCAGGTCCTAAAAGTCTACGTTCCCCAGGAGTAACAAGGTCACCTCTAAGACTGAGAGACCAGAGTCCGAGAGTCCAGTACCTGACGCACTGAGAGCCATGATCTTTGACTCGGCCACACAGCCGCTGCTGCAGAAGAACTCCACCTCTCCGTCTGTGTTCTTACACTCAATCATATTCGTCATTAAAAGAGAAGTGCTGCAGGCGGAACACGGCTGAGGAGTCTGGATCTTCTGCAGGATGAAAAAACAGCAGAAAGAAGAAGAAGAAGAAGAAGAAGAAGAAGAAGAAGAAGTCTGTTTACTAAAATGTCCATGAAGATTCTCAATCATCCAGGTCATGGTTTTCCTGAAGACTCCAAAATCAGGAAACTGGACTGTGTCGAGTTAAGAGTCTGTTTACTGAAGAGCGGCAAAGACAAAACCCTCGACTTCCTTCAATATAAAAGTTTTGTTTACACTGTCGCTGACTCACTACAAACTGTCTAAACTGGTTTAACTCCAATACAAACAAAACAGAAGCTCGACACAACAATACAACTTTTAAATTAAGCGTTATCTTTGAATGTTTTATTAGAAGTTAGGGCCTGTGTCCACTGAAGACATGTTTTTGGACCAGTGATGATCACAAACTCAATTTCAGAGTATAAAACACATGTATCGCACCTGTTTGTATCGAGTCAGACACTCCTCGCTGCACAGCCTTTTGCTGCAGTCCTGCATCCTGACCAGCAGGGGCGTCTCACAGTTTGAGTGACAGTTCACGCAGATAAACATCTTGTTCAAATTACAGAACCGGAGAAAACAGGGGTCGCTGCAGATCTTGTGAACGACATCCTGCCGTATGATCTCGTGTTTACTCTGCGAAAGGAGAGAGAGGGGCGATCAAAGTTAGAACAACCTGAGAGGAAAACGAGGAAATAAACGGACGGCAGTGTTTCCTCCTGACTCTTACAATACAGTATCTGCTGCACATGTTGCACTGTGAGTGTGAGGCCACGGGCACAATCGCCACTTTGGTCGACATCATCCTCTTGTAGTTGAACGACGACATGCAGGTCTGGCCGCAGAAATCCTTCATCGTTCCTTCATCGTCCACCGGAGCCTGAAGGACCTTAGTCTTCGTCCTCCGTGTTATCGCCCTGAAGAGACAAGGAAAGATGCGATCACGCTAGAGTCGAACATTTTCACCACGGCTGGATGAAATCTGTGCGCGACTCACTGGAGGCAGAAGGTGCAGCTCGTCTTTTCTTGTTCCGCTTCGTAAAATTTCATAAGACAGGGAGAAGAGCAGAAGATCTCAGCGTGGCTCTTCTTCTGATAAACCGTCTCTCTGTCCTTGAGGACTTTTTTGCAGTTGAAGCAAGGCACGGGTGTGTCAAAGTTGGTCTGAGTGGACGCCGCGGGGGCGGAGTCTAACGAGGAGAGACTTGAGACTTCTTCGATCTTTAAGTCCTCCTGTTAAAAGACGAACAGCGAGCAGCTCAGAGGCAGAAGTCAGTCCGCGATAAAGACGTGACTTTTGGAAGGACATTTCTGAACGTCACAAAAGACGGTTAAGAAATCGACTTGGTATCTGCTTTAAATACTTCTGATCTTCTTCCTCATATTCTTAAATCAGCTGGACTAATCTGAGTAAACATTAGCTCAGTTATCCTGGACTTAATCCAGATTATCTTTCTCCGTTTTTAATCTTGATTCTGCTCCTTTTACCTGAAACAATCTGCAGACTGAGTTTAAACCTCAGCGGCACAAATGTTCAGCTCACTTTGGTGGTGAAATTTTTAGTCGTACAGTTTTAGTTTTAACGTTTTTGTTGTAGAGATTAGAAAGTAGATCTCTGCTCTCAAAGACCCTGATAAATAAATACGTGCGTTTCTCCCACCTTTGACACGTGAGGCTCGTCTTTGACGTTCTCTGCAGAAACCAGGAATGAGAGGTTTGGTTTGCACTCCACCTCGACGGGCTCTTGTTTAATCTTGACGGGGAGTGAAGAGCAGAGACGTGCATCAGCGACATTCATAGAAAAGGAGTCTGTCTGGATTATCGCTCAGATTTTAGTCAGTATGTAATAAGTCATGATTCATTTTTCACTGATCAGTAAATCATGTTCATCACAACAAAATCTGCAGGAATCAGACTGAGACGTGGCTCAAATTCATCCCAGTGTAAAAACAAAACAATAAGAAGAATAATAAGAGACTTGAAAAACTCACAAAGTCCAAGTTTGGAAGAATTTTGACTTCTTTAATGTCCTCTTCCCTCTCTTCTTCCTCCTCTTCTGCTTCACTCTTGTAGGTCGGAGGACTTTTCCTCCCTTTAAAATCACGAGAGGAGAAAAAGTCAAACTCTCATTCTGAAGTATTTTTTTATGTTTTAAAAAGTCACTGAAAAAAGTGGAAATGAAGAGGACAGAGACGGATACGTACCCGACACGGTGGCGGACTGAGCCTTATGCACCATCGAACATCGGCTGCTGCAGAAGAAGTTCAGAGTTCCCTCCTTGTTTACATTTTCAACCATGTCTGACAGCTGATGGGACGTCTGACACATGGAGCACAGCTGAGGTTTCCTAATCCTCTGAAATAACCCAGAAAGGACAAAGACACAATGTGAGGCCTCAACGTATTTCATCCAGGGTCAGTCTTTGGTGACCAGGTCCTAAAATCCTAGAATGTAAGTTTCACCTCACACTTTTCTGACTTCCTGATTCTTCTGAAAGTAACGAGACCTTCTGGATTAAACCGACTCACCTCTTTGAGTCTGACCAGACATTCGTCACTGCAGACGGACGTAGCGCCTTCCTCGGTCTTCAGCCTTAACGGTTTTAAGGCGGTGAGGTGGCAGATGTCACAGGTGACCAAAGGTAAGTTATTGACTTTGTGGTAGTTGATGAAGCAGGGGTCACTGCAGAATGAGTGTCTGAGGCCGTCCATGGTCAGTCTGGAGCCGACCTGAGGATGACGGAGGAGGAAGAGGAAGAGGAGAAAGAGGGTGTTGAAGCTTTTGAAAAAGTGGTCCTCTGTGGAATAAGAATAAAAAACACAACCCACTGAGAGGCCCGAATATAAACAGAAGCATTTTCATCTTACGGCGCAGCATTTGTTGCACATCTTGCACTCTTTTTTTTCTATCTTGGAGTGGACAGAAGTGAGACATTTGTTGCTGCACAACTCCTTCCTGGTTCCTGAATCGTCCACAGGAGCCAGGATCATGCTGTGAGGTCGCAGTATCACCCTGAGGAGAGGAGAGGAGAGGAGAGCGTTGTTCCTTTAAAAACAGCGTCATCTACCTTTAATAGACAACGACACAGTTATGAACTTACTCGGCACAGTTGTAGCATTTCTTCTTGTCTCGATTCTCTCTAGGCTGACAGGATCTGGGACAAAATTTCCGTCCATGTGGGACAGTCTTTCCACAGAAGGTGCAGAAGGTCACATCTCCAACCACGACCGTCGGAGCGCATCGAGTTTGTTTGTCTTTGTTTACATCCGAGTCAGAAGAGATCCTCTCCTCCTCCTGCAGGAAAAAAAATCATTCTTAGTTGAGAACAAATAAATTTAACTTTCTAAATTTTCGTCACTCAGTTTTATCGTTTATGGAGTGAAGGAAACTGAAAATATTCATCACCTGTTCAGATTGTTCTTGTCCGTTTTTCTCCTTCGAGTGAGCCGAGCTTTCTAGAGGAAGAATCACAACGTCTTACAGTCCTCGGTACGGGTCTTTTTAAATTACAATATTCAGATTTAAAGTCTGAAGAAAGTAAGTGATAACAGACAGAAGGAGAAGCCGATCATAAAAACTTTAAAAAGCTTGTTGTCTCAAACCTTGGAGGACTGCAGGTCTGAGTTTGTAGGACATGAAACAGGCACGAGTGCAGAAGAGCTTCACCACGCTCGTGTCGACGTTTTGGGGAAACATGTCTGACACCGGTCGAGGATCGCGGCACATGGTGCACCGTTGGAGTTCCTGGATTTCCTGCAGGAAACAAAAACAAAAATATGAGAGAAGAGGTTTTTAATTCAGACGTTCAGATTCAGAATAAAGTGTTTTACAATGTCTTAAAGGCGTCGCTCAGCCTCAAAAGTGTAGAAGAGGAAGGTCATGACTTAATTCTGACTTTACCGTTTTGAAGTCGACCAAACATGCCTGACTGCACATGTTCACGGTCTCCTCCTCCAGGGTCAGCTTCAGTGGTTTGTAGCAGGTGGAGCTGCAGCTTTTGCAGACCGCCAGGTTTTCTCTGCGGAAATCTTCGAAGCAGCTCTCGCTGCAGAACTTGTAGAAAACGTTCTTCACCATCAGGCCGCATTTGGTCTGAGGAGGAGAAGAACAAAAGAAGAGATGAGAATAAAAACAAACTGTTTTATTGGCCTCTGTTTATTCATTTTTCCTTACAGATCCAGATTTGTTGCACATGCTGCAGACTTGCTGTGAAGTTTGGGAGGAGCCGGTCTTAAAAGAGCAGAGGCATGACATGCTGCAGAAGTCCTTCATAGTTCCTTTGACATCGACACAGGCCATGATGAGATCCAGAAGCTGCGTGATCGCCCTGACGACACGAAGAGAACGATGAGTTTGTTATTAATAAGAATCAAACCTTAGAGATCATGGGAAGACAGAGACTCACTTGTTGCACTGGAAGCAGGATCTGGTCGCTGGTTTGTTGATGGGAAACGTCTGAAACAGACAGTCTTTGGAGCAGAAGACGTCTGTGAAACCTTTCTTCTGATAGGCTGTTTGGCCTTTCGTCATGATCTTCTTGCAGTGGGAGCAGATCATCTGAATCTCCTGAAATAAGGGAGAGAGAAAAAGCTGAGCATGGACCAAAATATCCGAAACACTCTTAATAATTACACAAAAATCACAGATTTTACCCCTTCCTTACTTTTTCATTTGTCGTCTTGTTGTCAGTGTTCGTGGATTTTGGAGGCTTTTGACCCTCAGCACAGACGGGTCGACCCCGCCCTGCAGATGACGGCTGAGGACGCCGAACTGAAGCTTTTAACTTCTCCTGAGACAGAAAATACAAAAATTAAACAAGATTGAAAGAAAAAAACCTGTGACAAATGCAAAACAAGTGATCCTAATCCATGAAAAGTCAAAACTGTCAGGACTTCTTCTCACCGTTTTCACAAAAGTTTTCCTCTGCAGCGACTAAAACATCTGCTTTCATTAAAAAGCTTCAAACTTTGTCGTATTTTACAAAGAAAATATCAAAACGATTTAGAAGTTATCAGCTGACTGAGTTATTTTTCTTCTTTTTTAATCACAGTGTTAAAGAAAAGAAATATCCAGATACTCACTAAGTCCAGTTTTTGGAGTAAAATCTTCACTTCTTTCAGTCCGATCTCTGCAGCAGAAACTTCGATCTTCTTTTCTATAAACAGTAAAAATATAAAGTTTTTGGTGCCAATTTAACACTGAGAAAAAAAGTTAATTTTTTTCTATTTTTGGTGAATAAAAAGAAGCAGATTTTATTCGGATTTATTCCAAATTTTCTTTTATGTATGAAGACGTTTGTGATCTGGAGTGACCTGATTTATTGGATTTACCGTTGCTTAAGACAAGAGAGGAACTCCTGCTGTCCACATCCATCATGTCACTCTGCTCCTCTTCATCTTGATCTGCTTCTTCCTCCACATGGTCCTCTGAGTTTGAGTCCACGTCGTCTTCATTCTGACTCTGTGACCCCGGCTTTGTCCCCGAACCTTCTGCGTCATCATCGCCTCCATCGTTCCCCTCGTTTGTGGGAACGTCCTCGTCGGTGTCTACGTCCACGTCGAAGTCTACGTTCATGTCATCATCGCAGTCACTGAAGGACATGTTTGTTATGTCCTCATTTCTGTTTGATGTTCGTGTCTCCTGAGGTTCCTCCTCAGCGGGACTCGCAGGTCTTTCCTCCGAGCCGTCATCCTGCTCTTTGTTCTCGTTGTCTTTTCCCTTCTCCTCCTTCTCAGACGCCTCGTTCTCACTCTCCTGCCTCCTGCTCTTCTTCTTCTTCCCTCCGCTTGATCTCAGTCGCTTTGAGGAGCTGCCGGGCGTTTTCTTTCTTGACGATCGTTTCGAAGACGAGCGACCTGTCAGTGATACAGACAATTTTTAATATCGACTGTTTTTCAACACATTTAATCTTTTTGGAAAACAAAGACTTGATTATCTAAAGTAGCAAAGAAGACATCACAAACCTTTCTGAGGAGAGCTCTCTGATTCTTCGTTGTCGTCCTCAGCATCACTTTTTTCAGGGTTGACCGGCTCCAACATGTCTTCAGAGACAAAGAAGAAACTGAGACTGACTGAAACTGTTGAAGTCATTATAAATGACATGAACGCAATCATCAAGACAATCGAAACTCTTATCCCGTTGTTGCCCAGATTAAGTTGAGGATTCACTGTTAACAGACACACGTGTTTTTGGCAAAGCTAACTAATCAGAAAGGTAAGGAGGCCCAAGAGAAGAAGAAGAGAACTGCACAGACACAAACCATAAAGGTCCAAGAGCTAAAGAAGATAGATGTCACTGCGAAGAAATCCCCAACAGAGCACCTTCAAAACCTCAAATCTGAGCACATACCTGAAATCTCGATCTCCTCGAAAGATTTCCCCTCAAATCGTTCGACAGTCCCCGTCTCCACGGCTGATAGCAGCTCTAAGATTTTCGCGATATCTTGCGCTGCCTCCGGCTTCTGGTAATACTCGGAGTCCGTCTGGATGTCTCGGCCCAGCAGTTTGGCCAGCTGATCCAGCCGGTCATTCGTGAAGCTGAGGATCTGGAAAATCCTCGTGAGGTACTTGCGAAAAAACAAAGACCGGAGGTTCGCTTTGTCCTTTGCCCCACAGCGAGCAACGATGGTGGTAAAACACTGGCCTCTTTTGAAGACGTTCGAAAGGTTCGAGGAAGGCTGTGCGAACAAAAGGGTGTTTTTCACATCCACGTTGCAGGCGTCTCTTTTGCTCACAAGAAGTTCCAGTGCGGCGAGCAGCGCAGGCGTCAGAGTCATGACGATCTTTTTCCCCTTGTCGTCCATCACATTGAACTTCAACAAATCCATGTGGAGGATCTGCTCCAGCTCTGATTGGTTGACAGCCGCCTCAGCCTCCCCTCTTTCCTGGAATGACTGGAGCGTTGTGTTATAAACGTCCACGTTCGGGTTTAAGAGCGAAAGCTTAGCCGTGGTCACTCTGAAAAGCGCGGTGTAGACCGGAGCACATTCATACTTAGTCAGACTTTCGAATGCGGACGCCGCCGTCTTCTCCATGCACTGGTAGAGCAGCTGCCCGTCTTGGATGAAGAGTATGGTCGATACAGATTTTACTCTGTAGAAGCCGCACCATTGCTCCAGACACAGCTTCACCAATTTCTTTGCATCCTCAATCTTCTGTTTGTCCGTGTCTTCTTTTAAAACTCTCGCGTAGTGGATCTCAGCGATGTACTTCAAGGAATATCCTATCAATTGCATGGTATGAGGTTTTTCATAGATCTTCCTCTCTCTATCGAAACCAGCCAGCTCCTGAATCGCCTCCAGGACTGTGCTGAAGTTTTCAGGTTTCATGACATCTTCGAAACTCTTGATTGATTCCTGATCCTTCACCGCTAAAAGAAGAGTTCCCATCGCCCTCAGCCTCTGCAAGAGCCTAGGTTTCGTTTTTGTGTGACTCCCGCTCAAGTGGCAAAGGTACCGCGTCATGAGCAAAAGATAGGAATCGTTGGTGACGACCTTGGCGACCTTGTCTTGCCTCAGAGTTTGTAACAAGCTGCTCAGTTCTGACGAGGTTTCAGGATTGTCCAACTCTGCAGAGGCGACCACAGACAGGATCCTATCCTTGCAGTTTGGAGATTCAGTGGCCTTCTTCACCGGACATGTCCTCAGATGCTTCTTCATTTCTGCACAGATAATTATGTCTTTGCAGAACAGGCACGGTTTTGTAGCAGGAGGCTTTTGCAGTTTCTTGTATTTCACCACCAGTTCTCCGCAGCCCGTCTTCAAAACCTTTTCGTTATGTTCAAAGTTTCCTTTGTCTCGGAGCTCTTTGATGCGCTGCTTTCGCACTTTGGTTTTTTTGCGCAGCTTAAACACTTCAGCTACCTCAGGCTCATCGTGTCTGTGGGTGAAAAGGTGGCGGGAAATTTTAAACACATCTTTCCCGCAAACAAAACAATAATTTTTGGTCCTGTGGCTCTGAGATTTGGGTTTATGATCAGAGTCAGAGTCACGCTCGTCAAATGTTAACTTCGCAGAGGACGCTCGACGTGGTTTTGATGATCCACAAGCAGCCACGAGCAGCGATGACTCGCCTTCGCTGTCATCGCTGCTTGTGGCCCCTTCAGGGACGTATTCCTCTTCACTGTTGGATCCTTCAGAACTGCAAGATCCTCCCGAATCCCTGACCTGAAAATATAAACGTTGAATTTCCTTAGCTTCATGTAACCAAAACAAATCCAGCGGTAATCCTGGCAGCTCTTCAAGGTTTAGTCTTAGTCTAACGCTGCACAGGACAATCTAATTTAAACCTGGGTTAGTTCAGGGTAGTTAGTCTCTGCATACCTTTGCATGTTTCGAAGCGTCTTCCTTTAGTGTCAATCGTCTTTTCTTCCTCGCTTCAATTTTCTGCTTTTCTTCAACAGCTTCTGAAAAGTTTGCCAAAATTAGAAGAAAACTAAAAGACATGAATTGATCTGAAATCTTTTGGATTAGGTGGCAATATTATATAATTTGAGTTACATTTTTGTGCTTTTATTTTGAAAGGACAGATCAGTAGACAGAACAGGCTTCTGAAGTTCATGCTCATGTCCATATCAAACATCGTCTTTCTCGCTCTTTCTTGGGCATGTCCTCGAACTGCTCTGCCTCTCTGCGCCCAAACAAAGATTATTTTAATCATCATACCTCCCTCCTGGGGATCTTCATTGTCCTCCTCAGCATCACTGACTCCTGGATCTGGTTCATCTTGAGACAAAGTAGAAACATGGATCATCAATTTTAGTCTCATCAGTATCATTGAGATAGAAAATTATTTCTCAGGTATATTTGGAATAGGGAGTACAGGAAGAAGTGTAACAGAGTTAAAGCAGAGTCATCTCTTCAACATACCTTTCTCCTGAGGATCTTTATCATCCTCCTTGGCATCGCTGATTCCTCCACCAGGTCGCTCCACATTTGGCTCATCTTCAGCAGAATAAACAGCCCTCATAAGTTTTCATTTATAACTAAATCAAATTCATAGTTAATGTGGATACAAACCCTCAATATCAGCTTCCTCTGGAGACCCTCTCTGGGAGTTTTCGGCGGAGCCCCGTTCCATCGCCTCGATCAGTTTCGCTACTTTAGCGAGTTCCGCGGCCGCCTCCGGTCGTCGATAGTAATCCTTGTCGGCTCGGATGTCGTGACCCAGAAGTTTGGCGAGGTGTTCCAGCTCGTCGTTTTCCAAGGTGAGGATCTGGAAAACTCTCGCGACGTGCCTGTGACAGTGCGGTGATCTGAGGGGCTCCGGGTTCTCCGCCTGACACAGAATTGAAAAGGCGTGGATGCTAAGCCGTCCGCGGTAAAGGCTCGTAGGTGAAGAGTTCGGCTTCGCGAACAAGAAGGGGTTGTCTTTGTGAACCCCACATGTATCCCTCTTGTTTATGAGCAGCATCATCGCACTGACGAGGTGAGAGGTCAGCAGCACGGCACTGCTCTGACCATTTCCCGTCCCTGTGTTTATCTTGATGAAGTGTTTGGACAGCACCTGGGTAGCGTCTTCCCTCTCCTGAAACGCCTGTAGTGTCATTTTCGAAGCCGCGGGTGAACATTTGTTCAGGACTGACACTTGTGCCAGAGTCACCCTACAAAGTGCGGCATACACCTGCGGACCTTCTGAGGCCTTCAGCGTGTCAGCGGCTGAGGCTGATGCTGCCTCCAGGTACCCGTAGAAAAGCTGCACGTCCCGCGTGAACGGTATTAAAGATGGCTTCTTAGACGTTTGTCCGTTCGGCCGTGCGAGGGCTGGTTGAGAGACGAGTGGAGTCCATTCTTCAGTGCATAACTTCATAAACGTCCTGGTGTCCGTTCTTATCTGCTCATTGGCTTCCATTTGGAGGACAGTGGAGCCTATTTTCTTCAGTGAGTGTCCCAGCCTCAGAGCGAGAGCCTGTTGGCTGTAGCTCCTCCTTTCTGTATCATACCCAGCGATTTTCCGTACAACCTTAACAACCCTGCGAAAGTTGGTAGGTTTGACTGCATCCTGGAAGCTGGTTATTGACTTTTCCTGGAGCGCCACCAGAAGTCTTCCCATTTCTCTGAGCCTGGTTCTGATGTATTCATGTTTTCTCTTATTATTTTGAGACTTCTCAGACAAATCTTCTGCCAGCTTGAGCAAAACAAGATCATTCTGAATTGCACTTGAAACCTCGTCTTGTTTCATTCCTGAGAGCATCTGCGAAACAGCAGCTGGAAGTTTTTGGGCGAATGGGGACTCTGCAAGAGCAATCTTACCCAAAATTTTTGTCCTGCCGCTTGTAGAGGGGGTCGATGTTGATGTTGATGTTGATATTTCAGGACATCTGGCCATATGCCTCCATAATTCAGTGCGGACATACATGCCTGTACAGTGCGGGCAACATGCATATGACTTAGCACCCTTAGTTGTTGGTCGCCGTTTGAGTTTTAACTCTCCACAGTTGGACTTCAATACTTCCTGGTTGTGTTTGTTATTTCCTTTGGTCCGAAAACTGTCAAGTATCTTTTTTCGCTCTCTGGAGTCTGTGGGTAATGAAAAAGCTCTCGCCAGTTCAGGGTCTTGGTCAACATGCTTCAAAAGATGCCTTGCCATTTTTTCAACACCAGCAGAACAAAAATAACAAAAGTTTTTCGTGGCGTAACTGGCATCTTCGGACTTTTTCGAAGCCCCGGTGGGTCGGTGTTCCTGGTCTTCCTCAGAGTCACTGGAGCTGGAAGAAGCTTTGTTGTCCCGCATGAAGCTTGAAGCTCCGTCTGGTTTTATCATTAAGGTCCCTGACTTCCCTTGAGAGCGGCGTTGCTGACTGCTAGTACCACAAAAACTGTCACCGCCAGATCCTGGTCCACTGTCAATAAGCTCGTCGATGTCGTCGTCATCGTAAACATCGTCCTCAGAGTGATTGAAACTGGAGGCTGGATTCCAGTCCTGAACAGAGAAAACATGGTCACAGTGTAAATGAGGACTTCGGTAAGATTAGCTGACTATTTTACCAATCAGGACATTTTATATCTTTACCAACACAAAACATAAAATTAACCCCTTTTTTAGATTTACAAACACTTCTGCATGGACGGGAATTGAACTTACGTCATGAGAGATTAGCCACCACACCAAAAATATAACGTAAAATTAACGTAGTCATGAGGAAGTTGATATAATCAGAGTAACATACCCCTTCAGCTCTTGGTGTTGATGGAGTAGCACAAAAGTCTGAAAATGAAAGACTTGACGTATCTAAGGACTCCTGCAAAAATCGAACAAGATGCAAAAGTCATGAGGAAATTTGACACCTTTGTTAACCTGATGTTTTCTAATCCTAATACATTTTAATTTTACGACATGAATAAAATTAGATAAAACTGAGTGACAGTACTTTAGGAATTTAAAGTTATTTTCTTTCTTTTAACCTACCATTGAGCGCCAAGGATAAGTTGAGTCCCCGTAATTGAAAGTGATTTCCTCGCCTGGTGATATATTCCTCACGGCAAACAGGCACAGGCGTGGCTTTCCCTCAAAAATCACTTTCTTCATTTCACAGTTGGGATTGATGTTGTTGTCATTCACCAGCCTACCGAGGCTCCGGTCTTCTGATGAAGCATCAATGCTGCAAGTGAAATAATCTTAATTAGACTCATTTAGGATTAACATGTCTTTGACAAACCTCGTTAAAAAGTAGATAACTCACCACCAGTGCGCTCCATTCCATGAAAACTCAAATAAATAATTGACCAGAGAATCGGGGCAGGTCTTATGGGGTGTTGTGGTTTTGGTGGAGTAGATGTTCCCCCGATATTCAACCACAAACATAGATGGCTTAATGGCATTGTAGGTAAACAGCCCTCTCCCTGGGTAAGAAATATAACCATTAAAATAGTACAAAGCCGTTTAAGTGTGGCGTTTATGAAAGCTGGTGGTAAATTGCATTACTATGAATATTTCAGCTATTCCAAAGTCGCATAATTATATTGACAGAATAGTAGACAAGTATCCTGCTCCGACTTATTTTCTCTCTAAAGTAATTTCCATTTATAGTCTTGTCTATTAGTAAACTTTATTTTTTACATTTATTACAATAGTCTTGCATCAATTCGGACAGAGCAGGATTATTCATCCTACAGATTCATCCTGCAGTGTATGACTAAGCTCATGGCCACACTCCTGTTAATTATTGTAGTTATAAAAATAAATAAGGTAGGCACTTCATTTACTTAAACTCCAATTATTCAACTAAATCCTGAATGATTGATAACTTCATTTAAAAAAGGGCTCTGGATGTACCAGTCCCCAAACCTGTTCTCAGGTAGTAAAGAAAACTTCATATTAATACAATAATCAATATACTGTCATCAGGTGAGTACCCCCTACCTTTAAAGGAATCGATGTATCTTCCCTCCAGAAAAGGTTTGTCCTTACGGGAGGCTATGTGCTCCAGGGCGTCTTGCTCTGGAGTCAGTTTTCGTCTCTCATCCTCCATGACAGCCAGAAATTTTCAAGCAATGCCTGTTGTTTATTACGAGTATTTACGCATCCTGCCAAAATGAGAAACATTAGAAATATCAAGCAATAATCATAAAACAAGAATAAAATGTTGAAATATTAAGCATGCCAAGTCTATCATTTCAACTGCTGGGCTCTCAGGTTTTGAACTAAGCTTGGAGTGAGATGGGGGGTCACGGGTGAAGAGTAATTAAAGATAATGTATTAATATAATCTAATAAATACAACACACTAAAAGGGCCACATTAAGAAAAAAAAATAACTTTGAGATTACTTATGAGAATAAAGTCATTACTTACAAGTTATAAATTTATGTAAAAGTAGCTGTTGTGGAGGCGAGTTGTTAAAATGAGGGCTGTGGGGCATTTACAGAAATTGTACTTCAGTGAAGGTTTCACAAACATTGAGATACTTAATCTTTTGGTACATTAACATTAAACTGTCATGAGTATTAGAACTTTAAAAATAATATGTGAGAAATGCTGCTTTTCCACAGAAAAAAAAACAGATGGACTTTGAGGGAGTCGCTGTTTTTGTGGAGGGGAAAATGGAAATTGTTAAAAAAGGTGCAACTCAGGGGACGTGGTAATTTAAATGTGTGAGAAATACAATGTGTGGCGTGTGAACGGGTGGGAATGCATAAGACTTGAGCGCCCTGAAACTGTAATAACAACTGTTTACAATGTGCACTTCTAAACCTATTCATTCACTCTTGTCCTACAACTAATCCTGTTTAATGTTGCTCTTTTACCTCTTACAACGTTAAGACTGTGGCTTAGCAGAAACAAAACTGAGGTATAAAGAGCAAACAGTAAAAGTTAGCAGCGTTTTAAAACTGTCCTCTAAATATTTCCTACTTAGTTAACTGTTCTGTGACCGTGTTCACGTTGAGATTTTATAAAGTTTACAAATTTAAAGATATAAGATTAAAAACTGTAGAAAAGTTGACTGAGAAAGCTGTTAAGAGATCTTTATAAACTGCAGTTAACATGTAGCTTCTGCACACATGCTTTGCAAACAACCCAGCTAGCTTTCAAGTCGTAGTTCAGCTATGACCTAGCATGCACTTTGACAAACTTTAGGAGAAAACACGACATAATACAAATATCTAACAAACAGCAGTGTGTACCTCTGTTTAGAGATCCCAACGTAGAAGGAAGAAAACTACTAAATGTTGCAGACAGTGTCGGCCATCTTTCGTTTCTGTTTCTACTTCCGACTCCTCGTGACGTCGACGATCCCGCCAGCCCGTCATCGGTAATTCCAGCCAATCAGTAAACCATACGTCACGGTCACGTTCCAGAAGCAGCGAATGAGCGTGTGTGGATTTTTCGGCCACGGGGAGCAGCCGTGGACTGTTTTAACGTCCGAAATAAACGGCATATATGGTTTAAGAGGACAATTACCTCGAACAGAACAAAGGTCTCCAGTTATACTCGCTGATATGATGGTAAATATGTAATTTTACCAGACAGAAGACCAATGTTTTTAAATGTTTTTATTAGAAAATGAACAAGCCATAGAAAATACTCAGATCCTTGGCAGCCAAGTTCTAAGGACTGGAGTAAATATAGACAAGATATACATGGAGGGACAGTTTTTATCTATATTTTCAAAGAATGACTCAGTGGCACTCAATGGAGAAAGTTAATGGTACCTGGATGCTTTTGTCGTAATCCTGTGTTCATAGTGGTACTCAAGAGACAGTACAGCGATTCAAACTTTTTTAAGTGTCAGCGTTGGCATAATGGATGCTATAATCAAACGCATCATGTATTAGAATAGTTTAGTAATAAAATGTCATACCAATGACTACAACTCTATTAAAGTGATTAGACTAATGCTGCGATTGAGTTACCTCAGAAGTCAGAGGTCCGAGCTGAAAATGACGTCACACCTGAGTTACCAGCATTTCAAATCAGTAAAAAGCAAAATCGGAAGCGAAATAAAATGGCTACATCTACGAAAGTTATTTTAGCGCTTGCCTTGTCCAAACATAAGGCAAACGCTAGAATAACTTTCGTACATGTAGCCATCCGATTTTGCTTTTTTCCAACTTGGTAACTGAAACGCTAGTAACTCAGGTGTGACGTCATTTTTAGCTCCGACATCTGACTTCCGAGGCAACTCGAACGCAAGCTGGCTCTGCCTCTAAAATGATCAATCACACTTGGGAGACGTCAATCATAATTTGCCCGATTGTCTAAGAAAAAAAAGATCTTGTTTGGTCATGGATGAACAGATGACTTTCCTATCTATAGAGCAGGGATCCACAATAATAGCCCCGGGGATTCGCATTTGCTCTTTCACTGACGTATTTGCAGTAAATAATGAGATTGTTCAATCGTTGAAAAGGAAACTCATGATGTTTTTTTAGTTGTCTTCTGGAATGGATGTTAAAACACTGAATCCAACAGGAATGAACGTTTCCCATTTCAGATCTTTTGAAGGAGGACAACAAAACTCAGATTTCTTCTTCAGGAAGTTCAGGAATCAGAATATGAGGAAGGACAAAGTAGTAGTGTTCATGTTCAACAACCGTACAGCAGACAAAACACAAAAAGGACAACTATGTCTCCAGTAGTAATCGAACTGAACGCTGAGCTAACTCTTGCATCTCAGTTCCCAAGTCCAACCTACACAGACAACGTGTATTTTGTAATTTGTACTTATGTGAGTGTGTATTTTACATTTTTATTAGATCTTGTTTGAAAGGATGTTTCACTTTTATCTGAAGATACATGAACACCACAAGCTGCTGCGCCGGTAAAAAGGTCACTTCTGATTTCATCACTCCGAGTCGCCGTCTTCTTCGTCAGGGACGTACGGCGGGTCGTCGGGTTTTTCTTTTCTTGTCCTGAGGTGAAGCTCTCTGACGGTTAGGACGCGGATGAGCATGGCCTCCAAGGTGCTGTCGTCCAGGGGGATGGAGGAGAACCACAAGGGGCTGTTCGGGACACAACAGCGCTCGGGGTGAAGGTAGAACAGGTTGGTGCGCTGTTTGACTGACTCCGAGCTGAAATTAGAGTCGAAATGAGAATTGTGTAATAATAACTCTCATGTTAGTGTCAAATATAATGACGAAACAGAAACTTGAAGAGACACACACCACTTTGACAGATAAAACTCATAGAGTCTGACAGGACAGCGGAGAGGGTTCTCTGTATTCTCCATCATCTCCAGAATATCCTCTTTATTCTCCTCCTCTTTTCGCTTCTTCGATGGAACTTCAGGATCTGAAAAGACAGAAAACAAACACACTGACACCGTTTTCACTGTGACAACTATTCAAGGCTGCCTGAAGTGAAGCCACAAATTAAAAAACAAAGAGTGTTAAACAGGCAGTTAGGAACTGTGTACGAAATTTGCTGCATTGGCTACATTCTGCATTCTTTCTTATCATGTTTGTGCTCAGCATTGTTCAATCTGTATTAAAATCTTAGCCTGTTACCCACAGCGGGGGAGGGACAGGTTGATCTATTCAGCAGGTAAAGATGTTAAAAGGATGTTCCATCGTAAAATTAAGATAGGAATACACCGCGGTCTGGGGAGCCATGAACAAACTTCAACCAAAACGCCACTCTATTGACTACAGCGAGGTGACGCAGCTCAAGGAAGAACATTTATGATCATTTCTTTATCATTTTCTTTCAGTAATAATCATCATATTTATCATTTTCACTGCAGACGCGGTAGTTCTTCTGTCTTAGCGTCTCGGTCTGATTGTATTTCCATGAAGAAATGATCATAAATGTTCTTCCTTGAGCTGTGAAACCCCGCTGTTGTCCGTAATGGACTGGCTGAAGGTCTCGCTACAAACAAGCTGCTGCTGGAATAGAGTAGGTGAGTTGTGTTTAGTCTCTTTGCTAAAGAAATTACGCGTTGAAGGCGAAGTTAGGTGCTGTTCTGAGCATTATTTGTGGCTATAGAGTGGCGTTTTGGTTGAGCGCGTGGCTCTCTGTATTGCTATTCTGCGGTCGTTACTAAAGTTGGTATAACTAGAGAAGTAAGCGGTCGGAAACATTCATCTCTTGAGGGGGTGTCTAACTGGGTGTTACGGTGTGTTTGACCCTAAATTAATTTTATGCCGGAATATCCCTTTAACTCTGCTGATCTGTGAGACTCCAACAGAGGAGGATGTCTCCACCCTCTTTTCCTACAAGCTTCAGCCTAAAGAAATCACTCTATCGGAGCTTTAAGTTGACAAAAATTCACTGCATCTCCAAGAGTGACTTTTTACAGGAATTTGTAATACAGAAAAAACCTTCTAAGTGTTTAACTTCGAGTGTCAGCCGGACTCATACCTGACTCTGCTTCATTTATCGATATCGGAGGGTAGAAGCGCAGGAAAGTGGTCTTGGTGTTGTTTGGGTTGGTTTTGGTGCATCGCATGACGTGAGCGAAAGACAGCTGACGATGTTGCTCCACCGTGGTGAAGCCGAAGAATTTACAGCAGAAAAAGAGCAGAGTGTTGAGGAGGACGATGGGGGAGTACGCCCCCAACTGTTTACAGTCCCACAGAAACTCCTCCTCCACACGGGAATGAACGTAACCTGCAGAGAGAGATGCTTGTTTCAAACGTCCGGTGAAAGCGTAGATGAGAATCATCAGAACAGAAAATGAAAACACAAGTGTAGCTCACCGTTAGCTGTGATTGAGGGTTTGAAACCTCTCAGCATCGTGGTGAACTCAGTAGAAAACTTGTTGTAGAAACGATCCATGAAGATGTTCTCCACACGACCGTTTTCAAACAGATACTAAACAGGGACAAAAAGAAACAAGGTCACAGTGAGACGCCTGTCCTCGAGGACTCGGTCGTTTCTCAAGAGGACATCTTACCTGTTGAATGCCGAGGCAGAGGTAGAACAGGCTGTCGGGGGAATACCGCTCTCCGTTTGGTCGTTTCACTTCCTTGATGAAGCAGCAGAGGCCGTAGCTCAGCTCCGCCGTGGTGCTTCGAAGAACATCCTCCTTTAACTCTATGGGACGAGCTGGAAACCACGACATGAGGTTTTACAAAACAGGACTCGAGATCTTTGTTCAAGCTGAGATCGGTTTATCCGCTGACCACCAAGTCTCACCTCCAAATCGTGGCTTCTCCAGGTTTGGTTGAGTCTGCCTCCACTGGATCCACCGCTTCCAGGCTTCAACTCCGTACTGACTCTTCAGTTTCGGGATCTCTACCGCCGTTTTGTTCGAGGAGCCTTTTTTAGATGCCGTCTCTGCCGCTTTAGCTGACCGCTGTGGTTTACGACCCTGAGAGAAAGTAGAGAAGATATAATCCAGGTGAGACAAAATTGTGCAAACATCTCCCCTTTTTTCACCACGTGGTACGAAATATGAAGATCCTCCTTCTCTCAATCTTCCTTTTACCCTTTTCTCTCTGGCTTTCCGGGGAACTTGTCGCCGTCTTGAAGTCGCAGGCGCAGGGCTTGGGGATCGTTGCGCCTGCTCTCTCAGACGGGCCATCCTCTCCAGAGTATCTAAAGGGTAACACAATAAAAAAAAAAAACCTTTCAGAAAACCCGTGAAAATCCTTGATGAACTCAGCGTTTTCTACATCCCTTGTCCTCACCGACACTGAAGTCAGCTTCCACGTCCATGGGAGGCGGAGCAGCTGGCGGCGGCTCGGAGTACGGCTCACTGGGCATGCCGACGGGAATGTCTAGAATTGGGTTGAGCTTCTCGTTGGCGAACGGTCGACTGGGAGACCTGAGACCCGTGTCAGAGGAGGTGTCCTCCCAGTTGTTTAAGAAACTGGCCAAGTCTTCAGTGTCCAAGTCGTCGCTGTAGTTGCTGGCGTGGTCTGATAGAAAAAAAGATTCAACTCAAAAACTGTAAAAACTTTGTGCTCAGACGTTTAAACAGAGGGTTGAACTTTCCTCTTACCTTCTGGTGCGGGAGGCGCTTCTTGTTTCACTTTGACTTTCTCCTTCCGCTGCTCCTCCTTGTTGTCGTCCTTCTCGGTATCTTCTGCGACCATCTCAGCCATGAGGATGAGCTCTGCCTCGTAGGGGTCAGACGGGATCTTCTGCTTGATCTCCTGGATGGTTTCCACGATGCGTTCGGCGCTGTCCATGGTCACAGGGAGGAACATGGGCACAGGAAGCTGAGGGATGATGTAACAGGATTTACTTATTGGACAAAGATGATCGATAGTTTTTGTTTTGACCGGTGAATCGAGGTGGCTGCACCTACCGGTAAAGGCAGGCCGACTGGTTTTGGGGTACACTGGCTGTACATGTTCATGGGTACAGGAACGTAGACCGGCACCGGGACAGGCACAACCATGAGCTTCGGAAAGATGTCGTCTGTACACCGACAAAAATGGAAACAATTAAAGAAATGAAGAAAACAAGGAAAAAAGATTCAAATGTGCAAACAGAAATAATCCCTCAAACCAAATCATATCAAATCGTGTTTTTTGTCTTCAATGAGTTTTTCTTGTAGCTTTATAAAAACCTTAAACCTCTCAGGCCTTCAATATAGAAATACAAACTTAGATCAGGTGTAAATCACAACTCAGTTCAAACTTGTTCTCGTTACTCCTGCAGAAGTTTGCATCTATGTTTCCACAGTCATTGAGTGTCTGCATGTTGATTTTACCTGTTTGTGCTTCAACATCAGCGGTCTGTGTTTTACAGGAGACCCCTTTGTTCTGCACCAGGGGTCTGCAGAGCAGGGCCTTGTTCTTCAGGATTTTCTGTGCAGGAGGGTTGACTTTCACTCTGTCCGTCTGAATGCTGATCTGAAGGACAGAAAGAGCCTCGTACATTACTCATTTATGTCCCTTTACCTCGCCGACACTCGTCACACATTTAACCTCAAACACTGACTTACATTTCCAGAGCTCCTCGTGTTGGGTTTGCCTGTGAAGACAAAAACAACGGATTAAATCTCCACCAAAAACACTTGAACTCTCTGAACAAGCAAACAGGATGTTGAACTTCTCAATTTACGGTTAATAAAGCAGGAATGTCGAGATACTTTGGTGAAGTCTGCGAAATCTAACCCCCAATTTCCACCGCATCCAGAACAGCTCAGATTTTCACCGTCCGCCAATTCCTGCCGGATCCGTTTGTGAGGCGAATTTCGTGGCGGATTACAAACAGCAGGAATCACAAGAACCCGCGGATTCACGTGCAATCGCGCAATAACAAGTCGTCTCTTAGCCACACAGACTAACCATATAAGCAGTAGATTGTGTCCTTCCAGAGGAGGAAATCTACTTCTAGACTTCTAGAATCAGCATCTCCTCATCCATGGTGTCATCGGGGTGAAATGACGTCTAAAAACCTTTCACTTGTTCGTCTCCGCCCGTTTGCCTCCTGAAACACTGAGTGTTTTATTTCGTGTCTGTGCCCGACTTCCTTTCCAACACGGGTTAATCTGTGCTGAATTTATCCGACATGCTCCAGCATCCGGAAAAAATAGAAGTCTTGCGATCAGCTGCAGAGTCCGGCGATCTGCAGCGGAACGGAAAGAAGCCAGTGGAAATTGACACATTAACTCGGACGGTTATGATCAGCTACGATCGGTGGACGCAGCCTTTTCTAGCCGTTCCGGATGCGGTGGAAATTGTGGGTAACGGTCTGAATAACTTTAAATGAGGGTATCTCTAACGTGTGTGTTTGTGTATTTTGCTGTGATTTGATAGATCACCTGCAAGAGACATGACGTTGGCGATGACAGGCGTGTCCTCCTCTGTCACTGCAACACCAGAAATCACAGCATGAAAGTGAAACTAATAAATCAGAACAATTTAATGAAAAATCTTAAATAAACCCACAAATAAAACCTGAATTTGATTTAATTTATTAAGATATGCTGTAACTATTCTTCCTGGGGTCCTTATCTCCTTTTGCATTTTGAATTTAGATGTTACACTTACATGACACTCGATAACACTCACCTTTGAACTCTCCCTGCCGGGTCAGGTAATCCCCGCAGAACTGCAGCAGACACGCGAGGTCGCAGAAGTGTTGGACGTCCCCGAGCACGGACAGACTCTGCTTTAGTTTCCCTTTGCGGCCGCAGGTGTCGCACTTTGCAACCTGAGAGGAATCAGACGACTCATCGTACCCGTCCTTTCAGCGTCACCGTGATTTTAATAACAGCAGCAGAGGGTCACTCACGTGGCAGAAGAGCATGGTGTATTTGGACCTGCACTCCTCGGAGCAGAACTCCTCGGTCGAGCCCCCGTACTGGGCCGTCACCAGCTTCTTGGACATGGAGTGGCAGTAGACGCAGGAGCCGCAGTGTTTCCCCCAAGCTTTGGCCAGGTCGTGTCTAAAGAGGAGTTTACAGCCTGAGAAGAAAAAAAGGAGGAAGCTGAAGAAAAAGAAGAAAAGCTAAATGGATGAATCAAAACAAACACACAGACTGATGTCCTCACCGTCGCTGCAGAAGAAGCAGATTTTGTTGTTGATTTTTTTGGCGTCTCGGGTGATCTTCTCGATTTTACAGTACTCACAGAAGCTCGTCACAAAGTTCGCCTTCTTGAACTCGTGAGCGCAGTCGGCGCTGCACACAAACACCAGCTTATCCTGAGAACACAAAACCGGGTTCAGTGAGTAATCCAACAATCAGACATGTCAGAGTTACAGCTGTAAATCCTCAGACTATCAGAGTCACCTTAATCTGGACGAGTTCAGGTTTGAAGTTGATGAGGCGGTTGCAGTGATTACAGTTCAGTCTGTGTTTCCCTCTCAGGACTTCCTGCTCAGGTTGAGGAGTTTCGACCGACTGGATTTGTGTGGATCCCACCGGGAGTTTGGTGAAGACGCTCACCTGTTTCTGGGATTTCTTGAACTTCTCCTGAAACGGCGCAATAAAAAAAAAAAGGGATTGTGAGTCAGGAATAAACGAGGAGAAAGACAGATGGAGGGATCATCACTCGTTACCTGAAAAGCCATGACACAGGGGAGGGTGCAGAAGTTCCTGATGGAGGTGTCGGACATGGCCAGGTGATAAGCTGGAACCGTGTTTTTGCCACAGTTATCACAATTTATCCGAGACCCTACGGAAAGAAAAACACATTTAAATCCACAGTTTCCTGTTCGGTCTTCACGTCAACTCTCTGATGATGATGATGATGATGAAAACTCGTACCTGACGCACTAACAGTCTGGACCATGTACGCCATCACACAGCTGCTGCTACAGAAGAGGTTCACAGAGTCGTCTTTGTTCTTGTTATCGACCATTTCGGAGAGCAGGCGGGTGGTTCGACACATCGCACACGGCTGGGTGATCTTGGTTTTCTGTCAAAAAGAAAATCAAGTTTTTTACTGTGTCGTTACATTTTTAAACCCTCGCCAAAAACAAAGATCGGTCTACCGTCGGTACCTCTTTGTATTTGATTAGACAGTCTATGTTGCACAGCGTCTTGTTGACGTCCTCCAGCTTCAGCATGATGGGTTTGTTGTGGCAGTAGGAGCCGCAGTTCGCACAGCCGGCCATGGAGAGGTTGTTCATTGTGCGGAAGCGGTTGAAACAGGCGTCGCTGCAGATCTTATGGATGGAGCCGCTCAGGATCACCTCGTGTTTGCTCTGCAGCGGGGATGACGACAACAGCTCAGTGAGTTTTACCGTCAAGACATGAAGTTTACAGAAGCAGATAAATAACAGGTAAACTACACTTATTTAATGACACTAAGAAGAGGTTTGGTTATAATAATAAGCTTCAGTTTCAGTCACAGCCATGTTTTTATCGACTCACCACGCAGTATTTCGAGCACACGCTGCAGAGCGACTGTGAGGCCGTTGTTTGTGTCGCGTCGCTGTCGTCGGCCGAGTTTCTCGAGTTCAGGACGTGGAGTTTCTGCTTCTTGTAGTTGAAGGCGGTCAGACAGCGCTGGCTGCAGAACTCCTTCATGGCTCCTTTATTATCCGGAGCCAGAATGACGTCCTGAGGCCGGAATATTAACCTGAGATCAGGAGAAAAGACGAGCCGATAAAACTTCGTTTCAAACGTGATTTCTAAAGATTTAATTATTGAAGGTTTTTTTTCAGCTGCACTCACTTTTGGCAGTTGTGGCAGACCTTGGTGTTCGTTCGGCCCGAGGGCAGAAAAGTCGTGAGGCAGGCGGTGGAGCAGAAGAGCGACGGGTTGCCCTTCCTCTGATAAGCCGTCTGTCCCTTAGAGAGGGACTTTTTACAGTTGGAACAGTACATGAGCGGCGCCGGGGGGTGGATGACCGGCAGGGTGGAGCTCTCTGCAGATGGAGTCACAGTGAAAACCGAACCGATCCTCAAATCCTCCTCGAGGTCCTGAAAAAGAAATTGAATTTTTTTTGTTTGCATTTGTTTTCGTCAGAACCACAATCGTTTTATTTTTCATCAGACCGTTTAGTTTTTACAATAACTGACCCAGGCTTAGACCAAGATGCCAAACTGTTGAATTTTAGCAGAAATAGTTTCTTGCTAAAGAAAAAAAAGCCTGACAGGAGATCTGTGCTTCTCACCTTTGCAGTGTTGGGCTCATCCTTCACACTTGCTGTGGTGGCAGACGATAACTCGGCCCGTTCGTACTCTTCATCGACCGGCTCGTCCTTCACCTTCACCAGAGGAGGTGAAGGAGACGTCTGGACTTTCTGAGTGGAAGAACTCTGTTCCTAAAACAGGGAGGGGAGGTGTTAAAGCTGGTGTAGTTAGGACTCTTAAATCAAATCTGTAACATGACAAACATAAATCCAGAGCAGGTTTCATCACCTCTACTTACACTGTCTAAACTCGGTGCTGATATCTTCACCACTTTCATCCCGTTCATCACGGTTGCTGGTGACGAGCTGTCTCTTCCTACGAAAACATGAGAGGAAGTTGAAAAGCACGGCCTCGTTACCTGCTTCGAGGTGAACGTAACAAACCAGGATTTTAAAGTGACCCACCTGTACTTGTTGCTGCTTCAGATGACGGCGAAGAGCTCGACCGCAACGAGTCCAAAGCCGATTTCACATCCTCTACTTGCTCCACGGATGGTTTCACATCACTCTCCTCCTCCGGAAAACTGCTATCGTCTGCCGCTGAAGCTGCTGGATAAGTTTAAAGAGCAGAATTTAGTGAGACTGCGTGCAGCGGTACTTCTAAAGCAGCAGGAAATGTCATTTAACCAGAAATGTCGGATTCATGTAACTCTGTTTCTGTGCATCTCTGACTGGCTCTGTGTTACTGCAGCTCACACTGTGCCCACACAGCTCTGTGAACTCTGCAGCTGTCCAAAGAGAGGGTTAAAAGGTGACCAATGAGGTCGCTTAAAAGCAAATGATGCACAGTTTTAAAACTGCGACTCAGCAGACTAATAAAACCTGCTGCTGCGCGCTCGGTGCAGTAAACAGGAAAGCTGTTAAAGAGTTCACTTTCAAAGTCAAAAACACAATTCTATCAATGAACTCAGTTTCATTTAAAAATACGGGTTTGGACGAGCAGAACTTCTTCTACCTGAGCGGCTTTTATCGGCGTCCATACTGTTCTGCTCCTCCTCTTTCATCTGAGCTTCTTGTTCCACTTGATCCACCGTCCCAATGTCCATCATTTCGTCGAGGTCGTCTACACTGGACACCCTCAGACTACTACCAAGAGGTTTTTCCTCCTGCTGTGTGTCTGCGTCTTCACCCGTCTTTTTATCCGTGTTTGATGTCTCCTTCCTGTTGTCCGTATCTCTTCCCACGCTCACATCAGCTCTTGAGGGACCTTCCTTCATGTCTTTGCCTTCTGCTCCCTCTTTTTCTTCTGTCAACTCAAATTCCTCCTCTGTTTTTACCTCTTTTTCAGAGTCTGAGAAGCTTTCTCGCTCATCGCCTTGAACCAAAACTTTCGTGACTGTATCTTCTGCCGACAGCGATAGAGATTCAGATCCAGCTTCAGCATCTTTCTCCTTGATTTCTTTGCTTGCCGTCGCTTCTTTAGCGACAAAGTCCTTCTTCACTCCATCATCAGAGACTCTGTAAACAATCCCACCGTCTCCAGCCCACACTGACGCTCCGGATTGTGAGACAGCTGCCTTGGACTCTGAGTCTAGTCCCTCCATGACCTGAAGAAGAAAATAGTTAATTAGCATCCTGTAACGACCATGACGCTGATTTTTAACTTTTCAGTCAGGATGCCGGAGATTTTCCTGCACATGTTGTTATCAAGGAGAAGAAGAATCATGAGTGAATAATTAACTGGACAATTTCCGTCTTTCTGACTGTTCACCCGAGCACCTGAAACATGTCCTGCTGCAGGTGATCCTCCTACTATTGTGTTGATTTTAGGGTGACGTCCTTCACGTGGAGCTCTCACAGTATTCAAGGGATATTCCGGCGTAAAATTAAGTTAGGCTCAACCAAAACGCCACTCTATAGCCACAAATAATGCTCAGAACAGCACCTAACTTCATCAACAGTACATATAGGGTCCCAGCCATAGTACTAAAGTTTACATATATATACCAGAGGAAATCTGCAGACTTCATACTGGTGGGCCAATAATAATACCAATATGAGATGATCTTGTGGGCCTGATTTAATTGTTCCACGGGCAAGATTTGGCCTCGAGTTTGACACTTGTGCTTTAGAGAACTTGTGGTCAATCCTCAAGACGTGGGCGGACAAACAAAAACGTACAAATCGACTCTTATAAAATGGTTGTAGTTGTACTTTTGTGTAACATAGAAACATCTGAAAAAAAAAGATCTAAAAACCCTGAAGAAGCAGAGTTTGTGAAAATTAATATTTGTGTCTTTCTCGTCAAACTTTTGGCCGAGGCTGTAAAAAGAGTAAAGTTTGTGTCTGTGTGAGAAAGTTCAAACCAGACTAAAAAAACACAAATAATCAAACCTCATTAACAAATCGACACCTGACATGATTAATTCTGGTCTCTGTGATCAAACTTCTTCACTGTTATTCTCACCTTAACCTGATATAAACTGACAGACTGTCCACTGATGTTCAGTCTGACAGAAACAAACTCTTTGACATAATAAACACTTAAAAAGACTCTATTTCTTTAGTGTTTTTGTCTTTATAAAAACTGCATATTTAAGTGGTCCTACTTACATGCACATGGACTAAATCTTCAGTCAGATATTTGTATAAAAACAGAGAGAGGGTCTGAGTTCACTCTGTTTTGGAGCTAAGCTGCTAACACAACTAGCAATGTAAACAAATGTAGCTCTGCTGTCTCTCTCAAACTGCTCCAAACCTAAATTTATCGACAATGTCGAGTTCAGTTTCTCCCATCAGTGTTGTTCCCTTTAGTTAAATCATTTTATTGTGTCACATCAGCCCCAAAAGAGACGAATAAACGCCCTAATTCACCGCTAATGCTAACGTGCTGTACATCTGCACTCCTGCATGTTAGCCTGCTAACCGGCTAATTGTAACCGTTTATCCTTAAAACCGACACTTTTGACTAACAAATATGTCCCTAACATAAACCCCCAGTTTGAGAACACTCCAGATATTCCAGAGTGGGTTCATAAACATGTTATAAGCTTTGCACACAGAGGCGTAACAACGTGCAGAAAATTACCGCGCCAGGGACTTGATTGGTGCTCACACTCAACTGTCCATCGTCTCTTTCCGTAGCCGCCATGTTTGCTCCGAAATCTTAAATTTAGGAGTTTGTCAAATGATGTTTTCGTCTATGAACGAGACTTTAAGAGCGGAAAAATGCGTTTTAATTGAACCTTGTTGCATGCTTTGCATCAACTCTCGTTTTCTGGAGAGCGCTCTTCTTCTTCTTTCGTTTACTGTAAGGCGGTTATCATTCTCGATCGGCTCGCTGACGCCCCCTCTGTTGTAGACAGTGTACTGCATATAAACGCTACACAAACACACAGGAGATGAGCAGCAAGCTCAAAACAACATAAAGTAATAATAGAAGAAGGAAGTTACAGAGCTGAGAATAGAGCTAACAGGAAATACAGTAAGAGTGTTCAGGGTCACAGCAGGGTTTATTCAGGAGGCATACTGTGGCCGAGAACTGCCACTGCTGCAGATAAGAAATAAAGCAAAAAAAAAAAAGAAGTCACAACGGAAGTTTACGACGCAAAAAAAAAGAAAAAGAAACTGAAGCCCGCTGCAAAAAAAAGACACAGTTGAGATTTAAAAAAAAGGGCAAAATGGAAAAAAAAGAAACAAACAGATTTAAAAAAAAACACAACAGAAGTTAAGAAGTTAACTAAGCAAAAAACAAAGTGGGGATGGAAAAAAAAGTAACTTACTATAAAAATAAAAGGATGCAAATAAAAAAGGCAGAACGGAAGTCAATGACGCAAAACAAAGTGGCGATAGATAAAAAAAAAAAGTTTCTTGGTGTGAAAATAAAAGAATGCAAAAAAAAAAAAAAGCCACAACAGAAGTGAGCTGCTGGGGACCAATAATGATGACACACCGGTGTTTTACCATCTAGGCACAGAAGACGACGGCGAGAAGACGAGCAAAGAAGTGGAAAGGTTATTGTTTAATTTCGCTTTGTAAACTTTTCAGTGTGTCATTTGGTTCGGCCATGTAGCGCCTGAGTCAATAATAATACTACTACTACTTCTAATAATAATAATAATTATTATTATTATTATTATTTACCCCTCTGTTCCTGTTCATTTTAAGCTCCATCCAGCCTACTTTGTCCCCAAAACGGACATGCAGATAAGTGTTCATAAAATAATCACTTTTTAACATTTTTTCTTACTTTTTTCAACTCATATCTCATAAACAACTTTATGTTTTTAAACCGAGGCCCTATTTTCCTGTTTGTGTGAAATTCACCCAGTATTGAGGGAGAGCAGAGCAGCTGGTTTAATAAGAAGCCATGTTAACCGGTGACCTCCACCACAGTACGTTTCCATATCATATGTGAGGCTGATTTTCTACAGTCACATGCACTCACACTGTTTGTACTCACTATTAACACTAAATGGATAAATTAACGTATTCATGTCTAAAATGTATGATCACTGATTAACTGGAAACAAACAAATAAAATAAGAAATAACTGTAATTGAATATGAAACAAACCCCTTCATGTGAAAACAGCAGTGGTGTATGACTGTTGTAACAAAGGCTACCTTGAATAGTGCATCTCAGTTGTTTGCTTACACTCTATGGAAAAATTCACAGCATTGAGTCACATACTTGTTGCCATGTGCGAGGACATACATCGGTATGAAGTTGGCTGTACCTCTGTTTGAGGTCATCGTGGGCAGCGTTCAGGACCCTAGCTACTGAAAAAGAAATCAGACAATAGAAGTTTCAACATCCTACTTTCATATCAGAATCAGAAATACTTTAATAATCCCCAGGGGGAAACTGCTTTTAGTTACAGTTACTCCAGTGCAAATAAAGTAGAAAGAGGAGATAAATAATAGATAAAATAAGTCAAAATAAGTCAAAATGAAGAGATAATATACAAGTATGTACACTATAGCAACACAAAATAGTAAAATAGTATGCATATAAACAGTAAGCAGAGTGAAAATAAACTGTTACAATCTGGATGATCATTCAGGCTGCGCCAAACATAATCATGGGCAAATATTAATTAACATCAAAAATAACACGACAACCTTATTACTCCTATTCGTGACTGTGCAACTCGACAATAATTGAGATGTTAACATTTAGAAAAATATAAAAAACATTCATACTTAGGAAAAGTCATGGCCTAAGAGGCTGCTAGTTTTGGTGTAAACAGTCGTACTTTCCTTTATACGTGTTACAGGTTCTTACCAGAACAAAAATCAGCACCAGGCTTTCTTCCACAATTATTCATGGAGTAGGAAGTAGATGTGGACTGTCTTCTTCTCTTACGTCTGAAACACACAGGAGAGAGCAACCATTTAAAAAAAAATAATAAATAAATAATAATAATGATGATGATTTTTGGGTGCTTTTGGGTGCTCAAAGACGCTTTACAATAAAAAACACCATTTAAAATGCAGAAAATTTTGAGTAATAAGACCAACAGTGTAGAAGGTAAAAAAATACACAATATGAAAAGACAATAAAAGAACAGTTCACAGGTTAAAAGCCGATTTAAAACAGTGTGTTTTTAGGAGTGATGTGGAAGTATGGGGGTCTGTACAGTCTCTGATGGGTTATGGGAGTGAATTCTAGAGGGCGGGGGCAGCAGCGGAGAAGGCTCTGTCCCTCCAAGTTCGGTGCTTGGTCCGAGGAGGTCGGGCAAGGAGATTTCCCTCTGAGGATGGGAGGGCACGGGAGGGAGGGGGTGTAGCGGTGGAGCAGGTCTGTGAGGTGGGTGGGGGCCGGGTTGTTAAGAGCAGGAGGATTTTGAATTGTATGCGGTATGAGATGTGGAACCAGTGCAGTTTCTGGAGGACAGGGGTGATGTGTTCTGGGGAGTGGGTGTGGGTGAGCAGGCGGGCAGCGGAAATCACTCAACATTTCTTCCTTACACTTTCACTCATATTATGTGGAATCAAACTGATTGATCAGACAACAACAAATCACACAGAAGTGATCATACTTACCGCTCGTTTGTTTTGGGGAAGATAGACGGGACAAAGTCAGGACTGTGGAGGTCATCAGATGCCTGTCCTGTAGAAATAAAGTGAATTTAAGTGACTTACAGTGATGATAATTAACCAAATCAACTTCAAAACCTGAACCAGGATACAGAGGATTGACAGATAGTTATACTTAATTTTGAGTGATGTATCTATTGTTTACAATGGTTCATTATTTACACTTTATATATTTGTATAAATGTTCTATATTATTGTGTTTATGCTGAGTAGTAAGGTTTACCTGATATGAAGTGATCGCTGCAGAGTTTTGCATTTTTTATCATCCCCTCAGGCCAATCCTTCCTCCCGATGGCTTTCAACCAAAGACGTCTTTTCTTCTCCTTGAACGGGTTACTAGACGCCGGTATCCGGTAAAACTTGCGCGTTTTGTTGTTACTATCAAAACGGTTTTTGCAACCAACAGCACAACAGGACATGTTGACGGCTCTATCTGCGCTCGACATGCGCAGTACAGCGGAGAGTGACGTAGTGACGCAGACTGATGATCTCACTTCCTGTCGTCGTTATGGCAACCACTGACGCTAGTTAACACGGACCCAAGTTAGAGCGAAACACCTGCAGCCGCCAAACGAGCTTAATAGGCGTTTAACTGGTTAATTATTCAATAAACTACGTCAACTACAGTGAGAAACGACGTTACTACGAGGTCAGTCAGTACAATTACTTTCACTATCAACATTACCTTTAAGGGATATTACGGCGCAAAATCAAGTTAGGGTCAAACACACCGTAACACCGAGTTAGACACCCCCTCGAGAGATGAATGTTGGCGACATTCTCTCTTGCTTCTCTAGTTACACCAACTTTAGTAACAAATGCAGGTTAGCAATACAGAGAGCCACGTGCGCAACCAAAACGCCACTACAACAGTATATATAGGTTCATTTGATCATAGATGTTCTTCCTTGAGCTGCGTCACCCCGCTGTAGTCCGTAATGGACTGGCCTGAGGTCTCACTACAAACAAGCGGCTGCTGGAAGAGAGTAGGTGAGTTGTGTTTAGTCTCTTTACTAAAGACATGAGTCAAAGTTAAAAAGATGTTTAGTGTCTAGTACTATGGCTGTGACCCTATATGTCCTGTTGATGAAGTTAGGTGCTGTTCTGAGCATTATTTGTGGCTATAGAGTGGCGTTTTGGTTGAGGTTTGTTTATGGCTCCTCAGACCTCTGTGTGTTTCTATCCTGCGGTCGTTACTAAAGTTGGTATAACTAGAGAAGCAAGCGGTCTGCAGCATTCATCTCTGGAGGGGGTGTCTAACTCTGTGTTACGGTGTGTTTGACCCTAAATTAATTTTATCCCTTTAAGTCCTGACTGGCTCTGCAGAGAGGATTGTTACAATAACATCACAAGCTGAAATCACAGAAACTTTATTTATTGTATTGAGTGAAAAATGGCAGCAAGTATGGCCTGTAAAAAAAACAAAGACACACAAACAGATGAACACACATAATCTGACATGAAATTTAACACTGAATAATTTAGTTTTGGGTTGAAAGTCTGAAAAGTTTATTTGATGATGTGAAACTAGAACATTTTAACCACCTCAGCATGACAGGGTGGTAACATCTGTCATTAATACTGTAATAAATCATGAATTAACAAACTCTTTCATTTACATATTACCATAACTGTTTCTTTAAGCTTCAAAGTTCCAGTTTTTTCTCTTATGAAACAGCAGCTTTTCTGTGCCAGCGCCTTCAGATCATGTCTTTATACATTTTTCTCGGTTTATATGGAAGGTCATGTTCAGGTGCCTTTCTTTCCGAATCTAAAGTTTCCCACAAATGAAGAAAGAATCCTAAAATACAAACTTCTGTATTCACAGGACATGCACAAACAGGCAGCTTATCTACAATAAACCATGAAATAAAGCAGCTATGAAAGTTGTTCCTCCAGGGGAACTGCTTTTGCTGCCCCCTGCTGGAGCTTTAGAGAAGTTATTTTATTGTCCAACTCGTCCATGAAGCCCTCATCCACAGACTCACTGTCCACCTCCTCTCCTTCTGCCTCTGTCGGCAGAAACACGTGGAGCTGAGTGCGAGCTGGTCCTGTCACAGTCCTCTGTATGGGGCGTTGACTGCAGCTCAGGGGACAAGGCTTCCCGACCACAGACAAAACCTCCCCCTGAATTAGGGCGCCGTGGGATGTCCCCTGAGGTCGGGGGTCACCCTGAATCAGCTCTGTGCTCGGGGCCGGTTTGTGGGAGTGGCACCTCGCAGGTCTTGGTTTGGACCTGGGCTGGATGGCCTTGGAGAAGTGGAGATAGACCCCTTTCTTCTGCTGATGGGGCTGGCGGGTTTTGTAGGACAGCAGGATGGATGACTTTGAGAACGGAGCAAGAGGTGGAGGTCGTTTCTGTAAAACACTGGGGCGATAACTGCTGGAGGATTTCTCTGAGTGGACATATTCGTTTGACGTGATGAGGGACGGCTCACTGACGCTGTGGAGAAAAACAGGGTTTGTAAAAAGAGTAAACTAAAGAAAACACTGCAGAAACTAACCCTTACATGAGTGCTTAAAGGGACATTAGGGCGTAAAATCAATTTAGGTCAAACACACTGTAACACCGAGTTAGACACCCAGTCAAGAGATGAATGTTGCCGACCACTTGCTTTTCTAGTTATACCAACTTTAGTAACGACCGCAGGATAGCAATACACAAAGCCACGCACTCAAAGACACTAAACACAACTCACCTACTCTCTTCCAGCAGCCGCTTGTTTGTAGCGAGACCTTAGGCCAGTCCATTACGGACTACAGCGGGGTGACACAGCTCAAGGAAGAACATTTATGATCATTTCTTTATCATTTCCTTGAAGTCACAATCAGAAGAGGTAGTTCTTCTGTCTTAGCGTCTCGGTCTGATTGTATTTCCATGAAGAAATGATCATAAATGTTCTTCCTTGAGCTGCGGCACCCCGCTGTAGTAGTGGGTGGATTGGCACGAGGTCTTGCTACTACAGTGGCCGAGAACCGTCACTGCTGCAAATAAAAAAGAATTTCAGAAAAAAAAGAAACCACAACGGAAGTTACTGATGCAAATACAAAAGAAAGTTACTTTCTGTGAAAATAAGAGGATGCAAAAAAAATAAAATAAAATAAGCCATAACGCAAGTGAGCTGCCAGGGACCCATAATTTAGGCACAGAGGATGACGGCGAAAAGACGAGCAAAGAACTAAGAGGAAAGGTTATTATTTAGATTTGCGTTTGGGTTTTGGTTGAGGTTTGTTTACGGCTCCTCAGACCTCTGTGTATTACTATCCTGCGGTCGTTACTAAAGTTGGTATAACTAGAGAAGCAAGCAGTCAGCAACATTCATCTCTGGAGGGGGTGTCTAACTCGGTGTGTTTTGACCCTGAATTAATTTTATGTTGGAATATCCCTTTAAACCAGAGTTAGATCAGAATAAGGTTATTCAAAACCGGCTCTGCGTAGGTGACTGGAGGCCATGAAATAGTCCCTGTGACAGTGATGGACGTGTGTTCGTGCGTGCTTTTTAGAGCTTAAAGCGTGTCAATGTGTGGCCTCGCTCAGGTTTCTCCCCCCTCTGAGTAAAGCCGCTGTGGGTGGCAACGGATCAGCTTCCACACCTGAGATTTATGACACGCTGTTCCCTGGCCTCCTGTACTCAAAGCAAACCCCGGGGTGGGGAGCTGTGAAGCGGCCTACTTTATGCTATCAAATAAAGAGAGGAAACAATCACACTGTAATTCCAGTCAGGCGTTGAACCGGCACTGTGACAGGCACTTCTGCTGAAATGAATAGCGCAGACATCAGAGATGGGAGATGACATAAAGGCGATTAATCACATTATAATACACGGTGATGATGCAGACGGATGTGTAATAAAGGCCACTCAGTCACCATGACATGCTGCTGCTCTTCATCACTTTCACACTCACTGATCCGCCTGTTTTACCTTCAAAATGAGCAAGTTTTGTATTTTCAAACACAAATTAGACACAACGAACAGGTGAACTTCCTTCATAACATCCTTGTAAAAGAAATTTTACTGTTTTTTCTTCTAAGTAAAGATGATCAACTCTTCCTTCTTACAGTCGGATCATTTTCAGAGCTTGAATTGTTGGGAATCGTTCTGAAACTGGGCAAGAACTCCAAAATCCATGTAACAGACAAAGAATATGAGACATGAGGATTTACAGGATGAAGTGTGGTAAATCAGTGGATAAATCATAAATTAAAGGGAGTATCCTTTATGCCTGTGGTTCTCAACTGGTGGGTCCCGACCCAAAAGTGGGTCACGGACACGTTCTGGATGGGTCACAAACAGCTGGTCAAAAGGTAAATATTCAATGTGCATCTGATGTTTAACATTCCTTTTGTTTTGAAAAATAGCTTATCTTGAAATGCATTTAAGTCAACTTTTTAATTTTGTTGGTCTCCATTTTGTGCAATTTGAAATTTTCTGTACATGCAACTTCAGTAGTTGTCGTCTTCAGTTCATGTGCTCTGAAAGGCATTTTACTCAATAAAACAAGTGTATTTATGTTAAATATATATTCTGCCTTTTTTTATCATAGCTACTTAGAAGATTTTTTTATAAAAAATAAATTTGCTTGGTTTGAATTGTATAAAAGTGGGTCTGACTTAAGGACCATGGGAAAATTAGGGTCCCAGAGTGAGACCAGCTGAGAAGAGACTGGAGTTAAAATACGAAATTTTTAGAGCGAATCAGTCGACAAACAAAAAAGAGGCTGCATGTAACTCCATCGTGGACAGGTGGATAAAAAAGAAAACCTTGCATGGAGAAACTGTAACTTTCCTGCAATTTAAAAATTCACTCAGTTTCAAAAATAACAGATTTTAATCTCCACAGGTTTGCTCTTTGTACGGTTGGGCTGAATCTCAACGTTTAATGATTAAAGACAAAGCCAGGAGGTTAAGTTCTTTACATATGAACTTAAAAGACGATGATTAAAGCTCTGCAGAAACAGATCTTTGAGCTCACCTGAGACGAGTCATCCTGCCTCTCTCACGAGGTCCTTTAGTCGTAGTTACCAGCGCTGGCAGCCTCAGAGGAGTGTGGCTCCCGCGGCCTCCTCCTCCTCCTCCTCCTCCTCCTCCGGGGAATGGAGGGTTCTCTGAGCTGGTGAGTGGGTACATCTGAGTGGATCTCTGCTGCCATGGTCCACTCAGGTCCAAACCCAGCGTTATAGTCGAGGGCACCGCTCCACTGGGACAACTCATCTGTGTCTGAGTTTGAGTCACAGCCGGAGGAGGAACCGCCTGGAAATGCCGTCCGACTGCAGGTGCATCAACAGCCCCTTGTTTTATCGACTCTGACGGCGGATACGGAGCGCTCCCTGAGCTGGATCATGTGTGTCTTCAGGTGCAGGCCCCTGGGGGGGTGAATGGAGAGGGGATTGTACCGCTCCACCTGCAGCGGACGCCATCAATGATGCATGAACATTAATGATGCATGGTTGGAGCTGGGAGTGTGGACACCACTCTGTACTTCACCTCCTCTCTCTGGGTGCCTTTCCTTCTTCCTCGGGTCGACTTACAGATGAGGGGACAGGTGGTAAATGGATGAGTTAAGCGAGTGTCGGTTTAAAGTACAGAAAATTAAAATTTGACAACAATTGGACCCGTTTCCTAACTTAAGAGGTACGGCTCAGGTCAGATGAATCAAACTGACCCACATTAGACCTCCTCTTGTGTCTTTAGATGTTTTTCGTATCACTTTGCCTCCTCCCTCCAGGCTGGACCTCCTCCAGAGATGACAGCCAACTCTCAGGATACAAGTGTGATCCTGCAGTGGAAACATTGCACCTGCACCCTTAACTGTGACTGGACTGAATTCAGAGCATGGTCACTGAGGCAAGACAAGCAGGGAGGAAGGCTGAAGGGAGGTTAATCAATCACTCAGGAATCTGCTGGGCTCTTTACAGGGTATATCAAGTGGGGTTGTCAATTTATTTGAAATATTTCTGTAAAATAAATAACCTATGAATAAAGGCTGCAGAGACTTTCAGGAATGGTTGCTAAAGATCAGAAAGAAAAACAAACACAGGTTCAGTTTGAATAATTTATTCCCACTTATAAAGCACACAGACAAACAGTTCATCTCTCCTCTGCATGCTGTCGGTCCTCTGCTGGGTGTCTCCTGGTACTGCAGCAGCTTCACCTCAGCAGATCTGAAAGACAGAAGCACAGAGAGCCGTGGTCAAACTGAGATCAAAGAGTAACCCCCGAATTTCCACCACATCCAGAATGTCTAGGAGAAGGCTGTTTCCGCTGATCATAGCCATTCAAGTTAATGTGTCAATTTCCACCAGTTTCTTTACATTCCACTGTGGATCGCAAGAGTTCTATAGACACCCTCCACCGGGACCTTCAGCTCTTGTGCTTGTCTGAAATTCAGGGTAAGGCGTTGATGGGACACATTTAACATGTCTGAAAAATGAACTGCAGAAGAGCTTACATGGCGATGATCCAGGATGTCACCACAGTGCAGTTGCTCGCTCTCTTGCAGCCTCGGCTTATATCAGACATCAGTCTTCATTTGACCTTCAGGGAGACAGAAAAAAGGGTCCAGAGGTTATTCAGCATCTACCACAGATGACTTTTTAAAAAGCCCTACAGAACAAACCTTCACTCGGCTGAAGGAGCTACGACGGTACATGAACTATGATGAATCTTACCGTGTTAACAGCAGAGGGTTCAGCCTCCATCCACAGCTCGAGGCTCCTGTGGTGAGAAACAAACAATGAGAGCCTGACAGTGAACTCTTACAGGTTTTACCCTCACCCCACTATGTTACAGCATCAGTTTGTGGTTGCCATGTAAACCATCACAGCTCTGAGGTCACTGCTAATAAAGGTAAGTCACAACCTGTGCTGAGTAAGTGCTTTATTTGTGAGTGTTTGTGTAGAAATACATGTGTTGGAATTATAAATACATGTGATAATCATGATAGTATGATGAATATGTGCGTCAGTTCTAGTGGGCGTGTTGGAGTTGTGTGACAAAGTTTAAAATGCATGGCAGACTAACAGAGAGAGAGTCATCTCAAACCCTGGAGTGGATTCAATGGTTTACAAACTGCAGAAGGGAAATCATGACAACCAAGTTCTGTTGTTAAAATGCCGTATGAAGCGGGACTTCTTACTGACACATCGGGAATGTTGGTGCGAGAAGCCCGAGCAGAGCTGGGATCAGCACTATGACCTTGTACAGGAGTAGAGTTGGTATATTCAGTGTCAGTCTTAAAGACTTTGGGGCGCTGCCCGCTGAAGGCATAGAGGGTTGTTCTGGCATCACACTCAGGGACTCAGAAATACCGAAAAGGTTTGTGCAAATCAGGATTTGGTCAGAAAATGGATCACAGTGCAGAGTGAGATAGATATCGTCAGCCTCCATGGGCGTGGATTCATGGCTTTGGTTGAGTGTGGTTCCCTTAAAATCAGAGCTCAAGAACCAGAAACTTCAGGTGACACCAAGGTCCTTAAACTGCTTCAAGACCAACGCAACAAAAGCTGAACTCCACAGCAGAGATGCTGCTTCTAACTGTCCACTGGTATGACATGATATTCAGGTTTAACAGGAGAAACAACAAAGTGAAGAGTAAGAGGAGCTGAGAGGCAAGACAGAGTCCAGCACTTAGACAAGAAGTTGTTTCTCATAGAAGACTGAATTTTATTTTCCTCCTCAAAACTGAACGAGAGAAGAACCAGGAGGAAAATGGAGTCTGCTGCTGCCTCAGATTGTGTACATGTCCCCTCGGCAACCACTAAACACATTAGGCTTAAACTGAGGGCGAGGTTATGACATGTTTTCAGAGTTAACAGTGTTTCCAAGTTGAACAAAGCTTTCAACAGCTAGTTAATTAAATTTGACTATAAGACTGTGGGAAAACTATCACCAGACTTTCATTCATATAGTTCAGTTTAGAGCTGAATTAATAAACATCCAGCAAACAGACTCTATATCTGTGTTCAGATTTCGTTTACAGTAAGAGAGCTCAGGTTTGGCAAAGTTTCTCCCAGCTATCATTTGATAATCTGCAGGTTTGTGGCATGACAACGACTGAGGCGAAGTAGTTGCATCCAACCAAGATATCGGCTAAGAAGCACAGAGTGTATAAACATGGATATGGTGTCAGTGGTGTTACCCACTGTGCTGGAACCAAACTTTAAATTGACCTCGCACAAGACAGAGGTAGAGCCGATGTGGGTCTTTGGTGGTGCCCCACGATTAGGTAAAATTTGTCAAAGTTACATCTGCAAAATAAACGATAAATTCATTCCTATTCGGACCCACATCTGTGTTGCATCAAGTGTTTTTGTAACCAGGCTGTAAAGTTGGGTTTGACAAATGGGTGTGTATGTGGCTTCCAGGACTTTTGGAGCCAGCCTCTAGTGGACATCTAAGGAACTGCAGTTTAAATAAACATACAAAGTCAAATGATGTCAAGTTGCAGAAGTAGTCTTAAATCCCACCCAGAGCAACCCCAGCAGTATGACAGGATCCACCTATAAACTGCAAAACACATCCCAACCCAGAACCACAAATTCTACTAAATTAGGTATGAGAGACATTTCAGAGTCACAGGTCGAGTCAGGAGCAGCGACAACAAAAAGGACTGATCAGAAATTGCACAGCTGATCCACCACACTGGTGTTTACGGATTTAAATATTGTGACGACAGTAAAGGTGTGATAATGCATTTCCTTCGAACTCAAAGAAACTAAGATTCAAAGTGTGAATCATTTATGTTAACCCTCCTATTATCCCAGGGGGTCAATGTGACCCCATTCAATGTTCATCATTTTAAAAAAATATAGTTGACTTTTGCTGTTTTGCTTCATATTTCATGACTTTTCCAAATTTGACGAAAGACTGATTTATCTTAAACTTTCATGATGATACATTTTTAATGTGTTGTACACATATTACATACATCTGTGTCCCTCTGGGTAGTGCAGGACTGATACTGTATTTCCTGAGCTGTGGAGGGTGGGGTATTCCCACAAGGACATGGGTATTTCATGCAAAATAATCAATATGGTTAATTCTGTAGAGTCATGAATGTGAACCCAGATTAGAGACATGTTGGATAAAAGATTCTCAAGATACACCAACTCTAAAACTGAACGTCTGACCTAATGGTGGTGCTACAGGAAAGGTCATATCATCACAAAACCAGTAGGGTTCATCCTCTTATGGTCATTAAGGGAAGATTTGTACGAAAACTTTAAAAGATACATTTATTCTACTTTGAAAGTTTGGCCTATTGGTGGCGCTAGAGAACAGGTCAACCCACTGATAGATTTCATTATTAAGGGGTTATTTATTTATTTACTCAACAAAAAAAACAAAGCGTCTGACAAAAAAATCTTGGTCAACAATTGCATGTAAATCATTTTCTGGAGGAAAATATACCCAAGGGTAAAATGTGTTTGTAAAATTTGAGGATAATAGGAGGGTTATGCTGTTTAGTGATTTGCTGATAAACCACAGGCTTTTGAAAGATGAAAGTGATTGGTTTGCAGAGGAGTGCTTTGAGTTAGAAAGTTATAAAATACAGTGAACTGCACCCACTCTGTAATATTGTAGGTTTTATCAGACGGGGCATTATCGTCTGATGGAGAACAGAGAGTACTGTATATAACAGAATGGTTTCTAACAGCAGTATCAAAACCTGAGTTGGGTTTTTGCTCCTTTTTTCCTTGCGTGGTTGAAAATGACCTGCCTATTCCCATTACTACTGATGATATAAACAGCAAACAGCTACCGAAAGCCAAGAAATCAGCTCAGTCAAACTGGTTCATCTTAAACCAAGTACAACCAGGTTTTCGGCAAAGATGGACAAGGTACAAACTGTGTTACTCTTCTCATGCATACACACAGAGAGGCCAAAGTACTACAACCACACACACTGCACAAACTAGAATGCTTTCACAGACACACATCAAAGGTTGAGAGTCGAGATCTGCACTGTGATGCCATTGGTTGTAAGTGTGATGCCAGAAGCCCTGTGAAACGTCACTGTGAGCAATGATGGAGAACAGAGAGAGAGAAGGGAAAACTGTGCATCTGGTATTATAAACATGGATGGGACACTTACCTTACTTGTTCAGCTGATCTGTGTAAGCATACTTCTGGCTGCAGTGCAAACATGTCCAGGCTTTACTGTCCACTGACTTCTACTCATCGTCAATGTAACCCAACTGCAGAGAAGAGCCTCTACTGTGGACGGGAGCAGCCTGTCTCTGACAAGCTGGCTGACAGCAGCTAACACACCTCTCATTTATGCATACACATGGAAGATACACACACTCACACTGGCACTGCTTTCATCCTTGCCTCAACCACAAGGAGCAAGGGGATTCTCTGCATCAGGCAGGTTGGTGGGTGGGAGGTCTGCAGATGCAGTTTCTATCGTCAGCTTTCAAGGGTCTTTCTTTTCCGCGGACAAACTCTTGAGTGTGTAAAAACATCTTTTTATCAAACACAGTTTGTTCAGATAACTGCAGGTTAGGGTGGTTTTGGTCTGAAGATATCAAACTTGTGTAAGTACTAGAACATAATCAAGCTGACAATAGGGGTGATAGTGAACAGCTCTAAACACTGACGTGGCCATATCAGGAAGAATAAAGGGCCAATTCCAAATTTAATTTGGGACTTGTGGGAGCTAACTGCTCCAACTGGGACATCTACAGTAATGATTAAACTCAATAATTAAACAAAAAGGCTTAAATTGAGGAAATCACTTGTATCAGCGTCAGTAGAAGGTATGACAAACAGTTCTAGGGAGTCTGGTTGGCCTCGCTTTGGAACCAGCTCCAGAAACAGGTTATCAACATCTGGGACTAGGGCTGGGCGATAAACTGAAAATTTACTGACACCAAAATTTACGAGAATAACATACGTCAATTTGCCCATATATTCTGAGTCAAAGACTAAATAAAAGTTGGTTATGGATGTGTGTAGGTAGGCTATGGTCAAGTTTCAAGTTTCTTTAAATCGCCACACGGCTGGGCCCTTTAAGACGCTGTCCTACATAGGGGTCGTGACTCCACCCAAACCAGTCTGTAACAAAGAGGGAAAGACAGGTGAGGAGATGGAGGACGGTTCAAAAGTTGTAACGGCTGAAGTAGACAAGGTTAATGTGGGAGGAGGTGGGCAGCTTGTGGAGTAGTTATCGTCCATTTATCGTTATGAAGGTGAACTGATCAATATGTGTTGATATTGTTTTGAGGCCATATCGCCCAGCCCTATATGGGACTATTGAAAAGATTCACTTTTAGATCATCTGCCAAAGCAAAGGAGAGAACCGTTCACCCCATCCCCTGTCCCACCCCACCCATAAAAATAGAGGCTCATCTATTTGCTCTCTCTTTCTCTTTATCAAGTGGCAGAGTGGGGGATGGTAGAGAGTAAAATCAAACTTCTGTGGGGGGTTGTCAAAGGTTTGTTTCTTCCCACTTGCCCTTGCCTTTCCCGTCTCCTCACCCTGACTCTGACTACCTGGTCCTATTCTCTGTTCAGTG